TGTTTCAAACTGGCTTCTGGTCTTTGGACGGAGTTTTGTGACCCTTGAAAGCTCCTTGCTTCCAGGCTTCTCGTCCACCTTCACTGTCCGGGAACGTAAAACACACAAATGGCGCGGTGACCAGTCATGAGCGATAACAGCAGCTGCCACGGCAGGGGTGCCCTTGTGCGTGGAGGGAAGAAGGGGCACACCCGCCCTGCCTGCTTCCAGCTGTGCACAGACGGGTAGGGTGTGGGGGACCCGGTGCTCTGCCTCTGGTCCCACGGGGAGGTCACCCGGCCTTCACCATCGTCTGAGCGCACTGAGCTAAGCTCCTGGGTTCAGGACGGGTTCTCACACGGAAGTTAAGTCCCAACAGGGAAGGTCTTTAAACTGAAATGCAGGGTCAGGAGGGGGCTGCCTAGCTGACCCTCACCGCCACCACGGTTGGGCCCTCGCTCTGGTTCCCACACCTGCGGGGCTGACGGCAGGTCCCTCTGCAGGGATGGCTGAGCAGGCCCCTGGGCTTCTCTGCAGGGGGTCCTTTCCACTTCTCACTGGGGGCGTCCTCTCTGTGAGTATCTCTGTCCCCACACCAGCCACAGTCCTACCGTCCCTATGCTCCTTCCCCCACCCCTACTCTGCTGCCCACCAGCCTAGGGGACCAGTGCCAGGGTGGCCTTGCCTTGCAATAGAAACGCCCACCAGGGAGGGTCCTCGTGACCAGCAGGCAGTGGAGTCCCGGGGCCAGACGGGAGCCGCATCGGAGCTCTGTGCCCAGTGGGAGTCTGCCAGAGACCCTTGCCCCTCCCCACTGAGCACGCTCTCTAGAATAAATAAATCTCTTAAAAAAGAAGAAAGTAAAAAAAAAAAAATCCATGATGACACAGCAAGGTTAAATGTTTGAAGGATCGACAAGGGACACGTGCACAGCCCAGCATGAGAGCCGATGTGGGTACCTCGGGGCCCAGCGGCACTACCAGGGCAGGAGGGGAGTCGCACCTGACACGAGGCCTGTCCCACAGCCACGGCGCAGCCGCCATCCAGCCTCTGCCCCCACCAGATGGGGCTGCAGGAGGCGTGCCTCCCCCCCAGACCTTCCGGGGCTCAGGCAAGGCCCCCATGAGGGACCGGCCACCTTCCTGGGGTCGGTCATGGACTAGGGCCCGTGTCAGCACTACATGGCCACGCATCCCTGCCTGTGACACCCACAGAGCCATGGCTCGTCACTGGGCGGGTCCTGGTGGTGCCCGGCTCTAGCCGCCTGCCCTGCAGCCTCTCCCACATGCAGCCTCTCGGGGCCGTCCCCCAGGCCTCGGGTGGGGCAGCAGCCTGCTGGGCTCCCCAGTGGACCCTGCTGTCTGGCCGGGCTCCAGGCAGCCCCTCCTTGCGGGGGGGAAGCCAACTCTGGGGATCCTGGCCGAGGGCAGCACCCACTCCCCCTGCAAGCCCAGGAGGGGAATGGGCCCGACTCACTGGGGCCGCGTCACAAGGGCTGCCCCCACCGCTGCTACCCCGGCGTCCCGCAGCCCTGGCCAACAGTCTCAGCATCCCCAGTGGGCTCCTGGAGGGCGGTGGGGGGTAGCCACCCCAGAAGACGCGGAGCAGGGAACGTGCAGCCACCGAGCTCCACAGACAGTGGCCGCTCTGATCCCTTCCAGCCCCTCTGCTTGCCTCCGTCTCTGCAGCAAGCAGCATCCCTCCCCGCTGTTCTTGGCTTCAAGAAAAGCGCATCAGCACGTCCTCAAACCTCCCCTGGGTCCCCGGGAAACGCAACAATCCCACTCAGGCTCAAGCAGCAGCCGGTCACAGGTCACAGCAGCGCTGGCACAGGACGGGCTCCACTGCTCGCCAACCGTGTTACGTAAAGAATTATTCTGACTTTTAAAGACAAGACCCCCCGAAATCCCATTTTGTCATGGTCTGAGGATGATGATCCTGCAGGACAGCGTGGAGCAAAAGCGTGAGGGAAGTAAACAGCAGGGCCTGGTGCCACCTGGCCACAGAGGGCGGTGCCCCCGCCGCCTCTGGGAGTTCCCATTTCTGACATCACTCTCCTGATGAGGCACAGAGGCCGCCTGCTGCCTGGACGCCCGCCGCCCTCACCAGGGACCACTAAGATCTGCCCGGGCGCCAACCCCCGTCACCCAGCCCTGGCGGGATTACAGTGGCAGAGTTTTAGAATTTTCTGGAAAGCCGATGAGAGCAGCTGTACTACATGATAGATGTGCTTTCTAATCAAAGGCCACAAATTGTCTCCGACCTTTCAGCTCAGAGAAAAGATGATGGAAAAGCATTTCAGGAGGGACGGCTCAAAGCCAGGAGCTCTGCTGGTACAGTTGGCCGAGTGGGAGCCCGGCCGCCCGCCAACGGCCTCAGGAGGGCTCCGGGTCCCTGCAGGTGCCAGCCATGTGCCAGGCAGGTGCCGTGATGATGGAGCATGGCCGCCCTCCGGAGGAGGCTCGGGGAGGCTCCACACCCGGCCCGTATCTCGTGTCGGTGCAGGCCTTGGACTGTTCCGAGTCCCGGCTGGTGGGGGCCGGTCTGCTGGAGCCCTTCCCCCTGCCCCGCAGGTGGTGTCCTTGGAGGCCTCCCTCCACCCGCAGGGCCCTGCTCGTCCCCACACCAGCCTGAAGCTCCTGCCACCCGGCCCACTCCCTGGGGCCAGGAAGTGTGATTCATTCCTTCAAAAACCAGGAACTTGTTCACCTTTTGAGGCCCCCAGCGTTGGCGGAACGACCGTAGCTGCAGCATTAAGACGTGTCTGCCTCTGGTTCTCTTGGAGATGTTTAGACATTCCATGTCTCCGTCATCGACTGCGCTCCCAAACACAGTCATGGCTGCATCAGAGCGAGTTAGGCCCAACCTGGTCGTTCAGGCTGTACAAGAGACACGTGTGGAATTGGGTACAGGCTCAGGTGCAGGCTCAGGTGCAGGCTCAGATGTGGGCTCAGGTGTGGGCTCAGGCATGTGAGTTCAGGAGTGGGCTCAGGTGTGGGCTCAGGTGTACGAGCTCAGGTGCAGGCTCAGGTGTGGGCTACACGACCCAGGCTTGCCATTGGCATTTTAACTGGTGTCTGTGAGCCTGAAGTGTCCCATGACTACGAAGGTAAGCATGGTGCTCAAAACACCTGAAATGTTTGTGTGAGTCTCTGCCACAGAGCAGACTGGGGACCCCGGGACCAAGAGTCCGCGCTTAACTCCCTCAGCTGCCCAGGTGCCCCTGATGAAACTTAATCCTCAATGAAGTAACTATTAATGATTTAATTAACTTTAGCTACTCATAAACACTAATGTTAATGATGGTGACGATGGATGGGGTTTGTTGGGTTTTAACAAAACCATCTGATTAAACAGAAACAGTTAAAACAGCTGCAACCCGTTCCCCCATCACAGGGCTGCACACCGCCAGCTGCCACACGGGGGCGCCCCAGGACAGCAGCTGGAGCAGGGGCGGGCTGGAGGAGAGGCCCAGGTCTCCAAGAGGGCGCAAGGGGGCGCGAGGGGACCAGGGTCTGCAGCAGGGGGCAGGGGCATTAGGCGGGGGCCCAGGAGCCAGAGGAGGGGGCGGGTATGGAGAGGGCCCATGGGACCCCACGACCCCGGTGCCCTTACTCCCGGTCGGCGGGCAGGGACCCCTCAATCAGGACAGACGCAGGCTGCAGACCCTCTCCCTGGGCAGGCCCTAGTGGGCAGCGTCCCTGAGCTGACGGAGGTGCCCGGACGGGTCCCCGGGGAGGGATGGGCGCCTGTAAGCATCCCGGCCCACAGCTGGCCCCACAGGACCGGGTCAGCTGCCCTGGGACCCCCGCAACTGCAGCGTCCCTGGAGAGTCAGGCTGCCGTACCACCCACTGCCCTTCCCCCAGGGAAGCCCCAGAGCCTCAGGGCCCCCTGTGCGGGCGTGCTCCTGGTCAGACCCACCCCCGGCCAGCCACCTGGTGACGGCTTCACACCCAGTGTACACAGGACACCCCGGGGGGACAGTGCTCCCTGCCCCAGGACAGAGGGCTCTCACCGGTGTAGACAGGACCCGGAGGGTGGGCAGCGGGTCCCAGCCGTGTAGACGGGGTCCTGCAGAGTCCAGCTTCAGGTCCCTCCTGGTGTTAGGAGAGCTCCTGTCCACACGGGCTGGGCCCCCAGTGCCGGGGGAGCCTTCTGGCTTCTGCTGGGCTTCTGTGAGCAAGTGAGGAGGAGGGGGAGGGGGAGGGGCAGGGACAGGAGGTCCCAGTGCAATATCCTCACCTGTGCCCCCTGACCCAGCCGGGTGCCGGCCTCACCTGCGCCCCCTGACCCAGCTGGTGGTGCTGTTGCAGGAGCAGGCCGCCCGTGCCTCTGCCAACAGGAGGACCCAGGTCAGGCCTGAGGGCAGTGGAGAGCCCTGGACAGGTTCCCAGACCTCACCCCTCCCCCAGGCCAGGCTTCCCCAGACCTGAGCCCTCCAGGCAAATCCCCGCCTCCCCGGGGCCCTGCCCAGAAGAAGAGGGCGTGGGGGCCCGCTGCCACCCCACCCTGCTGGAACCACGCAGCCCCACACCCCCGCCCCTTAGAAGTGGGCCCCCCGATCTTACCAGACGGAGAGCCAGAGTGAGACCAGCAGGCAGGAGGGTTCTGACGCGCATGGACGGCAGGTCTCAAACCACATCCCTGCTGCAGACGTCCAGGCCCCGGGGGCCAGAGACCCATCTGCAGGTGCTCGGCCCCCCTCGGGTGGGTGTGCCCTCTCGGGTGGGTGTGCCCTCGAGTGAACCTGCCACCCGCTCCAGGAAAGCCCCGGGGGTCCACACGGGAATGTGGCTGGTGCCCTCCAGGCAGCGGGTGCTGAGAAGCCAGAGTGGCCGGGGCATCCTGTCGGTCACACCAGGCCCGGAACCCAGCGGCCCCCAGGGGAAGACGTGTGTGTGACCCGCCCCACAGGGACCGATGGGGACAGTGACCCGCCCTCCACTCCCTCCCACCTCTGAACCTTCTCTGGGGTGCTGGCGTCCACACAGCCCAAACACACTGTGATTTGTTTTCCTTTGAACTTTTATTTTATTGGATTTTAACACTCATACAGACTGGCACCGGGCACACGGGCAGGCAGCTTGGCGGATAATCACGGAGTGAACATCCAAGACGCCACAACTCACACCAAGAGACAACACACACAGAAGCAGGAGATGGAGGGGAAGGCTGAGGCCCACCCTCGGGTGGGCAGGGGTGCCGGGGGTCCCAGGGTGCGGGCAGGGGTGGGGGGTCCACTCTCTGCAGCCTGGGCAGCCCTGCTGGAGGGGTGCAGCAGGGACCCGCAGGGGGCGTCAGGCTTCGCGCGGGCTGTCAGGGGCTGAACTTGTACAGGTACATGATCCAGAGGATGCACACGGTCATGGACACCCAGATCCACACCTCCTCATAGGGGTCGAAGCGTGGCGCGCAGCAGCCGTCGTCACAGCACAAGTCCTCCTCCCAGCTGGGCTGGGAGCCAGACCTGCTGAGCCGGGCCCTCGGTGTCCTCCTCTTCTTGTAGCCGTGGGGGGCCAGGCCGCTGCTCTGGCGGCCGCTGGCAACCGAGCCTGAGCCCTTGCATCTGATGATGTCGAAGACCGAGAAGGGGATGGTGACGGAGCCCTCGCTGATGGTGACGGGCCTACGGGTGCGGGTCCCCGGAAGGGGTTGGCCGCCAGCCGCAGCAGGGCCATTGCTGCCACCCTCTTTCTCTAGGTCTTGGGTGCTTTTGTCTTCACCAGTGAAGATGAAGGGGAAGGTGACGGAGCCGTTGATGTCGGGGAAGTCCTTGTCTCGGATCATGTCGGCCAGAGACGAGGGGAAGGTGACAGAGCCCTCTCCGTCATCCGTGAGCCCGATGATATAGGACACAGGCTGCGGGTTGCTGTCGGCGCTCTCAGGGCCGGTGTCCTCATCACTGTCGGAAGGGCTGGTGATGGAGCCTTGGCCCTTGAAGATGAAGCCCTTGAGCTGGAAGGGCTTGATGCTGCTGATGAGCAGCCCTCTGCCGTGGAAGATGGGGCACCGGATATTTACCAGGAGGCCTCTGGCCTTGGACGCGGCTGAGGAACTGGCCGGCAAAGACATGCAGCCCTTGGCGATGACCAGCGACTCACAGGGGTCCGCTGCGAGACGGGAGCCCTGCCCTGGAGTCACCCGGCCCTTGTCCCTTCCCACATGCACAAGGGAGAAGGGGACGGTGACGATCTCATCATCTTGCCTGAAGAAGTTGCTGCTCTCAGAAATCGGGTTCCTGATGAAGTCGGACACGGAGAGGGGGATGGTGATGGAGTTGGGGGTGTAGCCCCGGGAGCGGTCGACCACGGGCCCGCTGCCCAAGGTGAGCAGCTGCTTGCCGGCCTCCAAGGCATCGGCGCTGCCGCCCCCATACAAGGTGTACCGGCCCTTAATGGTAGTGGGGCTCTTGACCTCGGGCCCCCAGGCCGGGTCTGGGGGCTTCTGGAAGAAGCAGACCCCCAGGTCGCAGGCCTCGCAGCGCTCGCCGAAGCAGATCTCAGGGCACTGGTCTGCGCTGAGGCTCTCCCCGTAGCACTTCTGCAGGATGAACAGGACCAGCTTGTTGAGGAAGAGCCGGATATTCAGGAGGCTCACCTGGCAGTCGGCCCGGATGCCCGGCGGGCACAGGCGGCACCGCTGGCCCCAGATGCGCATCTTCACCAGCCCCAGCCGGCTGTCCTCGTCCAGGCACATGTGGAAGAGGATGTGCACGTGCGCCGAGGACCAGCCCCACTGGCAGCGGCCACATTGCAGCCTGCGGGCAAGAAGGGCGGCAGTGAGCAGAGGGCGGCGGCGGCCCCTGCTCAGCCGGCCCCTCAGGGGCTCCGAACCCTGACACCCCTGCCCGCCGCACATCATCTGAAAGGCTGAAAAGCAAATTCCTTTTTGTCCGATTGGCACCCAAACCCCACACGAGGGCCCAGCCAGGCCTGAGACCTGGGGGGGTGTGTCGCTGCACCTGCTGCTTGTCAGCTCTGTGACGCAGGCTTCACTGCCCTGCGGACACGTCACCAAGACTCAAAGGCAGCGAGGGGGGGGGGAGCGGGGCGGGTGCAGGGTCCACATGGCTAAGCTGTGCGGACTCACGGGGGGAGGTCCCATGAGGAAGAGCCCCATCCCCAGGGAGAGAAACTGACGTAAAGGGGGCAGGGGGCTCTCGGGAGAGCCGGGGCGGGCTGGGGCCGGTGAGCTCCTTTGACGGGGTGGCCCCAGCTGCAAATGTGGGAGGGGGAGAGCTGCTCACCCCAGGCCGTGTGCCCCAGGGCCGGGCAGGTGGGCCCATCTCCAAGTCCCCAAGGTCAGGGCCCGGTGACCACACTCCGGGCGTCCCCCAGTGGCGCCCTCCCATGGAGCTTTCTGCGGTGGTGAGGGTGGCAACGTTGGGCAGGCCCCGCCTCTGCGGCAGCCACAGGTGCTCGGGAGCTGACATGTCAACGGCATTTCGATGTGATCAGGCTCGTGGAGGCCCCATGGCTGCGGTGCCTTGTGCCCCCCTCCACCGTGTCCAGCTGAGACAGCGGAGAGCCCTGCCCCGGCCACTGAAGGCTCCTCACGGTGGGAGCCATCCCGTGATTTGGGACGCTTCCACACACACCCCGGGCTGCTCACTCACCCACCCCCCGCCACGGGGAGCTGAGGGGCCCATGTCACAGGGTGGCTGCCCAAGAGTCCCCGCGCTGACCTGCCAGTGGGCCGCCTCCCCCACTGACCCCCTCCCAGCTGGCCCCCCGAGGGTGGGGGACGCCTGGTGGGGTGGGGCGCCCGTGGGCCTGGCCCGTCCCCACCACTGTCATCATGACAATGGGAGCGGGGCCCCTGCTGACCCCCACCCAGGTCGTACAGAGCCTCCCCACCCCGGGCCTGTGCCCCTTGGGCCCCTCTGCAGGGAGGGGTGTGAGCCCAGCGGCCGTCCCTCCCCTGCTCTGGCCGGCAGTGCTACCATGGAAACCAGGAGATGCTGCAGTGAGCGAACAGGCCCTTCACTTCACGTGTGGGTGGCGTCGTCACCCCCCAGCCTCTGCTCCCCCCTGCAGGACCCCGACTGCGGTGGCCAGCACCGGGGGACTGCACAGAGGTTGTCCCGGGGCCCCCACCTCCCGGAGTGGAGGGAACACCCAGCCCGGCTCCCTGCTGGGGTAGATGGTGGGGGGAACCCCTCCTCCTGGCCCACAGGTCCCGACCGCACAGCCCGGCCTGGGGACCAAGCAGCTCAGCCGTCCCCCAGCCCCCCCAGGAGCCCCCCACCCCAGCGCACCTGGAGAGCCCCCTCAGCCGATACTGAAAACCGCCACTCTCCATGACCCCGGAGGCCAGGTTCTCCTCAGGGACCAGCTCCCAGGTGTCCTGGGGCTTCCTCTTGGCCATGAGCTGGGCCAGGGTGCTGGCCCACGCGTCCACCCCGTCCATGCTGGCACTTGGCTCCGCACTGCGGTCTGACAGCTGCGCCGGCTCCGCTCCGAGGGAGCCCTGGGATCCCACATCCTGCATCCTCCCCAGCCAATCGCTGCCTTGACAACCGCCCAGTCTCCATGGCAACCGGGTTCGTCCCCCAGAAATGAGAACCGGGCCTTGTTCCCCGTCCCCTTGAATATTTCTTATTACGCAGGCGATATATTTTCATTTTAGAAAAAACCAGAAACAAACAGATAAACACAAAGGAGAAACTGATACAGAATAAAGTCCTACACGATCCTCCCGGTGGCGCTGCGACTGCGCGTCTCCCCAGACACGCGTGTGTGAATTTTCCTGGTTTTCACAAACAGGAAATCACAGTGAGCGTGTTTTTGGACAGCCCGGCCTCACTGGCCCACACGTCTCAGGCGGCGTTGCGCACTAGTCAGTGCGTGAGCGCGGCATCTTGCGGCCCAGCCTGCGGCCCTGCCTGCACCCCACGCACCCCGCGCTCCTTCTTTGCCGTCAGGGATGACACCAGGAGCGACGTTATTGAACACGAATTGTTGCAGATTTTCCCACAGTGGTTTTTTTTCTCCCAAACCGTATGTTGGCTGGAGACGCCAGACATGTGCGTGGACGTGGCTAAAGTGCGAGGCGCAGCCTCACGGGTGCAGTTAGGACCTGGCCCAGCCGCTGGGGAAGGGCCTCCCGGGCTGTGCGCCCTGCCTCGAGGCGCCCCCACCACGGGAGGTGCCTCTCCCTGCTGCTGCCTTGGGCTTCGTGTCAAGGACCCTACGCGGTGTGGTCCCTGGAAGTATCCCTGCAGCAGCCGCCCCCTGCATGCCCACGCCACTCTGTCCCCCACGTGGGGGGTCCCTGTGCCCCCCATGCCGTCCTCAGGTTCAGGTCTCGGTGCGCCACCCCCCCCACACTGCGACTGCCAGCCTCCCCCGCCCCACCCCTGCCTCATGAGAGCCCCTCCCTCGCCCTCCCTCCTCACCCCTCTGGGGGTCCGGGCACCCTGCTCCACCCCTGCTGCAGGAAGTGAGCCAGGGAGCCCAGGGCCCTGCCCAGCACTGCCTTGCCCTGGCGCCCCAGCCCCCCAGCCTACCCCCTGAGCCGCCACGACCCCTCTGTCCTGCCCCGGGAACACGCTCCTCACTCCTCCATGGCGGCAGATTCTCTGCCCGTGTCTGTCCAGCCTGCTGATGGGCTGATGTTTCTTTCCTGTTTTGCGTTTCTAAGACACCTGTCTGCCTCGAAGCAAGGAGTGATCGTGGGATAGGGGAGGAAATTGTGGGGCTGAGCTCCTGGGAAGTCTCCTTCCTGTGGGGCCAGCGAGCTGGGGAGGACCACGGCCCCCGCGCTGTCCTCTGCGTCTGGGCATTGATGCAGATGTGACGACTGGCACTCCCACAGCCCCCTTACACCACAAGGCGAACCTGCAGATGGAAGCCATGTGCGCAGGGAGAAGGCAAGCCTGGACCCTGGATGACTCGGAGTCACTGTACCACCTCAGACACCTACCTCTGGATGTATTGTTCCCGAGAGAAGCGAGCCTCCAGCAGCCACTGTTACAAAAGGCCCTGTGCTCTGGTTCATCGGCCATTCTGACCGCCATGCTGGGGCTGTGCCCGCAGCCCCGGGTCGTGCCGGTTGGTCTGGGGCCACAGCGTGGAGGCGGGCATGCGTGTGGTCCTGTTCACGTGCCTGCACAGGGCTCCAAGGGGATGCCCTGGCCTGCTGTGCGGAGCGCCCACCGAGCCCTTCCCCTCCATGTGGCCTCCCTGGGCCCAGCACCCTGACGCCCTCCGCACACTTTTGGGTGTGGGAGCCGTGCTCTGCCCGGGGCTGTGCCACAGCCCATCCACCTGCTCTACTGGGCAGCCCCCTGTGTTCAGAGACCCCAGCCTGCCTCTGAATTCAGGGAAGAGTCTTGGTATGTGACTGGCCTCCACCACCCAAAAATGATCTTTATGGTTAAGAAACTTGCTCACAGGGACACCCGGGTGGCTCAGGGGTCTAGCATCTGCCTTTGGCTCAGGTCATGATCCCGGAGTCCCGGGATCGAGTCCCACGTCAGGCTCCCTCCCTCTGCCTGTGTCTCTGCCTCTCTCTGTGTGTCTCTCATGAATAAATAAATAAAATCCTTTAAAAAAAGAAAGACAGAAACTTGCTCACAGCTCTCCCAGAAGACTGCCCGAGGAGCCCAGGGGCAGACCCCAGCCCCCCCCACCTCCTTTGTGTGCCTGCCCGTCTGCCCCCAACCGGCACCTCAAACTCTTTGCCAACAAGCCACTGGGCCATACGCATGCCCCTTCTTTACCAGAGGGCGACTGATGAGGCCGAGCCTGCGCGGCGCTTCCCGAGTCCTGGGTCTCCTGGACCCTGAAGCTGGTGGGCTGTATGTGGTCCACCTGCCCGGACGGGCGCCCTCTGAGGACAGACTCAGGGAATGAGTGTTGCTAGCGCCCTGTCAGCCCCACTCCGCCCTCCGCCCAGCTCTCTGTGACCAGCTCCGAGGCACAGATGACCGCAGGCTGGCACGGATGGACAGGCTGTCAGGCGCAGCCAGGTCCTGTTTCAATGCTACTGCCCCCACTGATGAAGGCGGTGCTCCCCTGTCCCCCGGGGACTCTCCTTTAGGTTGCCTGCCTGCCACTCAGGCTCTTGAGTTCAGCTTTTGGACCCGGTGGCTGGAAGGCAGGGGTCACAGCCCCCTCCACCGGGTGGCCTCCAGGGTGAGCATCTGGAAGCAGCCTCCCTGGCAGCCCAGATGCACCGCGAGGACAATCTCCTGTCCCCCTCTTGGCCTAGGGATGGCCTGCGGAGGTTCCCCCAAAGCCACTCCATGCGATGCTGGGCCAGAGCAGTGCCAGCTGTGGGATGGCAGTGCAGAGAAAGCAGAGAACCCCAGGGTCCAGCTCAAGGCCAACCGGCTGACGGGGAGGCTTGGCTCCATCAACAGGACCCCAACTTGTGTGTCTGAAGGAGACAAGGTGAGAGATAGACGAGGAGAGATAATCGGGTGGAAACAGTGGTGTGGGTTCACCCCCGCCTGCCTCCAAACCTCAGCTCCAGGGAGACGGGGGCCCAAGGCCCCACACAGCCAGGGAGTCCTTCCCACCCCCACGGCTGCCAGGCCAGGGCCAAGTCATGTCAGCGCAGCCCTGCAGCGGTGGGGGTGGGGGGTGGGCGGGGGGGTGTCACCCTGGAAGGAGCAGCGCAGCCACAGGGAGCTGCACCAGGCCGGAAGGGAAGGCCCAGGGCCCTCGGGCCGCCGAGGCAGGGCACAGGCAGCCGCAGACACTTGGCTGGAAGCACGCGCGCCGCGTGACTGACCGGCCTCGTGGCAGTTCTGTGAAGGATAAACGAGTAACTGGCTAATGCTTGACCATAGGACCGTGTGACTGTCCTATCGCCTCACAGTTTGGTTTCGTTTCTCCACTGAAGTAATTGTGCGCAGAACCGTGTGCGTGGAGCCGGGCAGGGTCCAGTCCCCGGGCGCGGGGCGGCTCCCAGATCGCAGGGGGCCCACCTGCTTGCTGGGGCCTGCGGGGGCGGGGGGCTGCCCGGGCCCCCAGGTGACCAGCCCCCACGGGGCCTGAGCGGTGGTGGCCGTGCCGAGAGGTCAGGGATGTTCAATCACGCTCACGCACCACCCACAAAACACATGCCCGTGAACACACGCGGAAATGAAGAACGCAAGCTCACATCCAACAGCAGCCTTCTAGAAAGTGGGAAGAAGGGGAATGGGAAAGCTCTCGCAGCGCCGCTACCTTGCAAACAACGCAGCCTTCCTCGTTCTCGCGAATAACCACCGGTGCCATATTTTGTGCAAATTTTTAAGATCAGTTTCTTCAGTTGGGCAGATGGACTCGGTGTTCTTTTTAACTTCTGGGAAACGCTTCAAAAACAGGATAGAACAAAAAGTTTTTATTTGCAAACACTATTAACCATTTCCTGTTCCAACCTCAGAAATAGCTGTGAACCTGCTGCTGCCTCCCAGGGCCACGGCGGGCACGGTCCCGGCTGAGTGACATCACCTCCCGGCGCTCAGAGCAGCTTCACAGTTTCGGGATGATCCTTCTGCTTCCTGTGTTTTACCATAAATGGAAACTTCCCTGTGAGTCGGCCGCTGCCTCGGGAAAGCGCGGGGGGATCCCCGTACCCCCACTTTCCATCGTGCTGGCTCATATTCCGGCTCCCCCGCCCGCTCGCCCGCACACCCCTGCTTGGCGTCACCGCTGGGCCGGCACCTTGGAAACCAAAGCTCACGCCGGGAGGGCGAAGGGCCCGGCAGGAAGCCTCGCGAGCAGCAGACCCTGCTGGGGGCACAGGGCGCGGCACCCACGGGCGCCCGTGCAGCCTCGCGGCTGTCACCCACCGGGTGCCTCAGCCCCAGAGAGGCCTGGCAGGACAGCGGCAAAGGGGAGCCCACAGGAGATGTGCTCCCGGCCGCGGGAGGGCAGGATGCGGCTGCGTGAATCCCACGCCCACGGCTACGTGGGGATCCTCCCGAGGCTGGGCCGGGCCGCGTGGACAGGATGGAGGCGGCTGTGACACTGTGTGATGGGGCACCGGGGCACCTGGAGCACAGGACGCATGGGCCGTCCCACAGCTGACACAGTGCAGCGCTGACCACATGACACACACAGGAACTCCAAGTGCACCCAGGGGACGCCACCCGTGGCAGCAGCCCAGCTGCGATATCCCTGGTGGTCGTGCAAAATGTCACCGACAAACCCAAGCCACGTGTGAAGCGCGGCTCCTGCCCTTTCCCCGCCCAGAGAGAAGCTGCGGTTGCTGCAGGGACCCCGCAGGGCATCCTTCTCCCGGGTAGTCCCTGGGGCCTGCATGGTGCACGGGGACCCCACTGGGCCTCCCCAACCTGAGGCGGTGACACCTGGACACAGGGCAGGGAGGGGAGGGCCAGCCAGCCGTGGACACAGGCGGACACAGGCAGGGGATGGATGGGGTCCCTGACCTTCCCCTTCCCTCCAGCCAGGGAGCTTGTCGTACCCCTAAAGACAGATAGTGAGGGAAAGGGACAGTGAGTGTGACAAGGATGGTGAGTGTGATGGGGACAGTGAGGTGTGACAGGGATGGTGAGAGTGACAGGGACAGTGAGTGTGACAGCGATGGTGTGATGGGGACGGTGAGAGTGATAGGGACAGTGAGTGTGATGGGGACAGTGAGGTGTGCCAGGGACAGTGAGTGTGATGGGGACAGTGAGATGTGATGGGGACAGTGAGTGTGATGGGACAGTGAGGTGTGACAGAGACAGTGAGTGTGATGGGGATAGTGAGTGTGATGGGGACAGTGAGTGTGATGGGAACGGTGAGTGTGACAGAGACGGTGAGTGTGATGGGGATGGTGTGACGGGGATGGTGAGAGTGACAGGGACAGTGAGGTGTGACAGGGACAGTGAGTGTGATGGGGACAGTGAGTGTGATGGGGACAGTGAGATGTGATGGGAACAGTGAGTGTGATGGGACAGTGAGGTGTGACGGGGACAGTGAGATGTGACGGGGACAGTGAGATGTGACAGGGACAGTGAGTGTGACGGGGACAGTGAGTGTGATGGGGACAGTGAGTGTGATGGGACAGTGAGGTGTGACAGGGACAGTGAGTGTGATGGGACGTTGAGTGTAACGGGGATGGTGAGTGTGATAAGGATACTGAGTATGTTAGGGAGAGCGAGTGTGAGAGGGTTAGTAGTTTTAGGGGGACACGTGTGTTCTGCAGCAATAGTGAGTGTGACCGGGACAGTGAGTGTGAGGAGCGTGGGGAGCTCCCGGTGAGGGAGGCCGCCCCACAGTCCCGAGGCTCCTGCCAGCCCCAGGCTGTCACCCGCGGGTCCTGCCCACCGGGCCGCAGAGTGTGGGGCCCCTGGGGGCTGTGACCCTCCGGGTGCCCCATTCGCCCTGCAGACCCCACCGTCCAGGGGCCACCGCCCACCCCAAGGTGCCGGCAGGGGGGCGGGGGGGGGGGCGAGGAGGCCACAGGGGTCCCCAGCCGGGGGTGGCCGAGCTCCTGCAGGGGGGGAGGGGCGGGCAGGTCTCAGCCCCGCCCCCGCCCCCCCCCCCCCGCGCCCCCGCCGCCGCCTGCAGACACCGTCTTTGATGCTCTTTTTCCACCGTTTCGGGTTCTTTAATGTTCCCGCGGCAGCCGCGACCTGCCCTCCGCTCCCCAGCGGGACCCACGCGCCGCCGCCACCGTCAGCACTTTCCTGTCCCGCTTTCCGCGCAGCACCCGGGACTGCAAACCGCCCGCTGCCCGCCCCTGGGGACCCCAGGCCGCCCCCTGCCCCCCGCCGGAGCCAGCGCTGGGGAGGGGCCCGGAGCTGCGGGGGAGGGAGAGGGGAGAGGGAGGGGAGCGGAGAGTTAGGGGAGGGGGAGGGGAGCGGAGGGGGAGCGAGGGGAGAGGAGGGGATGGGAGTGCAGGAGGGCGGGAACAGAGGGGAGGGGAGAGGAGAGGGGAGAGGAGGGCAGGGGGAGGGGGGAGGGAGGGGGAGGGGAGGCGCAGCGGAGGGGAGGGAGGGGGAGGGGAGGGGGGACAGGAGGGGAGGGGAGGGGGAGGAGAGAGGAGGGGGAGCGAGGGGAGAGGAGGGGATGGGAGCAGAGGAGGAGGGGAGAGGAGGGCAGGGGGAGGAGGAATGGAGGGGAGAGGAGGGGAGGGGAGCGGAGGGGAGGGCGGGGGGAGGGGCGGGGAGGGGACGGAGGGGGGCCTGACCCCCGCCCCCCAGGCCTGGACGGTCCAAGGGCGCCCGGGACCAAAGCGGCCGGGACTCGGGCGACCCTGGCGGCCGGTGTCCTGCCCTCGCAGCCCGGGGCAGGGAGTGGGGGTCCCACCCGTCCAGGGGCGCAGCGGGGGCGAGGGCAGGACAGCAGGCCTCCCGGAGGCCCCGCGCCCCTCCCTGAGGGTCCCCTGCGCCCCGCCCCCCGCACCTGTGCCCGCGGCTCCGCTCCGCTCCCCCCCATCCCCACCCACGTGGAGGAGGAGGAAGAGGGGGCGGGGCTGGGGCGGCTCCCGGCCGACTCCGGGGCTTCCTTTCCGCTCACACCTCTGCGGGAGCCGCCGGGGGAGGCGAGCAGGCGGGCTGGCGCTCCGGGCATGGGGACCCCGCGGGGGCCCTGGCCGCTCGTCTGGGCCGTGCTGCAGCTGGGCTGGTGGCCAGGATGGCTCCTAGGTACCCGTCGGGGCTGGGGATGTGGGGTCGGGGCTGGGGATGTGGGGTCAGGGCTGGGGATGTGGGGTCAGGGCTGGGGGCTTGGAGTCAGGGTTGGCGGGTATAGGGACAGGGCTAGGGGGTATGGGGTCAGGGCTGGGGGATATGAGGTCAGGGCTGAGGATATGGGGTCAGGGCTGAGGGCTTGGAGTCAGGGTTGGATGGTACAGGGCCAGGGCTGAGGGGTACAGGGCCAGGGTTTGGGGCTTGGGGTCAGAGCTGAGGGGTACGGGGTCAGGGTTGGGGGCTTGGGGTCAGGGTGGGGGCTTGAGGTCAGGGGAGACCTATGTACCTGGTACCCAGGGAGGAAGCTGTGTGGGGCCGGGCCCTGAGGCCCAGCACGGCCCCTGGCTGCTCACTGTGTGGCTCTGGGCTGGTGAAGTGCCGTCTCTGGACTCCAGCTTCTTGCCTCCTGCCCTCACCTGATGGTGAGCCTGGCCGTGGCCTGTGGGCAGGCGGGAATGTCCCAGCTGTTCCTCCGGGTGGCGGGGACAGGCTTGCTCCCCGTAGGATGGCAGGGCCCAGCCCGCATGCCTCACATTTTCCCAGGGATGGGACCAGCCTCCCAGGGGACTGACGGGCTGCTCCTCGGGCACTGACAGGCTGCTCCTCCTCGGGCTGGAGGGCCAAGCGACGTTTCCAGTGATACCAGCAGGGGAACCGTTGGCGTCAAGTCTGTTCGCTTGTCCCCACCCCACCTGCTGGGGTCTGGGGCTGCTCAACGAGAGTCGTGGGTGTATGTGCAGGGTGCTGAGGGTGGGTTCCCTCGGGGGGTACGGCCCCCAGCCCCCCTACCCGGGGCTCTACTCTGGTCCGAGTCCGTGCCCAGGTAGAGGTGCCCACTGCATGCTTGGGTGTGCCAGCGAAGGTGCATCCCTGGGATCCAGCTCTTTCCTCTGGACCTGGCTGGGCCAGGAGGTGACGGGCCCAGGAAGGAGCACGACCAGGTCCCCGCTGGGGCTGCCCATCCCGGAGTCGTGGTGCTACACTCGGGCCCGCTCAGCAGCAGTGGGTGCACAAGCCCCCCTGCATTTCCTCCCAGCCCAGCTGAGGTCCACAGTCCAAGGGCCTGTACCCAAAGGTGCCCCATGGGGGAGCCTGGCGGGGAGCCCGGGCACAGAGGCAGAAGGGCAATGTCACCCCCGGAGAGGGAGCCGAGGCATGGGGGGGCCCGGACTCACCCCCGGTGGCCCACGACCCACCGGGACCCCTTCCCAAAGCGGGGAAAGATTAGAACGAGATTCTCCAGGTGCTCTCCAGAGTCAGCAGAGCCCACTGGTGGCTCAGCCTGCCTCAGTTTCCCCACCTCAGCCCTGAGCCCTCTACACTGCCTACTCGGTTCCCCCGAGTGCAACCCTTGATTCCGCCCCTTCCCTTTCCCTTCCTAGTGTATTCAGTACTTACTATTCGGGTCACCCTCGGGGACGTCCCCCCACACACACACCTGTTTTTCTTGCATTTTATGAAATGTCCCCAACCAGGTCGTTGGCTGCCCCCTATGCTGGGGCACAAGCGTGAGGAAACGGGCAGGCTCGGACACAGTCAAATGAGCGCATGGGGCTGAGGCCTCCGGCAAGTCCCCTAACCTCAGCGAGCAGCCGGGGTCTGGGCGGCAGCCGGGGACACGGGGACACTCCTGCCCGCCTCGCACTGGGAATTAGATCAGATCAATTACAAAAACCGTCCTCATGGCCTATGGTATGTTTTTTGAAACCAGATTTGTTTTGTTTTAGTTATTTCTTTAACTTATAGTCTTTTTTTAAAAAAAGATTTTATTTATTTATTCATGAAAGACACAGAGAGAGAGGCAGAGACACAGGCAGAGGGAGAAGCAGGCTCCATGCAGGGAATTCGACGTAGGACTCGATCCCGGGTCTCCAGGATCACGCCCTGGGCCAAAGGCAGGTGCCAAACCGCTGAGCCACCCGGGCTGCCCCATCTTTAACTTATAGTCTTGAAAAATGTCTGAAACGTACGGGAAAGTCACAGTGACCACCCTTTACCCAGAATCCCGGGTTGACGGTATTGGCACATTTGCTTTGTCTGGGGCTCCCGAGCCCCGGGGGGCTTCAGCACAGAGGGTCGCTGTCTGGCAGCTGTGGAGGTGGGAGGTCGGAGACCAGGTGAGCGCGGGGCTGGCTCCGTCTGAGGCCAGGAGGAGGGTCCCGGGCAGGCTCTCCCCGCGTCAACCCTTGGGCTTCTTAGCTTGTGGATGGGTCACCCCATCTCTGCTCCAGAGTCGCTCTGCTCCTGCGTCTGTATCTGAAAGTCCCTTTCTTGTAAGGACACCAGTCATGTGGGATTAGGGACCCCTGGGCTCCAGCTTACCTTGGGTAATTTCATCTGCAATGACCGAATTTCTTCTTCTTTTTTTTTTTTTTTAAGTAGGCTCTTTACCCAGTGTGGGCCTCAAACTCACGACCCTGCCATGCAGAGTCACAAGCTCTCCCAGCTGAGTCAGGCCACATAGGGCAGTGCTGGGGATGGGGGCACCAGCACGTAGCCTGGGGAGCACGGTCCTGCTTGCTGCCCTTGCTCAGAGGTCAGGCTCCTCTGCGGACCCTCCGGTGGCTCCCCCCCTCCTCCCGGGACAGTAACTTTGACCCAATCCCTTCATCCAGATGCTCCTGCACCCTGGTCCAGCCGCCCTTCCTGATGGGACCCCAGGGGATGTCACTGCCTCAGTGTCTCCAGGCGCAGGGGGACCCCAGCTCTCCTGTCACCAGGCCTGGCACTCTGGAGTTTTTTTTTCTTCTTTTTTTTCTTAAGATTCTATTTATTTATTCATGAGAGACACCGAGAGAAAGAGAGGCAGAGACACAGGTGGAGGGAGAAGCAGGCTCCCTGCAGGGACCCAGACGTGGGACTCGATCCCGGGACCCCGAGGTCACGACCTGGGCCAAAGGCAGATGCTCAACTGCTGAGCCACCCAGGCGTCCCTGGGTATTTTTCTTCTTTAAATCAAATCTCAATTTTACTTTAGATACAGAAAGCTCAGAATCAGGAATGTCTTCGCGGAGTCCAATTAGCAGCCCTTTATTCGTTTAGGGAACATCGTGAGATGACTCACGGTTTTATGTGTCTTGCCGGATGACCCCCGCCCCGGTATGTCCGGTGGGCACATGGTCCCCACACAGTCACACAGTCTGTTCTCTTATAACGAGAACTTGGGACGCGCTCTCCTTGGCCGCCTGCAGATAGGGGATAGCGCAGGATCCACTACAGTCGCCCTGCTGGGCGTCCCGGCCTGTGACTTACTCGTTTCATAACTGGAGGCTTGTGCCTCTGAACCCATCCTGCGTCTGCCGACACCCGCTCCCCACCTCCGGCCACGGATCCGTTCCCTGATATCCAACTTATAACTTAGAGTTTTTGTTCTTTTCTGGTTCTTGGTTTCTGCCTCCGCAGGTTCATGAGATCACAAGGTGTTTGACTTATCTGTTAGCATGGCGGCCTCCGGACCCACCCGTGTCGTCCTAAATGGCAAGGTGTCATGTCATCCCCTTTAGGGCTGAGTGACATCCCCCTGTGTGTGCCCACGTGTGGACGGAGCGAGGGCTGCTTGTGGATCTTGGCTCGGGTGGCGAGGGCCGCGGTGAACACGGGGGCACAGATGCTGTTTCTGTTCTTTTTGGATTCACGCACAGAAGTGGACTTGCCAGGCTGTGGGGCAGCTGTGTTTCCGGCCCCTTGAGGCCCCTGCGGCCTGCGGCCTGGGGTGGCCGCACCTGCTGGCGCTCCCACCGGCGGCGCGCCGGCCCCTCGCCAATCTTGCCGTTTCCTGTCTGTGCTTCCAGCCAATCTGACAGGTGTGAGGCAGCGTCTGGTTGTGGTTTTGAGCTGCGTTTCCCAACGATGAGTGACGTGGGCCATCTGGACGTCGTCTTTGGAGAAATGTCGTCCAGGTCCCTGCCCAGTATGGTTTGGGGGTTTTGCTGCCGAGTTTCAGGAGAGTCCGCGCCCGGAGACTCAGCCTTCATCAGATAAACGGCTTACCAGTACGCCCCCCCACTCCGTAGGCTGCGTTTCCATCGTGACGGCGCTCTCTGCTGAGCAGGAGCTTCCGAGCTTGGTGCGGTCGCACTTGCCTGTTTCCATGTTGGGGGCCACCATGCGTGCGCGCACGTGCCTACGGGGCTGTGACCTTTGGGGGCGGTTACAGACCCGGAGCAAGGAGGTGAGGGCACCCTGCCCACCTCCCGAGGAGCAAGCGACTTGTGGGGTGTCAGATCCCGACGGTGTGGCGGGTGACACTTTCGGCCCCACAGATGGGATTTGCCCGGACCGGGTGCCGGCTGGTGGACGTGGCACGTGTGGTGTCCGTGGGAGCCAGGCTCCCGCCGCCCTCCACCCACCCCCCAAACCAGAAAGAAGCCCTGGGGGCCCCTTGCCGACATTTTATTATCAAGTACAAGGTGTTTGGTGCGCTTTACATTTGAGCGTTTGGGCCCCAGCAACGTGAGACCCGGCGCACGGAGGGTGCCGCTGTCCCGGCCGCTGCTCTCAGAAGCCGGCTCCCCCGCAGCGCTTCTCTGGGAGGCAGTGGGGTGACGTGACGCGCGCAGCGTCCAGGCCGCTCCAGGAGCAGAGCCCAGGGCCCAGCTGGGGAGGGGTCAGGCCCGGGCTCTGGCCCCCCATCCCCTGGACAGGTACCCAGCCCCGGCCCTCGACAGCCCTGCACCCCATGACGGCAGGGAGCAGGCCGTGCAGCAGCTGCGGGGTGAAGGGCAGGCTGCATGCGAGCCAGGGGTGCGAGCCAGGCTGCCTGCGCTGCGAGGGGGGGCGGGGTGGCGGGAGGCTCCGAGGAGATGCAAGTGGAGCCGGGAGTCCACAGGGCACCAGCAGGGCCAGGAGGCCGCCGTGGGGGCTGAGGCAGAGACGTGGGGCCGGGTGACAGGGCTCTAGGCAGCTCCAGGAGGCCTCCTCGCCAACCTCAGATGCCCGAGGGCCAGCAAGCAGGTGACCCAGGGGTCGCCAAGTCAGGCTGGAGCGGGGTAGTTGAGGGCCTGAACCAAAGCCACTCCGGAGCCCTGGGGAGGCCTGCGGGGCGGTGGGGGGACTCCATGCCCCACGTGGACCCCCGGGGGCCAGCTCTCGGGCGCCCTGGTCCCAGGAGGGCAGGGGTCTGTCCACAGGCCTCGGTGGCGGGGGTGTGGGCCTGGGGGTGGTGCCTTGGAGGGGGCTCCTGGTGGGCATCTGTGATAGGCCAGAGGCAGGCACTTCAGGTGGGGGCGCAGGGGGAGGGCGGCCTGGACATCCAGATCTGTGCCCTCCTTGCACTGTTACTCACGTGACACTTCCTATGGCCACCACGTGCGCTTCTTGCATAAACATATGAAGATGTGGGTTAGAACCGCAAGGAGTCCTGCCGGGTCGGGCTGCTCATGTGTGGTCGGGACGCACCATCACAGACGCCAAAGAGGCCGCCCTGGGCCCCCCACTGTGTCATCCCTGGGACAGCAAGGGCCAGGGCTGCACCAGCCACCCCCCAGCCCGGGCCTGGCCCCCTCCTGCCCCTCCTGGCCAGGGCCACGCGGCCTCTGCAGAGCTGCGGAGATGCAGGGACGTGTGCCACCCTCCCCGCATGTGGCCACCCTGTCCACCAGGGTCAGCTGCACAAGGGGGGCACCCATGTCCAGTTACTGGATGGGCTTCTCGAGGCAGGGCCTCAGCTACAGGGCTGGGCATGTGACTGCCCTGTTCCTCCATCGGTGGCCAAGAGAGGCACCGGGAGGGAGGCCGCAGGGGGTCCAGGCTGGCCAGGTTGGCTGGGACGTAGGCCTTGGGGCGGAGCGGTGGACACTCCCCTGGGTGGTCCCCCAAGCAGGGCCGTAGACACCTAAGGATGCAGGGGGGGCCCCCCCTGGCCCCCCCACCTGCCCAGTGGGGACGTGTGGGAGGAGTTTGGGTCACCTAGGCCCTGGCGGGGCTTGCGAGGGTGGGCGCTGGCCCTGGCCCCATCCCCATCTTGCGGAGCCAGAGTCACTGAGCGAGCAGAACGTTGTGTCCACAGAGGCAGAGGGACCCTAGCTGAGGGCCAGTGTCCCCACGTGTGAGGATCCCCGCCCAGCACGCGTGGCCGTGGGACTTAGAGGCTTGCATGGCCAGAAAGAGCCCAGGGACATGGCTCGGGCAGGTGGACACACAGCCCCGTCCCTGCACTGGCTTCTCTGGTCATCACGGTGTCTGGGGAGCTGCAGGGTGTGGGACATGTGGGTGGGCCAGGAAACAACCTCATGGGGCAGCGTCTCAAGTCTGGGGGCTCCGTCCGCAGTGAGGCGGCCCACGCCTGGAGCAGGTGTGGCAGGGGCCCAGGAGAGGGGCAGGGGCAGGCCCTCAGGGAGGGGGCTGGGAGCCCTGAGGATGTCCCCGGGCCAGGCCCTAGCAGGTGACGGGTCCTGGCGAGGGTGGGCCACAGCCCTGGGGCGGCCTCCATTTCTGTCCACGTGGGGGCGGTGGCCCAGCTGGCCTGTGAGCTCGGGTCTCAGTCGGCAGAGGGCACAGAGGGCCCCGCTCTGACCCGGCCCAGCCCGTGCTTGTCCTGAGAGGGGCCCAAGGCTGCTCCCTGAGCTTTCGTGGGAGGCCCCCCCCGCCCAGCACCCAGGTGCCCACCCCCTCCATGCTCACGGGCCAGGCCCCTGATGAGCCCGGGATTGGGGAGCTAGGAACCTGGTGGCTGGGCCTGCCTGGATTCACATCCTGGAGACGACACGAAGAGGGGGACGGCCCTAACCACTATTGGGGTGGACTTTGGGGTGAAACGGGGAGCCTGGGGGTCAGAGCTGGAATACAGCCCAGGCCTCGAGTCTCAGGGCAAAGGATGGAGTCCTGCGGTGGAGTGGCCTGCTGAGAAGTGAGCGCCTCGTCCCCGGGGGTGTGCAAGAGAGGTTGCCAGGCTCTGAGGCGGGGTCCCGGCGGGGGCTGGGGTGCGAGGCGCAGGGGAGGAGGGTGAGGGGCAGCGTCCCCATGGCCCTGTCTCACCGGCTGCCGGCTCTTTCCCCCCCCCGTCAGACTCCCCCGACAGGCCCTGGAGCCCGCTCACCTTCTCCCCGGCGCAGCTCACGGTGCAGGAGGGAGAGAACGCCACGTTCACCTGCAGCCTGGCCGACATCCCCGACAGCTTCGTGCTCAACTGGTACCGCCTGAGCCCCCGCAACCAGACGGACAAGCTGGCCGCCTTCCAGGAGGACCGCATCGAGCCGAGCCGGGACAGGCGCTTCCGTGTCACGCGGCTGCCCAGTGGGCGGGACTTCCACATGAGCATCGTCGCCGCGCGCCTCAACGACAGCGGCATCTACCTGTGCGGGGCCATCTACCTGCCCCCCAACACACAGATCAACGAGAGTCCCCGCGCAGAGCTCTCCGTGACGGGTGCGGCCCCGCTCCAGCTCTGTCCACCCCCAGCCCGTGGTGGCTGGTACCCAACTGTCGTGGTGGGCGGCACCCAACCCCCTGGTCCTGCTGGGAAGGTGCAGCCTGCGGGAGGGTGTCAGGGGCAGGCGCCTCTCAGGATACGGCTGAGCAGGGGTGCGGCCTGGGCGAGGCTGCTGAGTGCAGGACAGGCCAGGCCCCTCAGGACTTGGGGGGCTGTGTCCCCCCGAGACCCCTCCCCGTGTCCCCCCATGTCTTCCTAAGGCCCCTCCCCAAGTCCCCTCCCTGTGTCTCCCCCATGGTCCCCCAATGTTCCCTCCCTGAGTCCCTGTGTCCCCCGTGTCCCCCCCATGTCCCACCTGTCCTCTCCCCATGTCCCCTCCCCCTGGCCCTCCCAGGTGCACCCCCATGGTCCCCCCCATGTCCCCTCCCTCAGTCCCCATGTCCCTCCATGTCCCACCTGTCCTCTCCCCATGTCCCCTCCCTCTGTCCCCCCCAGGTGCACACCCATGGTCCCCTCATGTCCCCTCTCTGAGTACCCATGTGCCCCCCCATGTCTCACCTGTCCCCTCCCCATGTCTCCCCCAGGTGCACCCCCGTGGTCCCCCCCATTCTCCTCCCTGAGACTCTATCCCCCTCCCCCTCCAGAGAGAACCCTGGAGCCCCCCACACAGAGCCCCAGCCCCCCACCCAGATTCAGCGGCCAGTTACAGGGGCTGGTCATCGGCGTCACGAGCGTGCTGGTGGGTGTCCTGCTACTGCTGCTGCTGACCTGGGTCCTGGCCGCTGTCTTCCCCAGGGCCACCCGAGGTGAGGCCCCAAACCGACGGCGGTCTGTCACCGGCCAAGCCCGAGGCCCCACCCCAGCCTCAGTCCACCTCCCTGTCCTCCCCGCCCTCCTCTTCCTCCCCATCTGGTCTCCCCACACACACCCACATCGTCCACCGCGAGGGCCCCTCAGGGCAGGGCTGGGGCTGGAGCCGTCCTCGCAGGTTCGGGGGCCCCCGCCCGACACCTGCTCTGAGGCGGGTCTGAGGGCAGAGGTTGTGGCCCAGGCCCCACAGAAAGGCAGACGCTGCCCCCACAGGCTGAGCCCAAACCTCAGGCCGCAGCTCAGCCCACAGGACACTGTGAGGCAGCTTCTGGCAGCCACGGGGCTCTGTCGGGACAACCACAGCCCCCAGAGTGACCCTGTCACCACCCCACACACACACCCCGACCGTCCTCCATCCCTCTGACAACAGGGGGCCGCCAGGGGCCAGGAGAAGCAGCCCTGAGGGGCCAGGCAGTCAGGGGACACGGGGCCGGAGAATGGGAAGCCCCACGGGATCCTGGCCCAGCCCCCCACTGCTGGCCCCGGACCCCCCACAAGTGCGCCAGGCCCCGCGGGCTTCACTGCTCCAGGGACTTTCCCCCTTCAGATATTTTTGAGGCTGTGCCGGCCGCAGGTGGCGGGTCCCGGGCACGGCCGCGGGGCATCGGGCAGAGCCGCTTGTTGCCGGTCACTGATGGTGCGCCCACCGAGCGCTGGGCGGCAGGGGCACGCGGGGTGGCACGGGAATGGCACGGGCGGTGCAGCCAGAGGGGGCACCCGTGGCGGGAGCGCCCGAGCCCGGACCCTCAGGGTCCTTGGGGGGGAGTGGGTTAGCCTGAGCATCGGTGGGCGAGAGGACACTGGGTACCCCGATGGCAGATGTGGGACCCCGTGGGCAGCGTCACTGCCGGTGCCCTCCCCTGCAGGTGCCTGTGTGTGCGGGAGCGAGGACGAGCCTCTGGTGAGTTGCCGGGCCCCGCGGCTCCCAGGGCACTGAAGGGAGGGGTCGGGAGCAGCATGCAGCTGAGCCTGCGCACCGGGCGGAGGCCCCGGGAGGGTCTGGGGTGCAGGCCCTGCCACAGCGCGGCCCTGACCCCACCTCCTCTCTAAAGAAGGAGGGCCCCGATGCAGCGCCCGTCTTCACCGTGGACTACGGGGAGCTGGACTTCCAGTGGCGAGAGAAGACGCCGGAGCCCCCGGCGCCCTGTGCCCCGGAGCAGACCGAGTATGCCACCATCGTCTTCCCGGGCAGGCCGGCGTCCCCGGGCCACAGGGCCTCGGCCAGCAGCCCGCAGGGAGCCCAGCCTCCGAGCCCCGAGGATGGACCCGGCCCGTGGCCCCTCTGACCGGCCGCCTCCGCTGGCCCATGTCCTGCAGACTGTCCACCAGGAGCCCAGCGGGCACCTCCCCTGGAGCAGCGAGTAGTGGGGGGCCGGGGGGCTGCTCCGGGGCTGAACCCGTGACCCCCGCTGCCTGTGGCAGCCCTCGTGGCTCTCCTCTCTCGACTCACGACCTGGGGACAGCGGGTGCCCCTGTCCCTGCCCCTGTCCCTCTCCGGGGCTGTGCCTGGGGAAAGGAGGCTCACCCAGGACCGCAGGCCCGGCCCCCTGAGCCAGATGGGCCCCCCCGCCCTGATTGCTGCCCCGTGCTCCCACATGTGCCTCCCTGGGGGAGGGGTCCAGTGCCGCGGCCCCCTGGCTGCCTGCATGTGGGGACACAGGGACACTGGCCAGAGACCCCGCCGGGGATGGCCTGCTGAGGTCCCCTCTAGCCCAGAAACCCAGCCCAGCCCGGGGATCCCACCCTGGGGCCGGGGCCCCGGAGCTCCTCCTGTGGGGAGGCCTGGGGAATCGCTCCTGGCAGGGCAGAGGCAGGGCACCCAGGGGCCACCCTAGCAGCCCAGACACGGGGTGTGGGGGTGATAGCAATGAGGGGAATAGGCAAAGCTGGAGTGACCCCGGCTGAGGCCGAGCTGGGGACGCCCAGGAGCACCTGCCCCTGGCGCCCACGCATGGTGCTATTTAAAGGGGCCTTGCCGGGCATGGCGCAGGTCTGCTGCCCGGGCATGGAGGCCAGTGGCTACCAGCTGTCAGGGACTCAGGAGCGTACGTCCTGTCTTAGGTTCCGCGAACACTCAGAAGCCCCTCACCGTGTTCTATTATATTATAATTAAATAACGACAAAAGCTCTAAGGAAAGCCTAGTTTTCTCCTGCTCCTGTGACTCTGGGGGGCAGGGAGGAGGTCCTGCCTGAAGGGGAGGAGGAAGGACGCGCCAGGCCTCCCCAGGCCCGGCCTTCACCCTCCGGGCCTCACCCACGCCGTCCCCGAAACACACAGACCCTCCAACGCGCCTCCTCCCCATTGCCCCCCACATGCATGGGGTGCCCGCCCCCGTCCCCAGCACTCCCCGCACACCTAACAGCCCCTCCCAGAGCAGCAGAGCCCCAGGCCCGGCGGGCTGCACAGGCCGTGGGTGCCAAGGTGGGAATGGTCCCTCCCACATGCAAGGGGGCGTCTGCTCCAGCGAGAGGGGGTCTCAGTTCCTGTCCCCTTGCCCCTTCCCAGGGCGCCTTGTGCAAACCCCGGCACCCCCCCCAGCCCTCTACGTGCACCCACTGGTGCCCGCCACACTGGGGTCCTGTCCTGGCTGGCGCGGGAGGTAGGATCGCAGGCCCAGGAGAAGGCGCGGATGTGCCGCTTTGCTCCAGACGTGCCAGGCCAGGCCTCATGGCAGGGGAACGCCGCCAGGGAGGTTTGCAGGTGGCACAGGCCGGTGTGCCTGGAAAACCCAACAGCCTCCATGGAGTCACCAGAAAAGGGAGTCGAGCAGCGCATATAACACCCAGAAATAAATGGCTTCCATATATCCAGACAGTAGCCAGTCAGAAGAAAAATTGGCAGAGGATCTTCCACCCGCAACAGCAACACAAGAGCTAAAATGCCCGAGAAATGTGCGAACCCACGGGGAGCTGGGCCTGAGCGCGGAAAACCCTCGACACCATCCAGAGGCCCGTTGTCCCCACGTTCACCTGTAGACATGACACGATCCCAATAAAAACCCACATCTGTGCAACTGAGCAGTTCAGACGGAGAAATTGCAAGCCGGCAGGAGCCAAAGAAACCAAGAAAAGAAAGTGAAAGAGGAGCAGCTTTCTCAGATGAACCATTTGCGACGGAGATGGACGGAGCCGCCCGCGTGCCTGAGGACGTGGGGACACGCTGACGTGGTCAGAAAGGGCGTTCACGGCCACCCATACAGGTATGAGGCCGACTTGGTGCAGTTTCTGGATGTAAAGGGGGTCTGTGGGGTCCGGGGCCGACGGCTGAGATGCCTTGTGGGCAGAATGGGGGTTTTCTCAAAGCCGGGGTAGGGATCGGGGGGCACAGAGAGCCGGCCCCGCTGCCCCTGTGCGGGGCTTGTCAGGGGCACGTGCTCCCCTGCCTCTGCGGCTAGCGTCGGCCCCAGCCCCGGGTGGTCTAGTGAGTCGGGGCTCCCTGCAGAAACGATCCCCTCCACCTCCCCAGGCATCCGTCACCGGGCTGTGGGGACATCGCAGGGACATCTACTGCATCTCCGCGTCCTGCTGCCTGTTGCCCACATCACTCTCACTTCTCACGCCATGGACCCCGCACAGATCCCAAATAGAACTATAAACGGGAAACCCTGCAAGACGCAGAGGGCTGGGGCGAGTTCCTTCACGGAGGAGCAGGAAAACCTTCCTAATGCTGCCTCGAAATCAGCAGCATAAAGAGAAGGTTGAGACAAATTGGAAAACACTTTAATGTGGCAAAAAAAAAAAAAAGTGTCAAAGCGAGCTAAGGGAAAGTATTTGTAATGCTACATAAAAGGTCAGGGCTGCGATTATGTAAAGATGTAAAATAAGGAAAGGGCAAGGGCACAGGCACAGCGGAAAAGTGAACAGAAGATATGACGAGGCAGTGCTCACCTACACACACAGACACATGCACGTGCACGCGGACTCGTGTGCACACATGGACACCAGCATGTGCACACGCGTGCACGTGGACACGTGTATGCACATGCACACCCACACGTGTATGCACACCATGTACACAAGGACACACACATGTGCACATGTAGCACACACCATACACACATAGATGTTTTCCACGTATGTATATACATCCTCTTAAGCAGCAAAAGGATGTTCATTGTTACTCCTAAGAAAAATGCAGATTACAACCACCGGAACCATGAGGATGCGCCCTAGAGGGGGGTGGGGGGAGTCGGGGAAGCGGGCCCCGCCGGCACGACTGGAGAATTGTGTTTTTTTTTTTTTTTAAGATTTTATTTATTTATTCACGAGAGACACAGAGAGAGGCAGAGACACAGGCAGAGGGAGAAGCAGCTCCCTGCAGGAGCCCGATGTGGGACTCAATCCCAGGACCCCGGGGTCACGCCCTGAGCCCATGGCAGACGCTCACCCACTGAGCCCCCCCAGGTGCCCGAGAATTGTGCTTTAGCCGGCAGTCAGCTGAGCATCTGTCCCTTGACCCAGGAATCCACAGGGAGAAGCATCTGCCAGGAGAGGCCCCGGGAGTGGGGGCGGGGAGCAGGAGGGCCTGACCCAGGCTCTGAGTGAAGCGGGGGCTGCAGTGCTGCTCAGTGTGGGGTGCAGGCCCCAAGGAGGGTGGCAGCTCACTGCCCCTCAAAGGAACCGAGTTCACCTCCTATCAAAAGATAAGGGAGCCCTGGGACATCCGGGGGGCTCAGCAGTTAAATGTCTGCCTTTGGCTCAGGGCGTGATCTCAGGGTCCGGGGATTGAGTCCCACATCAGGCTCCCCGCAGGGAGCTGCTTCTCCGTCTGCCTGTGTCTCTGCCTCTCTCCCTCTGTGCCTTTTATGAATAAATAAATAAAATCTTAAACAACAACAAAAAAAAAAAGATAAGGGAGCCCTGTGAGCCTTAAAAAATACCAAAATTACAAGTAAAAATCTAATGGATTAACACATTTTGGGTATGCTTTTTAAAAAACAAGTTCATATTCTAAAAAAAAAAGGACAAAAACGCACAAAGCAGAGAGGGCAGGAAGCGGTGGCCTCACCCAGCCACCGGCCGGGCCACCCGCTGGCAGCACGGTGGCTCAGATAAGAAGCGAGCACGCAGGGCGCAGTCAGCACTTTGCTGCTCATCTTCCCGGAACCGGCCCCTGCCCCCGCCCCCACTGTTTCCATCACCCCCTTCTCCCCCACCCTGCTCTGCTGCCAGGCCCAAGGCCTGGCTGGGGCAGCTCGCCCACGCCCACCCTGCAGGTCCCTCCCACCTCACCCAGGGTGCAAGTGGCTGGGGGGGGGGGTTGCAGGAGGACTGGTACCAGCCTGGGCTTTGCAAATGAAGCTCGAGGCCTTGCTAGAGAACTCCCGGCCTAAGTAAGGCCTGTGGCCACACCAACAGCGGGGCCAGGGGAGCCCCACGCAGGGAGTGCCTCTGCCCGGGTGCAGATCCCTCCTACCACCTGAGCTCACCCCTTCCCTGTACAGAGCTGGGGACAAGAGCTGGCCACCTCAATACAGGAGTCCCGGGTCACGCAGGACGGGAAGGGCAGGTGTCCCAGCCCTACCCGGAAATCCAAGGTGGGGCCCTTGAGGACCGGGGTGTGGGGCACGGGCAAAGGTCTCCCGGCAGGACAGACGTACCAACCCCGAGGGGGACCTGCCCTGCGACCGGGAAGGCAAGGCTGGGGGCCCAGGCCCCGGGGTTTCGGCCCCGGCAGGTGGGTAGCAGGTCTAGACAGACACCCCTCCGTGCATGGGTGAGGCTCCTGCGTTCTTGGGGAATTGGGTGCAGAGTGGGGGCGGCCTAGCCAGCACCACATTGACCCCCACTGCTGGAGCCCATCAATGGCTGCTCAACCGTGGCCTCCGGGGGGTCCCATGTCCTCAGACCCCAGTCCCACAGTCCCACCCACCTGTGGGGCCCATGTGCAGGGCTCCAGAGCCACCGCCTCAAGGTGACAACGGCCAATAACATTTCCAAGAGTCCACGGGCCGAGCACCCGCCCAGTCTGCAGCCCCAGCCACGCACCCTCTCCGCTCGCTCTCAGGCCCGTGCTGCTTTAAGGGACCAGACGTGCTTTAAAGCAGCTTAGGCTCACGGGGAGCAACGGAGCAGTAGCTCACAGCCTCCGGCACCGCCCCCCGCTCCCCCAGCCTCCCCGGGTCAACGGGCCCCTTAGACGTGCAACCATTAGTGCTGAGCCGACGGCGGCCCGGAATCTGTGATGCGCTGGGCCTTACTCTCGGTGCTGTGCACCCCATGTCCCCGCCAGCCGGGGCCACACGACGCAGCCTCCCCGCCAAAGGACCCCCAGGCTCCACCCGTTCATCCCTCGCTCCCACCACCTCCAGCGACCACTGGCCTTGCCCCCATGTCACAGGCCTGCCCTTCCGCGTCACCGGCATCACACGGCGGTAACCGCCCGCGTTGGCCTGACTTAGGGACGCGCACGCATCTCGGCTCCCCCACGCCTCCTCTGGATGCACATCCACGTACTCAAGGGCCCCCTGCTTCCCGGCAAGCTTTGGCAACCGTGAACAATGCCGCCGTGAGCACTCACACGCGGGATCCCGTGTGGACGTGAGAAGCACAGTGCCGGATCCCATGCCACGACGTTGCTTAGTTTTATAAGAAATGGCCGAGCTGTCTCGCGGCTGGTGCCCCGTCCTGCGCTCCCACCAGCCCGAGGGGCGAGTCCCGGCGGCTCTCATCCACCCTTGGGGCCCACGGCGCTGCGGGCGGTCCAGGTGCCCGCATCCTGACCCGGCCCCGTGGGGTCTTGTTTGTGGGCTCCTTCCCGATGACATATGCTGTGCAGCATCTTTCCATATGCTCGGTCGCCAAAATATACAAACAACTCTTAAAATTCACCAATAAAACAAAAAAAGAGGCAAAAGCTCAAAATAGTCACTCACCAAAGAAAGTGCACAGATGGCACAGCCGCTTTGGGAGGCAGGCTGGGCAGCTTCCTGCGATGCGGAAGCACCGGATAAACCAGCGCGAATCACCCCGAAATGCTCGACGGAAGCCACATGCCCTGGGGTTCTCCTGGTGTGTAGGTTTTGAATTATGGATTCAGATTATTTACTAGGATTCTTCAGATTTCCTATCTCCTCTTTAATAAGTTGTATTTTTCCAGGAATTGTACATTTAGTCTACATTTTCAAGTTTATTGGCATAAAACAGCTCCGAACACCTTGAGATCTTTGAACGTCTGCAGGAGCCCAGCGGGCCCGCTCTCACTCCTGATCCTGGTTCTATGCTCTCTCTCTCTCTCTCTCTCTAAATCATCAGCCTCATCAGGGGTTTATCAGTTTTATTAGTTTTTTAAAAACCGGATTCTGGCCCTATTTGTTCCTTCCACTGCATTATTTTTCCTGCCCTGTCTGGTTTTGCTCCTGACTCTCCTCTTCCTTCTGCTTCCCCTGGACTCGGTTTGTCGCCCCTTCCTCAGGTGGGGGCATCCGCGGGCCACCCCCCCCACCGTGTTCATCTCCCAGACTGTGTGCAGTGTTCGCATAATTTCAAAATCTTTTCTCATTTTCATTTTCTCATTTTCAGAAGCCATGCGGCTTCTTCTTTGAACAAGGAGTGACTCGGAATCATGTTTCTTAATTTTCAGACACAAGGAAGGTTTTTAATTTCCTTTCGTTTTTATTTCACTGTAATTTTCAATCCTCTGAAGTCTTGCAGAGACTCGGTTGCGTGATCCCACGTAGCATCAATTTCTACACCTGCGTGCGTGTGAACACGCGGTTCCTCCTGCGGTTGCTGGGTGCGCGCATGTCTGTTAAGTCAAGTCTGTTAGTCAAGTGGCCAAGTCCGTGTCCTCACTGACCGTCCGTCTGGCCCGTCAAGTTCCGAGACGTGTGTCTACAATCTTCTACTACAACTAGGGATCTGTCTTCTCCTACACGTCTGCCCGCTCTCCTTCCGCGCTATGGAGCGCACCGTCAGGCGCCCACCGCGGGTGTGGCCCGAGCGCCCATCAGGAAGGCCGGCAGCGCTCTGGGGGCTTGTCCCCGGGGGGGCGCGGCTCGGGGCCCCCGCGCACGTTCTGCAGGACCTCAGCAAGGGAGAACATGCAGAAGGAGATCTCCTCGTAGGAGACCCTGGCCCCACTCTCATACAGACAAGCAAAGGTCAGGGCTCCCTTGGGGGTGCGCCCGACGGATGCCAGGTCAGAGTAGCCGCTGGGGCCCTCGTAGATCACCCAGGGCTCCGTCCAGCTGTGGGGGTCCAGGGGGGAGCGGCTCAGGCGGATTCCCATGTGGAGCCGAGCCCTGCGCCCCGTTGGGTGGGAATACAGCAGCCAGGTGGGGCTCTGAGACAGGGTGGCTGGGGGCCCTGGGAGCTTCGGGGTCCGGGCCTTCCTGGGGTCCCTGAGCCCAGGCCCTGGGCCAGGCTCCTCAGGGCCGTCCCTGCACCCCTCCATCCTGCTGAGCCCCTGGTCCCTTTGGGGGTCTCTGGTGCCCTCCTTTGACGGCTCCTGGACTCCGGTACAGAGGCGTGGGGCCTGGGGGTGGTTTCTAGCACCCGCTGACCGTCCCTCACCCCTTGGCCCGCTGGAGAGAGGGGCAGGAAAGCCCAGGACGCTGCCCTGGCAGCCCCGGGAGGTCTCAGCCAGGGCGGGCACGAGCTCCCCGGGCAGGAAGGAGGTGCCCCCGTCTGCACTGAGCGCCTGCACGCGGCTGCCCAGGGGGCTCCGGGCGTTGCAGTAGAGGACGCTGCCGGCCTGCCCGCCGTCCACCACGGCCAGCTGGCACTCGCCCGAGCGGAGGTTGGGCACGAGGCCTCCGCGGTGCCAGGTGCGTCCGTGGTCGTCGCTATAGAAGGTGAAGGCGTGGGGGCTGGTCCTGCAGATCCTGCCGAAGCACTCCCGCCGGTCCACGCGGTACGTGTAGGCTGGCACCAGCAGGCGGCCCGAGGGCAGCTGGATGCCATGGCCTGGGCCCACAGCGAACGTGGCCCAGTCTGCAGGCAGAGGGCGGCTGGTTATCCCAGCAAAGGGACAGCCGCGGCCGCAGCCACATACGGTCACCCTGGGGGTTGGGGAGGATCCAGAGCCGGGGCCTCAGATTAGGGAACAGCTTCTGAGGAAGCCACCACTGACCGGGCCCCCTTATCCGCTCTGCTGCCCAGTCTGCACCCCCCAGGGCTGGACAAGCCTCTCTCCACCATTAGCAAGAGCAGGGAGCCCGGGAAGGCCACTCGGCCAGGTTCTCAGCTGGGAGCAGACAGCCAGTCCCTGAGCGGGGAAAACACAGGCTCGGTCCCGACAGAAGGCGGCAGAGGGCAGAGGGCGTATGAGCACCGTGGGGGGGCCTGAGCCCCAGAGGAGCAGGTGGGTGGCTGTGTCCTGTCCACGCCTCAGAGCCCACCACACCCCTGGGCTCAGATCCCACCTACAGGGCCAGCGACCCCTCAGAGGGCCCTGGGCGGTCAGGCCCGAGGGGAGGGCGCAGCAGGAAAGCAGGGAAAGCTTTAGGGCCAGGCCGGTGCCCAGTCCTGCACCCCCGCTGCGGTTCGCAGGCAGAGGGACAGTGTGAAGGAGGGACCTGGCCGCGGGGTTTGGGTGCTGAGAGCGAGGGACCTCGGCGCTCAGGCTCGCGAGATGGCCTGGTCCGGTCCGGCCCGGCCCAGCGGGGTCACCCACGCCCCGTTACAGGCCCCACGGTCCCGGGAAGAAACGCAGTGGGGGGCCCCGGGGCTTGGGGCCCAGGAGGCAGGTCGTGTGGTGCCCTCCCCGCCCCCTGCACCTCACACGCCCCTCCCCTGCTCGGCCCCGCCCCCACCTCACAGCCCCACCTACCCTGCTCGGCCCCGCCCCGCCCCCCTCGCGCACCTCACCCCCCCCCCCCCCCCCCGCTCAGCCCCGTCCCCCGCCTCCCTGCACCTCATACCCCCAACTACCTGCTCGGCCCCGCCCCTCTCCGCCCCTCCCTGCACCTCACACGCCCCTCCCCTGCTCGGCCCCGCCCCTCCCCGTCCTACCCCCCCCCCGCACCTCACACCCCCCCTCACCCCCGCACCCCTGCCCCCCCCGCCCCTCACACCCCCACCTACCCTGCTCGGCGCCGCCCACCGCCTCCTCCGTGAGGTCCCTGGCGGCGCCCCAGCTGCGCCCCGCGTCCCGGCTGGTCACGCAGCAGAGGCGAGCGGCGTTCCTGCCCGCGGCGATCTGCGCGGCCTCGGGCGTGCGGCCCCGCACCGCGATGAAGAAGAGGAAGACGGTGGCGGTGCGGGCGTCGTGCACCGGGCAGGGGTTCATGGAGCGGTGCTCCTCCAGGGCCGCCGTCGCCAGCACGCGCGCGGCGCCCCACTGCGCGGACACGGGGGGGGGGGGGCGGCAGGGCGCGCGGCCTCAGTTTACCTGCGCGCGGCGGTGCCCCGCCCCCGGCCCGCCCCGCCCACGCCCCGCCCACGCCCCCGCCCACGCCCCGCCCACGCCCCGCCCCCTGGTCGCCCAGCCCCCGGCCCGGCCCGCCCACGCCCCGCCCCCGACCCGCCCCGCCCACGCCCCGCCCCCGAGCGCCCGCCCCGCCCACGCCCCGCCCCCTGGTCACCACGCCCAAGCCCCGCCCCCCTGGTCGCCCAGCCCCAAGCCCCGCCCCCCTGGTCGCCCCGGCCCCGCCCCCGTGCGCCCGCCGCTCACCCGCACGGAGCCCCCCGCCAGCGTCCCGCTCCGCTGCACCAGGCGGTGGGCGTGGGCGTCGTCGGGGCTGAGCCGCTGCTCCGCGAAGGCCAGCAGGGCGGGCGCGGGGGGCACGGGCAGCAGCGCGGGCACCCGGTAGGTCAGGCCGCTCCTCTCGCGCCGGAACAGCACGGTCCGCTCGGGGACGCGCGGGGCCCCCATGCTCTGCGCGCCCCAAGCCCAGGGGTCAGCTGGGGCGCCCCCGCCCGCCTGCGCCCACCCGAGACTGCCCTGCAGGTGCACCCCCCCAGCCTCCCTGGGCCCGCCCCCCAAAGCCCGGCCCCCGCCCCTGCCCCTGCGCCCCTGAGGCCCGCAGGCACCCTGCCTCCTCTCCGCCTGTCCTGGGAGTAGAGCCCGGCCCGGGCCCCTGACTCTGCGCACCCTCCACCCTCAGCCCAGGACGCCCGCCCAGCAGGGGGCTGGCCACGTGGATGGTCGGGGCCCACACTGGTCGGGTTTCCCCCAAAGAGCGCCCCAGACCACAGGGTGCAAGGGCAGGGAGACCCGACCCGCTGGGCGCCCGGCTCACTCTGTCCGACAGGCGCTCTGGGAGATGCCCTCCCGCCCCCCCCACCCCACCGCACCCCTCCCCTCCCCTCCCAGATCCGGGGCTGTGGGGTTCCAGGAGTGGCCCAGGAGAGATGGGGAGGGGCCTTGCTGAAGCCAAGAGAGGGGTGCGTGGGTCTCCTGCAGAGAAGGGGCCTGAAGTCCAGGTTCTAGCAGGACATCCGCAGGGGTAGGGGACCAGCCACCCTGCCCCTTGGGCTTCTGAGCAAAGCGGGGATGTGGGGGGCGAACAGTGAGGTCCAGCAGAACAACCCCAGCCACGGGGTGCCCCAGATGCCTCCCACATGGGCCTCGAGGGAGCTAGAGGCAGCACAGGCTAGAGGAGCAGTGAGAGTGACCCCAAGGAGGCCTTGGACGTCACCACCCTGCTGTCCTGCCCCGTCCTGGGGAAGGGGGGCCAGGCCAGCTCTAGTCTGGGCACTGGGGGTTCCACTGGGAAAGAGCTGCTCCCACACTATAGGAGGAGGAGACACAGCCCACAGCCGAGGCTGCAGCCAAGACCCCTCAGTGTCTGACCTCCCTGTGTCTGAGCCCCCCAGCCTCTGAGCCCCCCAGCATCCAAACCCCCCAACATCTGAGCCCCCTGTGTCTGAGCCCCCCAGGGCTGAATCCTGCAGCCGAGCCCGCAGCTGGACACAGAGACAGGAAGCCAGGCTGGGGGAGGCGGGCTGAGCCTGGGGGTTCCCACAGTGCAGGCTAACCTGGGGGTAGGCAGAGAGGAGCCAACCCTCTAGGCATTGGGGGGGGGTCGCCCCAGCTGGAAGCCACCAGGACGTTAGCATGGCCCCATAAGGCCCTCCTTGCCGCTGTCCAGTCCTCTCTTCCACAGCCCAGCACCCTGAACCCTGGCTGGGCTCCTGCTCCCCCTAACCCTGTCAGGGCTCCCGTCCTTCAGAGGTCGGGAGGTTGCCTCACTGATGCTGGGAGTGTGCTCCCAGGGAACCCCACGAAGGGACACACGGGGCAGGGGTGTGCACCTGGGGTCTGCAGTCCCCGCTGGGGCCCTTCCTCCCATGTGCACAGCAGCTGTGGGCTGGCCCTGGCCCTGGAGGGACGTGAGTGAAGGCACGTGGTGAGGGAGCCCCGCACAGTCGGGGGCTGCAGATGGCAGAAGGTGGGGGCACCCGGGCGGGACTCGGGGCAGCCAGGGCCACTGCCACTGGAAGGGACCTGGGACTCAGCACCGAGTCAGATGGCAAGACACCCCACATCACACTCAGGAGCATGGCTCTCAGGACCGGACGGTGCACGTGCAGGAGCCAGCGGGATGGACAGGGGATAGCTGGGGACAGAATGAACACCCCTATACAGCAGTGGCCATGCTGGGACCCACGGGAGGCCACACTGGCTGGCTCAGCCTCCACCCCCGAGGTCCCCCCCCACAGGCCCGCACCTCAGGCCACCTGTTCCCAAGGCCACCTGCTCCTGAAGGCCCCCAGTGGGCAGCGCACACTGAGTCCAGCAGACGCCCTGCCAACCTCAGCTCTGCCCCCTGCAGCCTCTGGGGCCGTGAGAGCCGCTCCTGTGTCCTGCAAGACCTGGGCCACCCCCCGGCCTCCAAAGGGTGACTGTGCCCAAGTGCAAAGCAGGTGCAGCTGCCGCGTGTCCCTCCAGGCTGAACAGACACAAGGGGACATTGTCTCCGCTTGGCTTACTCCACAGGCCCTGAGACCCCCTGGACTCTAGGCCCCCCCAACTCCCCCAGGGACCCAAGCAGGAGAGATGGAGGCCCACAGACCAGCTGCTCACACTGCCACCTGCACAGAGCAGGACAGGCACCCCGGGCTATCCTGTGTGGGCCCCGGGTCTCTGCAGAGCCCCAAAGTCCCAGGACGACCCCCTCAACCTAAGAGGAAGAGTTCTCTTCCTCAGGGGCAGCTGGCCAGGTCTGGCCATATCAGTAGGTTCCAGGGCTTGGTGTGAGCAGGGTAGGATGGCTGTGCCCAACATCCCGCCCTCAGAAAGCCGTCCCCCCACCCCCACCCTCCCATCAGCAGGTCTCCGCCCCCGCCCAGGTCAGGACCCCAGCCTGCTGGGGGTCACTTAAACGCGTGTCTATCTATCAACAGCAAAGGGCTTTGCATACGCGTTTGGCCGTTTGGCGGAGGGGTCCTCCTGGCCCTGTCACTTCCGGAAGGGTCTCCAGTCTGGGTGAATGTCCTGGGCCGAGCCGGGGGCCAGGACTCAGTTACAAACCACGGGCCTGGGGGAGCCGGGCCCCACACTCCTGCAGGCTGGCCGGCCCCCACTTTGACCCGCAGCCCCCCAGCCAGGTCACCTGCCCTCCGCGGCTACCCCGGGGCCCTGGAGGGCACCTGCTGCTCTGACCAGGAAACTGTCCCACGGGGGCACCGTGTGGAGCATATGGCCAGGCGGCCCTCAGCCCACAGAGCGCACACCGCCCTTGCCCAAGGGCAGCCTGGGGGGACGGAGGAGCTGTGAGGGGCCAGGGGCAGGTGAGCAGGGAGGGGACTCACCGGACGTCGCAGGAAGGCCGTGGAGCTGGCTGCGGGGCAGCTGCAGTTGCTCCTGCTTCTCCAACCCAGTGAGCGCAGCAGGGACAAGGGCTGGCTGTGCGGGGCGGGAGCTGGGGCTGGCGGGGTCCCAGGGCTGCGTCCTGCCAGCTGTGTGGCCCCCAGAGAGGGCGGTGCAGATGGGCACGGCGGGGGGGCGGTGCAGCTCTCTCCGCCCTGCGGTGCCTGGAACTAGGAGCTCACCTCCAACAAGGCTGGGCTGGGACCGCGGGTGCCAAGGGCCGCAGCTGACCGCTGACCCCTGGATCTCTGCTGCCTGCAAGCCTCCTCCAGAGACCTGCCCCCGGAAACCCAAGTGAGCACTCATGACCCTCCCAGCACGACTCGGACCCCCAGGACGCAGGCCCCTTGGGTTCTCACTGGGCTTCAGCCCCGTGTCCATGTGAGGTGGCCGGCTCAGACTTGGAGGGGACAGCCCCCACCCTAGTACCCGTGGCCTGGTCAGGACTCCCACCAGCTGGGCCCTTTCACCAGTGACCGTGTCCAGGTGACCGCTGCCCAGGGGCCTCAGGGGGGCCCTCAGCAGCCCAGGTGTGGGTGAAAGGGCTCTCTGGAGGGCCGTCCTGCTCAGGCTCCCTGCGCCCCACCCGTACCCCCTTGACCTGCTCTCTGACAGCAGGACCATGGGACAGACCCCAGCACCTGACCTGGACCGCCCACCCGCGTGCACCCGCTGACCTCCCTCCCACATTCTTCCTGAAGCTCTTCTTTCCGGCTGGTCTCTTAACTCGGGCAAAGACCCGGCAGGTGCCGCATCCCGGGACGGACACTGAAACTGGCCCCCCTGCCCCTCGCAATAACCTCGGCCCGGAGGAAGGGCTCTGGGGGCCCGACCACCTGGACCTGCGGGAGCCGCACCCCCGACTCACTGTGCAGATGGACCACGGGGCACGGGCAACCGCACAGTCGCCCTGACCTCGTATAACACTAAGACCCCTGCCCTGGGAGGACACGAGCCGCACGGACATCACACACGACGACTACGTTTCGGCAGGTTTCCTTAAGGCACACGCGTGACTTTACGCCTCTACAGACAATGACAAGGCTCCCCTTCCGGAATAGTCCTCCTGACCCTACATAAAAGGAACCCATCCACCCTGGCTCGGCAGTTGGGACAAGGTATTCCCCTCGATCCCCTTACTGGCTGCAACCCAAACTTCCTTTGGAGACCGCCTACCCACCCACCTGCTCAGGTCCTCGGGAGACCTGGGGAGGGGAGCAAGGAGACCCCCAGGTCAGCGCACTGGGCCACCCGTGCCCAGATGCAAGCCCGGGCTGTGCTGTGGACAGGAAGGGGGAGACGGGGTTGTGGGACGGTGCATGTCCTCACTCTGGGCAGCCCACTGAGGCCCTGGAGGAGGGCACAGTGACCTTCCTCTGGGGGTTTGGCGGCCTCCATGGGGACACCTTGCCAAGGGCAGCGGGCAACCGTAGCCTGACCCCCCAGGACCTGCGAGTCCACCTGAACCCGTAGAGACTCCTTAGGAAACTGGCTTTCTCTCCCCGCAACACATGTGGGTGCTCCTCCCCTGGCACACAACCCCCAGTGTCCATCTGGAGGGGCTCAGGACCCGGGTTCCGGTAGCCGGTGCTAAATGACCCTCTCCTAACCACAGCTGGCCCCCTGGCTCCCAAAGTCACTCGGCGACTGGGCTCTCCCTTGCCCCCTCCCACCTCGGGCCAGGACAGCTCTTCCCATTCCCGCGTCCTGACCCTGGGCTTTCACCTCTGCACACCGACCACGTCTCTTGGCCGTTCGGTCTGGACCCCAGCGTCTCCACATCAGACACGACCGCCCACCTCCCAGGGCCTCACCCAAACCGTCTCCCTTCCTCTGTGCCTGGCGTCCGGGCCTCCCGCTGCGTCCCCGAGCCACCATACGGCCCGTGCAGGGGGGCCCTCCGGGACTGCGGGAGGAGGCGGCCCACACACCGGCCTCATTCCCTCTGCTCGGGGACTTGGGGTTTGACTTTGCTTGTTTTACGTTGTTAACACCGAGGAATGCTTGAACGACAAACACTTCACCGTTTGAAAAGCTTTTATTCATAGACGCTCCCAAAAATACTCAAAAAAATTTTAAGTACGCTCGTAATGATCTTTCCTGTCCACTCATGTAGGGGAGCGAGCGGCTCCTCCTAGGCCCCCATCCCCTCTCCTCTACAGACACAAGAGAGAGCTGGGCGCTCTGTTTTGGTTTTTTTGCTTGCGACAAACGACATTCTATTAGTTTGAGGCTGTACCGTCCGTGCTGAGGGGACAGGAGCACGTCCGCAGACAACACAGCCGCGCCCCTCTACGCAGAGCCCTCAGCCGGCCCGATGCTGGAAGCTCCGAGCTCTATCCCCTCCACCTGCTCACCGCCCCGCGCCCCCACCACCACCCTGATAAATGTTTGCATGAGACACCAGCCGTTTTAAATGTGGAGATTTCACAGGAAAACCTGTATTTCCAGCTTCTCTTGACAAATCAGAAGGTCCGCCTCCTGGGCTTCCTCCGTGGCAGGGGCCCCTGCCCCCCGCGGCCATCTGTCGTTGCCAAGGCCTGGGTGTCCCTCTGTCCGGCAGCTGAAGGAAGTCCGTGCCGGAATCCGTGCCCCGGGGCTTCCCTAGGCGCGGGAGACTCGGGTGTTTGCATGGATTTCCCGGCTGTTTGCCGAGGAGCCTCCCTCCAACCATGTGCCCTTTACAGTGTAACAATACCCCGAATTTCCTTCTGCAGAGACAAAACCAGTTTACATTCCTGCCAACCAGAGGCAAAAGCAAATACCCTCGATTCCGACCGCACCTCCGAGTTCCTGCCCTGCATGCAGCTGGGATCCGAGCCACGTCTGTGCCGCGGGGAGGGGGCAGTGTGTGCCCTGGGCTGGCGGCTGGTGGCAGCGGGCACGTGGGCGCCGCTTTCCCAGAACCTGTGGAGCCCCCCCAATGCTCCAGGCGCTGAGTGTGACTGGGGTCTCTCTGTGGTTTCTTCCCCGTAAAGCCTCACTGCCTTTCAGGGACGTGGCGGCCCCCGGTCTCCCCGCCGTGCTGACCCTCGGGGTCACGGATGAGGGATCCTGGGGTTCCGTGGCTCCCCGTCCCTGTGCGGGGCTGGGGAAGCGGTGCTCAGTGTCCAGTGTCCTCTTACTCGCAGCATCTCAGCAGTGTGTCCTCTAATCGCACTGAAACTCATTCCTCCTACATCTCCCTCCATGAACCTGGGGGCTGCTGCCTGTTCTGACCGCCGGGCTGGCCCTGAGGGGTGCGGCCAGGGCCCCACACGGTCCCTGCCATCCCGTGGGAGGAAAGGGACCCCGGGCGGCTGGCAGATGGGCCGGACTGAGCCTCTGTTTCTTGGGCACTGCAGGCACCCGCATCTCTCGGGACCCAGGGTCTACAGCCCCCGTGGGCACCCCTGCCGGCTCTAACCCCTGGCCCGCCAGGCAGCCAGGACCGCGTCCCGCTGGGCAGGAGCCCCCCAGTCCCTCCCCACCATTGACAAACAGGGACAGCCTCCAGTGTGTTTTCTGGGACGACGGCGGGCGTGAGCCATGGGCGACGGTCCCGCAGGTCAGACGTTTCCTCCTGCGCCAGACATCCCGGGGGGTCATCCGAACAGGGAGCTGGGCTCTGACCAGAAGCAGTTTTCACATTTCTCAACCGAAACCCAATCTTCAGTCGCAAAGAAGCCGCTGACAGCCAGAGACGGGAAGCTGGACGTTCCGGATCCCTGTGGCCTCCTGCCAGCTTCCAGGTGCTGCCCGCGGGCAGGGGCTGCCTGGAGTCTGTGACCAGCGCCATGGCCCATGGCCCGCAGACCCCGGGAGCTGCCGTGGGCTCCTCGGAGGCCCCCCGGCCCTGCTGCCCAAGCCCTCTGGATTCCCTGGGTGGGGTCCCTCTGATGGCCAAGGTGCCCCTGTGTGTTCTTCCATCAACATGTGATTAAGTACCACTCCCTTTCCCACCTGCTGAGACCGCCCCACCTGACGCACCAGGTCATCCCCACAGGCTGGGCGGGCCCACCGCCCTGGACCAGGCCCCCACGGCGGAGGCGCCCCCAAGGAGGTGGATCACGGGTGGGTGCCTCCATGGGGGTCTCCGCCCGGCCAGCCACTGCCCCGGCAGCCCCCCACCGCAAGCCGTGTCTCGGCGATGACGGGAACGATGCCGGGACGGGGGCCCAGTCCCCGGCGCTGTCCCTCTACTGGGGGAAGGGGATCTTCTTGCGGGGCTTGTTGGGGAACTGCAGGGCGTACAGGTGGGCCATGTACTGGAGCTCAGGCATGACCATCCTGCGACACACCTGCCGCGTCTGGTTGTCCAGGTCCGGCCGGAGGTTGTAGCCCAGGATGCTGGCGTCACCCGACTGGTAGGGGTGCAGCCGGGGGTCGGTGATCTGTGTCTTGTTCTTGGCCACGCCGTCCTGCAGGCACTGCGTCATGAGCTCCTGCCGCCGCGCCCGCAGCCGGGCCACTTCGGAGCGCAGGCGGTGTGGCCCCAGCTCGGCCTGCACGCGCGCCCAGAAAGTGCGGTTTGAAGTGCTGGTACAGGCGCCAGTCCAGGGCGCACCAGCGCTTGGCGCGCTCCTGGGCCTCGGGCGTCAGGCGGGTCACAGTGCGCTGGCTGCGCGAGTTGAGGCGGAAGGCCACCACGTCGTCCAGCTGCCAGTGCAGCAGGTGCCGCAGCAGCACCATGGACTCGTCGAAGTGCTCGGCGATGAGCACCAGCTGGAAGCGCTTCTCCACGTCGGCCAGGCGTGCGCGCACGTAGCCCTCCTCGGCCGGCGCGTTGTTATCGAAGCCCAGGTCGAACCACATGTTGTTCCTGGCGTGGGCGTTGTGCAGGCCCCCTTTCTGGTCGTAGTAGGTCCGTGGCGAGGCCAGGAAGGCGTCCAGGGTCTGCACGTTCCTGAACGCGGGGACGTAGCCCCTGTAGTAGATGAAGGAAGACTCCAGCTGGAACACGGGGTTTCTGAGGATGGAGAAGTAGAACGTGTCGTTGGGCATGATTTTCTGAACCTGTTTGGAGACACAATGGGAAGGGCCGGTGGCTGGCGGGTCCCTCAGGCGCCCAGGCAGGGGCTGTTCTCCTCTCCCCGTGCAGCCCGCTCCCGCCACCAGTATCCAGAAGGTCCCAAAACACTTGAAGTGGGCCCCACCCCCCTTCTCCCCACCCAGCCTTGGGGAGGCAGGTCAGGGACACCTCCCCCGGGAAGTGACCTCTACCCTGAGACCCCAGTGACCCAGAAGAGGAGCTGTGAGGGGTGTGCCTCAAGGGGGACCATGTGCAAAGGTCCTGAGGAGGAAGAGGTGGGGGGGGGGCGGTTGGGGAAGTAGGTGTCCAGAGACGCAGATGGAGAGAGCGCAGGCCACCAGGGTGCCCCCTGCGCTTCCAGGAGCAAATTGGGGCAGCTGTCGGGGGAGGGAGCAGGGTGTGCAGCTCCCCCTGCGCCCACGGGAGGCTCTGGCGGGGTCTGCACGACAGTGTCTAGACCACGACCACCCCCCCACGGTGTCACTCTTCAGAGGCACAAAGTACTCCCTCCTCCGCTCCCCCCCTTTCCCCGCCCCACGGCCCCGCAGTTCCCCGCACCTCGGGCAGGTTGAACCTCAGGTGGTTGCACATGATGTTAAAACGCCGCTGCAGGCCGGGCTTCGAGCCCCCCCAGCCCTCCACGTAGCGTGCCAGGAAGAGCCAGGGGTACCCCAGGTGGAAGCTATTGCCTGCGGGCAGCGCCACCGACAGGTTGTGCGTCTCCGCGAAGCGGAAGAGGATGTTGAGCACCGTGCTGCTGGCCGTCTTGTGCGTCTTGAGGAACATGACGTTGATGATGGGCGGCCCCTCGGCCCGGCCCCCGAGCAGGCTGGGAGGGGAGGACAGCATGGCCATGGTCAACCAGGGAGGGTCCGTGGATGCCCCAGCCACGGGGACCCCAAGCCACCTTCCGTCACCACCCCTTCCCTAATCTGAGATCCTCTAATCCACACTTTTCCTACGAGTGACTCCCAAGCTCCGCACCCCAGCCTCAGGCCATCGCTGTGCTTCCATCCACAGGAGGCCCCCAGCCCTGTGGCCCTCCAGGTCCCACTGGCACAGACCTGGTGGCTCCCTGAGTGGCTGCAGCATCCATCCCCCCTCACGCCACAGGTTGGGCCCCTGGGCCCCTGCAGCCCCTCTGGCCCCCAACCTCCTGTTTGGTCCCCAGGGTGCCCAGCACGGCTCTGGTCCTGTGGCCTGGACAGCACATCCAGCGCTTCTGGCCTGACCTTCATGCCTGTACTGACCAACCTGACACCAGGGCCAGTGGGGACGCTGGTGCCCACTCTTGTGACCCCAGGATGGCACCCACCTTGCTATGACTCCCGCCTGAGCAGCAGGCCCCCTTCGTGCCCCAGTGCCAGTCCAGTAAGGATCCAGAGGCCTGTGCCAGCTTGGGCAAGAAGGGGGACCAGCGGAGGGACCCAGGGACCTGTGGCACCCCGGGAGATCCAACCCAAGAGGTGGAGGGGCGGAGAGAAGAACCCTGGAGCCACAAGACCTCCTGGCAGCCGAGCCAAAGCACAGGGCCTAGGGGGCCATCCGTGGACCCTGGGCCTCACATAGGATGAACCTCACGGGATCCCTGGGTGGTGCAGCGGTTTGGCGCCTGCCTTTGGCCCAGGGCGCGATCCTGGAGGCCCAGGATCGAATCCCACGTCGGGCTCCCGGTGCATGGAGCCTGCTTCTCCCTCTGCCTGTGTCTCTGCCTCTCTCTCTCTCTCTCTCTCTCTCTGTGACTATCATAAATTAAAAAAAAAAGTTAAAAAAAAAAAAAAGGATGAACCTCACATAGGATGAACCACCGGCAGGCGGGGAGCAGGGCTCTGGACCTTCCCAGACCTGCCATGGACCCCAGCCCTGCCTCCTGGCACCTGCTCACCCTCTGCACACAGCAGCTCTGCCCGAGACATGCCGGCCCGGGCCCACACCCACCCCCACTGCCCTCCCAGAGGGAAGCCACAGGAAGCCTCCAGAAGGCTATGGGATCCCCAGAAGGAAGGGCCCAGCCCTCCTCCTACAAGGAGGATGAACTATCAGGACAGCCAGCCAGGGCTGGCTGCTACCCAGAGGGGGCCATGGGGGTGCCGTGCCCAAACCAGGGGGCACCCGGGGCAGCACTCACGGTGTGAACAGCCCGGTGTTCATGTACAGGATGCTGGCCAACAGGAGCAAGATCAGGGCCAGGAGAAGGGCCTGGAGGCACCTGTGGGGCAGAGGGAGCCCTCAGCACCCCACCAGGGGCACGGGAAGGGCCGGTGCCTCCCCCCACCCCATCTGTCATTGCACGTCAGTCCATACTGAGTATAGACCCGCGCTCACCCATGGGGGCCCTGGGCGGGGGCCTGAGACCTGGGAAGGGCCTGCATCAGCTGATGGGTCTCAGGCCGGGTCCCCGGAGAGAGGCCCCCGAGCTTGCACCCCCAAGGGCACCTCAGGGTCCCCCCGATCCCCATCGCCCAAGGAGGATGCTATGACCAGATCAGGGAACAGACAGGGCTGGGACACGGAGTACCCTGTGGCACCGGGGGGACCACGTCCTGCCATCCCCTGACATGGAGCAGCAGCAGCAGGGCCACCATGCTAGCACCCCCTGCCCCTTCCCTCCACCAGCCAGGTGCCCATGTTAGGGCAGGTCACCTTGGAAAACACCATGACAAGGGGCCCCTGCCCCTGGCCCACTGGGGCCACCTGGGAGTTCAGGAGGGGCCTGGGAGAGGGGAAAGTGCCTGCGGTCTCCTCTATAAATCCTACTGCTGTACAAGCCACCCCAGGTTCACACCCGCGGCCCAAGCCAGCCCCCAACCTCTACTGGGGTGTCTAAGGCATCAGGTCCCGATGTGCCCCCCAAGCCCCTTCCCCTGCTGGATGGGGCTCCCTTCTGCCTGGTCTGGGCCATCTGTCCCACCTTCTGTCTGGAGCCCCATCTGCTCACCTCCTCCTGCAAGGCTCCTGGGATGGTGGCAGCCTGCTGCCCCGCCAGTTGGCTCCTGTCCCTGCCCGGTGGCCCCGCTCCCTCAGCAGCCCAAGTGACTTGGATTCGAAGGCCCAGCGTGCTCAAACCCACACCCTTAGTTTAAAAGGCAACGCTTGGGGCCCCTGGATGGCTCAGTGCTTGGGCATCTCCCTCGGGCTCCGGGCGTGACCCCGGGGTCCTGGGATCGAGTCCTGCATCGGGCTCCCTGCATGGAGCTGCTTCTCCCTCTGCCTGTCTCTCTCTCTCTGTGTCTCTCATGGATAAATACATAAAATCTTTTAAAATAAATAAATAAATAAATAAATATAATAAAAAAAAACCCACTTGCTCTTGAAGTTTAATTTAAAAAATGGGGTGCCTGGCTGGCTCAGTTGGTAAAGCATATGTGACTCTTGATCTCAGGGTTGTGAGCTGAAGCCTCACACTGGGTGTGGAGCCTATGTTAAAAAATAAATAAATATAATACAAAGCCTCTGGAAGTTTAACACAATTCCCAGAAGAGAATGTTTAACTAGCAAGTCAGTTTTAAAGTTCAAATGGAAGTAAATCATACAGTAGGGGCCAGGAAAATTCTTTTTTTTTTTTTTAATCACTGTATTTCATTCCTGGCCTCTGGTGCCCCTGGCACATCCCGGCCATCGGGGCGACCTCCTGGCCCGGGCCTGGAGCTGGCCGCACCTCCCAGCAGCCCTGGGTCCTACTGCGGGAATGGTCTTTAGAGACCACAGTCTGGGGCCTGAGGTGCTCACTGCTCGGGAAGGCGGTGGCTTTGGGGCCCAGTCAGGTGACAGAGCAGGACGCTGCTCACATGAGGGCAGAGTCCCAGGGTCCCTCGTGAGTTCTCACTGCTATGTCGAGCTGCCTCTCAGCTACAAGCCCAGGGCTGCGGCTTCCTGCAGGAACCCCTGCCCCCCTCATCCCCCGTCCCCCGTCCTGCACGGCGGGCTGCTCTGAGGAATGGGAGGTGGGGAGCTGCAACGGCCCATCATGCCTCATCTGCTCCATCCACGCTGCATACACGAGAGCAGCGCTGAGCCATTTCTCGGCAATCTGCCCCTTTTTAAAAAAAGATTGTATTTATTTATCCATGGGAGACACAGAGAGAGGCAGAGACCCAGGCAGAGGGAGAAGCAGGCTCCCTGCGGGGAGCCCGACGCAGGACTCGATCCCAGGACCCCGGGGTCACGCCCGGAGCCCAAGGCAGACACTCCACCGCTGAGCCACCCAGGGTGTCCCTATCCTGCCCCTTCTCCACGAAGGCAGGAGACCACCAGCCAGCACAGCATCGGGCTCCCAGCTGGAGGCACCGGGTTCCCAGAGGGCCCGGTCATCTGCGCCCAGTGAGAAGCAACAAGCTCTCCCAAACCCCAAAGGGATACCCTCTGGAAGGCCACACTGTGGTCACGGGTCACAGGGTTCTTGAACCAGTCAAACCATTTCTTTTAAAGATTTTTCTATTTATTTGAGAGAAAGAGAGAGAAAGAGTGTGTGTGTGTGTGTGTGTGTGTGTGTGTGTGCGTGGCGCGCGCGCGTGCGCACAGGGGGCAGAGGCAGAGGGAGAAGCAGACTCCCCGTGGAACAGGAAGGCCGATGCAGGACTCGATCCCAGGGCCCTGAGGTGGTGACCTGAGGCGCAGGCCGACCCCCATCAGACTGAGCCCCAGGCGGCCCTTGGAGCCGCTTCTCCTGAGGCCTTTCCAGGCAAGACGGGTTGTTGCCCCTTTGGACCGGGTGCCTGTGAAGCCACAGTAGTTTTATGGCCCCACATATGATTATTTTAACTCCTGGGGTTTATGGCCCTTATAGGACCATTTGAATGCCTGTTGGATAAGGACCCTGTGAAACGTTAACCAGGCCAGCCTGTAGGCCTATGCTCTTCCTCAGATGGTGTCGTGCCGTGAGACTCCCTTCTGCACAACACGGCGTGTTTGCTGGCGCCTCGCCGGGGACCTTAATAAAAGTCCAGCACACACCGACCATCTGTTTGAAATTTCACCTCTAACATCTACAGTCGCCCCTGGCCCCGGGGCGTTCGTCTCGGTCCTTCACAGCTGCACAAGCAGAACAAACAGTCCCCAGAGGAATCGGTTGGTTTCTATCAAGAGAGGCTCCTCCTTTGCCAAAAGATCCTCTGGTCCAAACAGCCCCAGGGTCTGCGGTGTCCCAGGCTGTAGAGGCGCCAGCGCGCCAGGTGGTCAAGCCTCAGGGCCGCGGCCGGGAGCCACTGCAGGTGGGCAGCATGCTCGCCAGGCGGCCAGACGGGGGGAGGGGGGGCCGGGACCCCGCTTTGGCCTGCGTGTGCCTCACACCCGGGAGCTGCTCACAGACGGGCGTTCTTAGCAGAGTCCAAGGGACACGCAATTCTAAATGACTGGATTGTTTGGTACGTGAATTACACATCAATAAAACCGTTTAGAACGATAAAAAATTAAAAAAAATTCTTAAAGAGCTCAGCTGCCAAGGAAATTGGAAGCCAATAACTGTGGGAATAAATAAACAAACACAGCTGGAGAGGGGGTCCGGGCTGATGACATTGCTTCCGAGGGGCCTGGGCGGACGGGCTTCCTTCCTGCCCCGCCCCAGGGTGCTCGCCGTGCCAGCACAAGGGTCCCTCCAGAGCAGCCTTTCCATCACGGGGGGGCCTGGGTTGCTCAGTGGACAGATTTTAAAGAGTCTCAAACATCCCGCATCTGCAGGCACTGGGGGTTGGGGGTGCTCGGGCCCAGTGTCCGGGTGGCGGGCCTGCTGCCTGCCTCAGGAACGTCTGTGAGGCTGGTGGCCGGCAGGGGCGGGGGGGCCAGCAGGCTCCCGCCCAGGCCTCGCCAGAGGGGCCGCAGAGTCCCCGCGAGTGACACCAGCAGCCCTGCCAACGGGGGCCTGAGAGCCTACGCCACCTGCCCGGCGGGGCTGGTCCAGTCCTGCTGGGCCCCAGGGGGAGTTCAAGGCCCGTGAGCCCCAGGTGAGCGCCCCAGGTCCTCGGGCAGAACCCCCGGGCACCCGGGTAGGAGCCCTAAGAGCTCTGGGATCGTGGATCACTCGTCCATCCCCAGCTCCAGGAGCTTCTGGCTCTGCGGAGCTTCTCTGCTGAGGGAGACTCACGAGGGTCTTTGCGGAAATGGGTTTTTACAGCATCGCACACACACAGCCCTGCAGCTCCACCTGAGCAGCCCCTACAGACGGACATCCGCCTCAGTGGCATTCTAGAAGGACACAAAACCAAATGTCTGACGGTCGTTCGGTGGCCAGACAATTTCAGTCAAAATCTAGAAAAACAACACTGAACCTAACCTCAGGAGCTGACAAGTCAGGCAGGCAGAAGCCCCAGAAGGCCCCGGGCTGCACCCAGCCCCCTGCCACCCACCCCATTCCCGCTCCCCGGTCCCGCGGCCTGGGCAGAGCAGAACCGCCAGGAAGGAGCCAGCCCGCCTCACACACGTGTAGGCTCAGTGGTCGAGGGCTGCGGAGCTGTGTGTCCACCCGCCCTCTGGACCTGGCCGGGGGCCTGCTGGGAACCCACTCTCCTCGGCGCATCCAGGGCCCCAACTGGAGCTCACGCGAGGGATTCAGAGTTGTCCGATACCCCCTCCCCGCACCACCCCGGTCATCTGTGCATGTCAACCTCGCCTGGGCCTCACCAGGCCCCAGGTGCACTGCAGGGCACAAGGGCAAGCCGAGGGTACGGGGGGCAACGAGGGGACTGGTCATCCCTCAGGTCTCCCCCCGACAGCCAGAGGCCTGGCCTCGGGAAAGCAGGGCCCCGGGCTCAGCGGCCCAGGACGCACAGAGAGGGGCTGGCCTCCGGAGCCCCAGGGAGTGGGATCCAGGTGGGGCCGGGCGCAGCGCTGCCCGAGGTCTCCCCAAGGCCAGGGACAGCTCCCAGTGCTGGGGACTCTGTCCCCCGGGCGCAGGGCAGGGGGAGCAGGGCAGTGCCCGGGTGGCTCCTCAGGTAGGCAGGGACCCCTGATCTCAGCCCAGGTCCCGATGTCACGCCCTGAGCCGAAGGCCGATGCTCTGCCTGGGAGCCAGCGCCGCACCCCGACGTGTTGGGAGTGAACGGCAGCCTCGGACGCAGGAGGGACCGGTCACCCCTCTCAGCAGGGACTTTAAACTCCTGATGGCGAATGCCCCCCACCCCGCTCCCCCCGAGGCGCGTGTACGAATCCACCTCTGAACCTCGTCCTGCCGGTCGCCTGAGTCAGGACGGGCGTACTCTGCCCCGAGGCGGGTCGCGGTGCCAGGTGAGCCCCGGGCGATGGCTCGACTCCCGGGCGTTCCACACCCTGTCCCTTTCCCGCCAAGAAGGACGCCACACCTGCGGCCATGGCCCGGCCACCCAGACAAACAGTGGGTCCACCCAGCCCACCTCGGCCTGAGCCTCCCGCGAGCTGAGCAGCTCCCCGAACCCCGAGCCCCAGGCCTCCGGGAGGACGCCCCCTCTGGGACACAGCCTCCCCCCGCGGCCGGCACGTGCCCCCCTCATCGGCAGCCGGGCCCCCCGCTCTGCTGACCCCCTGCCTCGGGCCCGAGGCCCGCACGCCGTCCGCGTTCCCAGGGGCGGGTGCAGGGGCCCCCTCCTCGGCCCTGCGGGACCCGGCCCCAGAGACCCACTGCCGGTGGGGCCCAGGGACGGGTCCTTGACCCCAGCACAGACCTGGGGCCTCCAGAGGGGCGGCGGGATCCTGTCAGGGTCTGAGGGGGTGGAGGCGGCCTCCGGGGGACAACATCAGGGCAGTTAGCAGGCCCCACAGCCCGCCCCCTTGCCCACGCCCGCTGCAGCCCCGGCCTCAGGCCCCCGCGGTGCGGCCACCAGGTGCAGTCCCAGACGGCGGGGTCCTGGGTGGCTCCAGCAGGCGGGTGACAGCGCAGCCAGGCAAAGGCGAGCAGAGCACTTGCAACCGCCCTCCCAGAAGCTCCAGGACGGGTTGCCGGCACCCCCGACACCCAGCCCACTAGCCACACACGGGGGCAGCACCCTGGCAGCCAGCCATCAGCCCCCAGTTGGCTCCCACTTGGCCCCCGGCCCTCGGCCCACGGGCTCTCCGCCCAGCCCACCCGTGGCCAGCACTGCCGGGCAACAGATGCTTCCCAGGTCCCCCGGAGCCCCCATGGCTCTCGGGACTGGCCCTCGGCCCGCAGCCACAGCCATCGGGTCACACACCTTCCAGGGGCTCACACCCACCGCGGGGTCCCCTGTGGGGTCCTCAGGGCTCCGCCCTCTAGGGGATATTCGTTCCCCAGAAACAGAGCCAAGCCTCAAACCAGAAACACAGGTTTTCAGAAGGCCCCTCAAGTGACAAGTGACGTCCTCAGGGCCCCAAGCTGGGACATTCAGGTTTCCAGTCCAACCACCCCCCGGGGCTGCTTCCCTAGCAACAACGGGAGCCCTGCTGGGGATGCCGTTTAAGTCGGGGGTGAGGATATCGGTGCCTTAACAATCACCACCCAGGGGCCTGGTGACACCACAAGCCCCCCTGGCGGGGAAGGTTCTGTCCTCGCCCCCAGCAGCTCCCCTGACTGCCCCCCACCCCCGGCCACGCCGGCCTGGGACTGTCCCCCTGTCCTAGGGCCACGGCTCAGTCTCCCTGTCAACGGGCCAAGCACGCTGGGCTAAGTGGGAAGAGCCTCCAAACATTTGCACAATTCAAGGAAAATAAACATAAGGTTCTGGATGTTTGGGGCCTTTTGAGGCTGTGGGGATGGTGAGTGGGACTGAGCAACCCAGGGAGCCCTGGCTCCACGGGCTGTGACCTGGACCGGTGAGCCCGGGGCACGCCGAGCGGCTGCAGCTCCAAGCCGCAGCAGGACAGCCGTCCCCGTAGGTCTGGAACTCACCGTCCCGCTGCCCCATGGGCAGGCCACCTCCTGGGGCTCCCTGGGCCCCTCCCTTGCCTCAGCTAATGGAGTGACCCCCCCAAGCCTTTATGCCTCTTCCTCGCCGAAGGGTGACCACCCAGCTCCCGGACGGGGGACACCTGACTGCCCCCCCGCTGGCTCCTGGGGGACCCCTGGCCTCACCCAAGGGAGGGAGTCACATCTTCAAACAGGCTGGTCGTGCCTGGGGCCCGCGGGGAGGGCACATGTGAGGATGAGGCAGAGAAGGAAAATGCTAAGCATTTCCAGACACACCCTCCTTCCCCTAAACCGAGTGTCCAAATACCCACATCCCTCTGGGTGTACTCTGGGCACAGAGCCGCAGGGCCGGGCACCGGGACCCCGCGGGGGGCTTGCCCTAAGTCCCTCGGACCCCCCCATGGGCACCCCAAGGTGCACACGTGGGTACATGGCCCTGAAGTATTGGGGCCCGGCTGGGAGCCCCACCAAAGCCAGGGAGCAACCACAGCAAATGGGGGTCCCGGGATGACAGCCAGGGGACAACGCCGGGGCCCTGGACACCCAGCAGCCGCCCACCTGGGCCTGAAGCCCACGCAGTAAACTGTCATCCCCTTGGCCCTGAGCCTGTGTCCCCCGAGAGGCCTATGGGGACAAGCCGGGGTCACTCGGGGTCTGAAATGAAGCCCCAGCGTGCTGAGTTCGGGGTACGACTGCCAATCGGGTGACTTCGTTTAGTTTTATTCTAAGATCTTATCTCTCGGAGAGAAGCGCGTGTGAGCAGCAGCAGAGGGAGCCAGGCCGCTGGGCAGGGAGCCCCCAAGCGTCCCGATCCCGGGCCCCAAGGCCATGAGCGGCGCCGCGCGGCGCCCTGGTGACTTCCCTTTAATGAGATGCCGAGCGGCTCATTTCTGCCAGGTCCGGACAGCCCAGGAAGCCAAGAGGTGCGCCGAGCGAGCGCGGGCCCCGGCCGCTTACCTGTGGGTGCCCCCTGGTGCGGCGGGCATGCTGGCAGGCCTGGGGCGAGCGTGGGCCGCGGGCTGGGCAGACGTGGGCGGCCGGCTGGGGCTCGCGCGGGCGGGTGCGGTGCCCACACCGTGTGAACGTTAGTCCCGGGAGCTGACCTGCGCTACGGTGCCAGGCCACACCCTCCGCCGCCCAGCTTGAGCTCCGGCTCAGGAAGAACCAGACCTGGCCTGGCCGGGCGTCTCCCGGCTCACCTGCAGCAGGGCACCCACCTGCTGCCAGGGGCCCCTCGGCCAGCAGGGGGCGGGAGGGGGCTGGGGACCCTCCAGGACCCCCAGACCCCGATGGCACATTCATGTGTGAGCTGAAGGCCGCCGGTCGGTCGACCCCTCAGATCAAATTCGAGACTGTTCGCTTCTCCTTCACCAAAGCTGGCTTTATGTTAGGGGAGTTTCACTATTTTATTACATCTCGCGTGAAAAAAGGACTTTAGAAAAAGGACACGGTAATGCAAGACAGAAATATGAGATTTTTTTTTTTTAGATTTTATTTATTCATGAGAGACACAGAGATACAGGCAGAGGGAGAAGCAGGGTCCTCGCGGGGAGCCCGATGCGGGACTCGATCCTGGGACCCCGGGGTCCCGCCCTGAGCCCAAGGCATCTGCCTTCACCACGGGGTCTCCGGGGGCCCCAGAAATAAGAGTCAGCTTCACTGCAGGCAAGTCCATTTCCCTCAGGAAACAGGTAAATGGACACTGAAGTCATTGACCGGAGGGGATGGGCACGTCGGCAGCTCTCCATGGGTGTGGAGACCCACAGAAAAGGGCAAAACCCACCAAGCCTCGGGGGGTGGCACCGGGCGGAGGCCCTCAGCACACCTGCCGCCTGCCCGCCGCCCCACACGTGCCTTAGAAGCAAGGTGGGTATGCCGGGGGCTTGGGGAGGGGCCGCTGTGGGTGAGGCCAGGCTGGGGTCCCCCCACCCCCCGGTGCCAGGACTCGCACCCCCAGGGGGCCGGCGGGAGGCAGCGTGTTGCTGCTGTGCACGCAGCATCGCATGGAGCTCCTGGCTCCCGCTCAGGGGGCAGGGGTCTGCACCCAGGACGACCCTCGATCCACTGGGTGGGGGGTGAGGCTCGTGTCCTCCCCTGGGGGCCTCCAGGAAGGATGATGGGGAGGCAGCACGTAGGTCACTTCCACGATGAGGGGACCCTGCCCAGGAGAGCATGTGACACCCAGACGCTTGCTGACGCGTGACAAACGCCCCCAGGATGCGGAAGCTGCCAGCAAGCGCCCGTCTCGTGCTGGTGGCTCACCCACCATCCTGCTCAGGGCTGGAGTCTGTTCTGTGCCCAAGCAGCCACGGCCACGGCTCCCTGCGAGGAGGGTCACGGCACACCTCAGGCCCAGTCTCCCCGACCAGCAAAAGCACACGGCCAAGCCCCAGGCCGGGGGAGGGCAGTGGGGCCTCCGCGAAGCTGCAGCCCACACATGGTAGGGAGCCGCTCCCCCACGGGGCCTCTGGGGCTGGGGGGGTCATCCGTGGGACACCCCATGCAGCGCCCCAGCCCCAAGCCAGGTGACAGGTCACTGGATGGAGAGCAGGCGGCCCCGGGGATGCTCACAGAGGGAGGCGCGTGGCCTGGGCCCTCCCCTGCATCCCGAGGTCCCCACCCCGGCCCCTCCTGGGGACTCCTCTGCTTCCCCGGGGCCGTGGTGAGGCCGACGAGCCGTGCAGACAGCTGTCACCGCAGCCTCGAGGTGTCCCTCATCCCAGTCACCAGGACCCAGGCACCGCGACAAGCACCCAGCTATGGGCTGAGCGGTGGCAGAAACCAGAGCTGCCCACGTTGAAGGCCTGGCCTGGCCGAAACCGGGCAGCAACCTCGGCCGTGACAGGGGCGGGGCTTGGGCACAGGACCAGGGACGCCGGCTGCAGGGGCAATGCCCGGTGTCTGAAGCCACGAGCCCTGGCCACTGGGGGCTGGGGGGCCCGCGGGGTGGGAAGGGGTGAAGGACAGGGAGCTGGCCGCAGGGGCGGCTGAGGGTGGAGGGCCAGGGTGAGGACCGGCCACAGGATCAGGGAGAGGAGACGCCACGCGAGCCACGCTACACAGGGCAGCCTGGGGACGTGGGGCGGAGACACGCGGCCAGGGTGTGGGCCCCCCCCCCACCACTGCTGCATCACGAGGCTCTGAACCCTTCTCTGACCCTCCAAGGCCTGGGGGCGGGATGAGGTGGACGAGGGGCCTGGGGCAGACATCAAGGTGGCAGGCTTCCTGTCCGGTCCCGGCTCCTCCTGGGGCCCCTCCAATGGGGGCCAGCTCTGGGTGATGAGGCTCCGGCCCTAAAGGGGCTCTTCTCTGGTCGCAGCGGCTTAGAGGATTGAGCGGAAATCCTAAGCTCTTCCTACCACCCTCGAGCTCCGGGCACATTCGGCGGCAACCTTGGCAGAGCCGCACCTGGCCCAGCCGGTCCCAGGAGGAGCCGGTTCGGGGCTGGAGACGGGCTCGTGTCGCCGCCATTCCTGACGGCCCGACCCCATCCATGCTCGGGTAACATCTGGTGTGGCCACGTGGCCACAAGGAGCAGGGTGGACATCGCGGTGCTCGGACGCGCCCGTGTGCTGGTGACGGCAGCATGAGGGTCGTGGCGCTGTCAAGTCTGCATCCACCCACAGGCCCAGACACACGTCGCCCCCCAAGACTCTCCCTCTGGCTCCTCCCATGGGCATCCCGGGTGTGAAGATTCCAGACCGCGGGGCCAGGCACACGTTTGCCGCAGCCAACCCTCGATCCCGGGCCGCGCCGCCAGGCGAAAATGTCTCCACATCCTGGGAGGCGGCCCGCAGGAACGCCGGAGGGGCCCAAAGGACAGGCTGCAGGATCCGCAAGCGGCGCACGCAGCAGGGAGCGCCCGGCGCAGTCCCGGCCCTGCCGCTGGGAGCCCTGGGAGCTCAAGCCCACAGCTGGTGGGGCACGTCCACCCTCCCCGGGGTCACACCGGCAGGAAGCACTGGATGCACACCTCTCTCCACCCGGCAGGGCGGCCCCGGCCTCCAGCCCAGAAACCCGAAAAAAAAGGCCAACTGCAAACCTGGCTTCAGAGGGTCGAGGCCAAGCGCCAGGAGCCACCTGCTGACCCGGAAGGGAGGGGGATGGAGCGGAGAGCGGCCACAGCCTCAGGCAGCCCCGCCGTGCTGTCAGGCACCCTGGGGTCGTCCTGGGCGCTGGGTGCGTCGGGCTGCCCTTGGGCTCCCGGTCAGGGGAGAGCGGCCACAGACACAGCGGGCCAGGCTCCGGAACCCAGGCCAGCCCACGGGCAGGGAAGGGAACCCATTTTAAACCCCAGCAGAGCAGGAGAGCTGGGGACGGCGAGGAGGGAGGCCGCCCGCCCCGTGTATGCCTGGGCACATAGGTGTGCTGCACGTGTACACGTGTACGTACGTGCGCCGTGTGCACGCGTGGGGCAGGGGAATCTGCAGAGCGAGCCCCACGACTGAACCACAGGCCACTTCACATCCAGACGTCTGGGACCCGGGGCTCCTCCTGCCACTTGCTCCCTGAGCCCCACCTGTTCTCTAGCAAAAATCACCTAGTCTTACGTCTTTTAATACCTCGCACCTTGTTTTAACTCTGCACCATAACCCCTTAGTGACGCGACCCCCACTAACAGTCATCCTGCGGCTGCGGCCCCCAGGCCCCCACACTGCATGTCACCAACACGAACCGCCTGCCTCCCACATGCAGCCCCAGGAAACCACAGTAGACCAGGCCCACAGGGTCTGTCGGGGGGGTGCAGGGGAAGGGGTGAGGCCGGGTCATGGTGTGGGCCCTGGCATCCCAGTGCTCAGGGGCAAGGCACACAGGCACCTCAACGCAGACCTCACGAGACCTTCCTGGTAACGGAAGCAGGGAGTCTCGTGACTCGTTCCCATCTTTACTAGAAGTTCAGGGTGGCCAGAAACACAAATGCAAACTGCAGACCTGCCGGGGGCCCCAGAAGCTGCCCTAGGACCCAGGGCAACAGGGCTGAGGGGGTCAGGGTGTCGCACGGGCACCCAGCCCGCGGCCTCATCAACATAAGCTTGTGCACACCGGGGCTTCCCACCCCAGCCTTGCTGACGTTCAACGCAGCAGCAGAACCACAGATGCGTCTCTGTGGACGGATTGCCACAAACCACCCAGTGAGACACTGCCAACATCTGACAACTGTCTTGTCAATGGATGAACCTTCCAGAAATCGGGAAAATGACGCCTTCCAGAGCGAGACCACGCCCGTGACTCACACATGGCCCTGGTCATGCACAAAGCCCCCATTGACCCAGACTGCCGGTCAGAGCTGCAGGCGGGCCCCCACGCTGTCCCACGGAGGTCATCACCGCTGCGGAGGACTCGTAGCGCGGGGGACCCTGTGACAGGACCACCCATCACCCCATCCACAGCAGTGGCCACAGGCAGCGGGAATGCAGCCTGGTCTCCTGAGTGGGCAGAACTGCCTGTCTGGCCGGGCCCAGCCAGGGTGTGCGCGGGAGGCAATCTCCTGGCCTGCAGAGGGGAGGGGAGGGGAGCGCGCCCCTGGACAGAGCCCCATGGAGCCCAGGCCTGCCTGCAAGCCCCGTCAGGCCTGGGCAGGCAGTGTCTTGTAGGGGTTCAGGATGCCCTTGGGGTCCAGGAGGGCCTTGAGCTGCTGCATGAGCCTCAGGGCCGCGGGCGGCTTGCTGTAGTGGAGGGCGTCCTTCTTCTTGAAGCCCAGGCCGTGCTCGGCGCTGACGCTGCCCCGCTGCCTGGCCGTCCACTCGTACACGTAGGGCTCCAGGGCGTCCAGCAGCGACCGGCTGAAGGCCTCAGACGTCACATTGAGGTGCAAGTTCCCGTCTCCTGCAGGGACAGGACCCCGGGTCAGGCTGGGCAGGCTGCGGCCCCTCCTTGAGGCCCGGTCCTGCCCCTGCCCTCAGTGGCTTCCACCTCACAGCCCCGGTCCCTGCCCGTGGTAAGAGCGACCTGCTGGCGACCGCGCCCCCTCCGGGAGGTCTCCCCAGCGCCCCCCTCTACGGCTCGGCCCCTCTGAGGGCGCCCCGCCGACAGTGCGGGCCTCTGCCCGGCCAGACGGAGCCCCGGGCCGGGCCACATCTCCCGGCGGTGCCCGCCGCCCGGCCCGCCCCGCCCCAGGTCTGCCCCACGCTCTGCGCTCTGGCCTCCCAGGGACACCCCGACGCGCCCGGGCTCCTGCCCTGGCTGTGGGGCCAGCCGGGCTCAGACCCACACGCACGGGGACCAAGGCGGGCCGGGCGGGCAGGGCAGCGGGGCGGCGGCACGGACGGCGGGAGGCGGCAGGACTCGGGGCGGCCCAGCGCCGGGGTTGGGGGCCAGGAGGAGCCCGCCCGCAGGCGCAGGGCCGCGAGGACCGCGGCGGGGGCAGGGGACAGCTGCCGCCCACCGAGGGGCAGGGGCTCGGAGAGGCTGGAGCACGGCGAGCACCGGGGGACAGGCCGGGGGCCTCCGCCGGGACCGGGCTCCTCCTGCCGCCTCCCCCGCGGCTGGGACTGGGACGCAGGGAGCAGGGCGGGCCCCTCAGGGAGCAGGGAGCAGGGAGCAGGGCGGGGGCGGGCGGGGCGGGGCGGGGCGGGCCCCTCCCCTCCCCTCCCCCGCCCCTCCCCTCCCCCGCCCCTCCCCTCCCCTCCCCTCCCCTCCCCCGCCGCACCGAGGGCAGGACCACCCACGCCCGCGGAGGGGCCGGAGCTGGCCCCAGAAGCGCCGCTGCCCCGCCCAGCACACGAGGGGCAGGTGCAGGGGGCTCCGCCGCTCCTCCCCCCCCCCCCGCAGGAGCGAGCGGCCCGAGGCGCCCCCGCCGCGCCAGCCGACCTGGCCGGGGAAGGTCCGCGGCGTCCGGAGCCTCCGCGCAGACGCTCGGGCGCTCGCAGGGCGGGAGCCCAGGACGCGAAGCACCGGCCGGCGACGTCCTGCGCGTCTCAACCCGCCCCGCGGACGGGCGCCCGAGGCAGGAGCCAACCAGCGGGTTCCGAGGCGCAGCGCCGCCGGGAGCGAAGGAGAGGTCACAGGAGAGGTCACGCCGTCGGGGCGGGGTCGCGGGGTCGCGGCGGGGCGACGGCGGGGGCGCCGGTCGGTCGCAGGAACCCGAGGACCGAGCCAAGCGGAAGGACACGTGCCTGCGACGCAGCGGCAGACGGCGGGCGCCGGCCCCGCGCACCGAGAGCCCCGATCGATCGCCCCGCGCACGAGATCCGCGAGCCTCGCCGCAGGGCCCGCAAGGCTGGACGGGGGCCGAGCCCCGCGCACAGGCACGTGGGCACCGCCGCACGGAGCCGGAGACTCGCCGCAGACCCGCGCCGGGATGCGGCCACGACTCGGCGGGGCCTCCTGCCAGGGAGGCGGGGGACAGCGGGGGGCTGAGGCCAGGCGAGAGCCCACGGAGCGCGGGCAGGACGCCCCTCCCCGGGACCGCGGTCCCCTCCGTCCCCCGGCGGACTCCACGGGGCCCGCTCGCCGCTTTACACGCCCCCCGGACCCAAGACTTCCCAGCGACACGGAGGCGGCGCCGGCGCAGCACGGCCAGGGCGACCCGGGGTCAGCCGCCTACGCTGTCCAGGAGGATCGCGCTCCCGACGGCTTCCAGCTCGGGACCTGGGGCGCGCGGGGCGACCCAGGGCCCCACCGGGGAGCAGACGCGCGTGCGCAGCGCCCTAAGCCGCAGAGCTGTGACTCCATCCGCGAGCGAGCCTAAGGGAAAGGAGCCGGTAGGTTAGGGAAGCACCGGGGCGGCGGGCGGCGAGGGTCCGCGGCGTGCGTGCGTGCGTGACGGACGGGTCTGCGGCGTGCGTGCGTGATGGGCCCCGCGGCGTGCGTGCGTGATGGGCGGGTCCGCGGCGTGCGTGCGTGCGTGACGGGCCCCCGCGGCGTGCGTGCGTGACGGACGGGTCTGCGGCGTGCGTGCGTGATGGGCCCCGCGGCGTGCGTGCGTGACGGGCGGGTCCGCGCGGCGTGCGTGCGTGCGTGACGGACGGGTCTGCGGCGTGCGTGCGTGATGGGCCCCGCGGCGTGCGTGCGTGACGGGCGGGTCCGCGGCGTGCGTGCGTGCGTGACGGGCCCCCGCGGCGTGCGTGCGTGACGGGCGGGTCCGCGGCGTGCGTGCGTGATGGGCCCCGCGGCGTGCGTGCGTGACGGGCGGGTCCGCGGCGTGCGTGCGTGCGTGACGGGCCCCCGCGGCGTGCGTGCGTGACGGACGGGTCCGCGGCGTGCGTGCGTGATGGGCCCCGCGGCGTGCGTGCGTGACGGGCGGGTCCGCGGCGTGCGTGCGTGCGTGACGGGCCCCCGCGGCGTGCGTGCGTGACGGACGGGTCTGCGGCGTGCGTGCGTGATGGGCCCCGCGGCGTGCGTGCGTGACGGGCGGGTCCGCGGCGTGCGTGCGTGACGGGCCCCCGCGGCGTGCGTGCGTGACGGGCGGGTCCGCGGCGTGCGTGCGTGACGGGCCCCCGCGGCGTGCGTGCGTGACGGGCGGGTCCGCGGCGTGCGTGCGTGATGGGCCCCGCGGCGTGCGTGCGTGACGGGCGGGTCCGCGGCGTGCGTGCGTGCGTGACGGGCCCCCGCGGCGTGCGTGCGTGACGGACGGGTCTGCGGCGTGCGTGCGTGATGGGCCCCGCGGCGTGCGTGCGTGACGGGCGGGTCCGCGGCGTGCGTGCGTGCGTGACGGGCCCCCGCGGCGTGCGTGCGTGACGGACGGGTCTGCGGCGTGCGTGCGTGATGGGCCCCGCGGCGTGCGTGCGTGACGGGCGGGTCCGCGGCGTGCGTGCGTGACGGGCCCCCGTGGCGTGCGTGCGTGACGGGCGGGTCTGCGGCGTGCGTGCGTGATGGGCCCCGCGGCGTGCGTGCGTGACGGGCGGGTCCGCGGCGTGCGTGCGTGACGGGCCCCCGCGGCGTGCGTGCGTGACGGCGGGTCCGCGGCGTGCGTGCGTGACGGGCCCCCGCGGCGTGTGCGCGTGGCGGGTCGCGGAGGGGCCGCCGCACGCTGAAGGAAATAAACAGGGTCGGACGGGGGGGAACCGCTCTCCGCCGTCCCGTGCTTGAAAGCAGGAGGCGGGCGCGCGGCGGCGGCGGCGTCGGCCTGGACGGAGGTGCCCCGCGGGGGCTGGGGGCCCCGCCGCGATCCGCGAGCCCGCCTTCCCCGCACACACGCCGCGCGGCCGTCCGCGTCAGCCTCCCGCGGGCTCCAGCGTTCGGGGCGGAACCGACGGCGGGGCAGGGACGCCGCCGCCCTCCGGGAACGTGCACCAGGGCGCCGACGCGGGCGCTGGGATCGAGCCCCGCGGGGCCCCTGCGCGGCCCGGCTTCCGGGTCCCCCTCCCCGTCCCTCCGTCTCAGACACCCGCGGCTGGACGGAGCGCATGGGGGGGACGCGAGGAACGAGGACGCGTCGGGGCTGCGCCGGGGCGGCTCCGAGGACGGCGGTCCTGCGCCCAGGGCGTCGGAAAGGGCCGGTGCCGCGGCCGAGGGACGGGGCGGGGACTCGGGCGGCGGGAGCGCGGGGCTCCTGGCTGCCCCCCCCCCCCCGCGAGAACCGCCGGCTGCGGACGGGGCGACACCCCTGGGAAACTGCCGGCCTCGGGCCCCAGACGGCGGCCGGGACTGAGCTGAGCGCCTGCGGGAGCCGAGCGGGGCGGCCTCAGCCCCCGAGGCCGGGAAACGGGGAGCGGAGCGGGCACCGCGGTCAGTGGCCCACACGCAGCCTGCGCCAGACGACGCTGCCCGGGGCGCCCCCGCCGAGCGCACAGGCGCCAGGGCGGAGTGAGCAGGGGCCGTGCTGGCCCGCGAGCCCCCACGGGTCTGACGAGGACACGGACCCGCGACGTCGGCAGCCGCCCTGGGTCGGCGAGAAAGCGGCCTCCTGCGCTGGAGAGCGCTGGACGTCAGGGCCTGAGGGGCCGCCCGGCGCCCCGGGGAGCGAGCCCACGTTCCCATCCGATCCGGCGGGACTGCGCCACTCCCAAGCCTGCGCCCCGGGCGGACGAGGAGAGGCAGGAGGGACAAGCCCGAGGGGGACGGCAACGGGGCGCCCCGCAGCTGCTGACCCAGCGCCGGAGCGAGGGCGCCGCAGATGTCGGCGCGCACGTTGGAGGTTTTAGAAGCAACGGACGCGGCTCCGAAGCAGGGGAGCGAGGGCAGCCCTGCCTCGGGAGAAGGCCGTGGGCCGCGGCCAGCCCCGCCGCAACACAAGCCCCCGCCCAGAACCTTCACCGCAGCCGGGCCAGACGACCGAGGCGGCCCTGAGGCCCACCCCTCACACTCCACGCCCGGAGGGAGAGACCACGCCACGCGGCCACGCGGCCACGCGGCCGGGGAGTTGGCAGTGTCCAGCGTGGCACACGGCAGAGACACACAGGACGGTGCGGCCTGGGACGCAGGCAGCCGTGGGGCCGGCGGGGGGGCCTGGGCTTACCCCAGAACCGCAGCCCCCGCGGCAGGGGCCCAGAGGGAACGGCCTTGCTGACACGGGGAGACCAGCCCAGACGCCCACACCCACCCGCTACCCCCCAGACCGAAGAAACTCTGGCTGCACCTCAGGCCGCGAGCCTTCCCCATGGGGACGGAGGCTGCCTCCGGGCCCCACCGGGAGGAAGACGGCAGCGGCCCCCAGCTCCCCATCCACAGCCGGCAGCCTCGCCACCTCCACACCCGCTCAGGTGCCGCCTCCCAGAGGTCACGTCTGCCCTGGCCTCCTCTCCAGTGCCGGGTTGGCAAGCCCCGCGTCCCTGTCCCCGTGTTCCCAGGAAGACCGTCCGACAGCCTGAATGGAGCCCAAGTCGGCAAGCTCCTCCTGCGGGTCCCACTGCCTATGCCGGGGACAGGTGCTGCCCTGCTCCAGGTCAGGCGTGCTCTCCTGTCCCCGTCTAAAACTCAAACCTCGTCCTCCATGGGTGAGAGGTACGTGCACGTGGACACGCAGGGTGTGGCGAAGGACTTCCCTGCAGACACTGGGCACCCGGAGCCCCCACCGTGCTCTGCGTCCAGGGTGCTGGGCAACCCCCTGCTCCCACCCACCCTGGGGGGCACCATCTGTCACACATCAAGCATCTCGATGCGTCGCGTGCTGACTGGCTGTCAGGAAAGGCACGGCACCAGCTGGGAAAACCATCCTGATGAGAAGTCCTGCCACGCCAGGTGCTCCGGGGCCCCGGGTGAGCCCCGCCCAGGTAATGCCCCTGTTCCCACCTGCCAAGCCCTCACCCCCTCTCCAGGTCCTCCCCTGCAGACAGGCCAGTGGAGGCTGCGGCCACGCGGCTCTGTGCCCCCCGGGTACACAGGGCTTTCAGATGCCCGTTCCCAGGGCACCAAGAATTGTGAGGGACAAAACATCCCCTCCTAGGAATTAATCCCTTAAGACGTAAACTTTGACTTTTCTTAAAAAAAAAAAAACACCTGAAACTGGTTTTAAAGCCCTGTACCTGGCAAGGGGGAGCAGGAAGGGGCTCGTCAGGGCCACGTGCATACCAGGCCTGGGAAGGGCGCCAGGACGGTGGCCGAACCACAAACAGGTGCTTTCAGAATACCCCCAGAACCCTGAGGATGACTCGGGGCTCCCAACAACCGGGGTCCCCTGTCACCACCTGGCCCAGGGAGGCTCACCCAGGTGGCCGTAGCCCACCACGCGCTTGGCCTGGGAGCCGAGGCGGGTACGCAGGTCGGTCACGAGGTCGTACAGTGTGTCGGTGGGCAGGGAGAGGTCATATTTGTACACGTAGCCATCCCAGCTCAGCGCCTCCGAGATCCTTTCTCTCAGGGCCCACAGTGCCTAGGGGGGTCAGAAAACAGGCAGAGTCAGAGGGGAGGCCGCCACAGGGTCTGCGCCAATGGCCCTTAGGACGTGGCTGGCCTGAGGTGACTGGGAAGGTCACGGAAACTCTGCAGGTAACACAAATGTTCCGTGTTGTGACAGGCATGGGGCTCTGATCCCAGAGTCCGTCCTGGACGAGGCCCCAGAATGTGGCCCCAGCTCGTCCCAGGACACACCGAGGTCCCCTCTCCACGGGGCCAGGGGATACTCTGGGGGACGCGGTGGGAGAGCCCGGTCGGGTTGCTGGCCGGAGAGGGAATCTGACGATGGCAGGGTCGGGGCAGGACGACCCTGCAGGGGGGACGGGGACAGGGCCGCAGAGCTGCGGGGATTGGGGTGCTGACAGCTGGAGCAGGCTGGTGAGAGGCTGGGGTGGGGGGCCCATCACATCGCCGCCCTTCCAGCAGTGAGGTCATCTGGCAGGGACGGTGGTACGGTGGGGACCCAGACCCCAGAAGCATGAGAGTGCAGACATGAGGCCTTGCATCCGGAGATGGGGTTGGACTCCCTACGCTTAATATTCACTAAACACACAAGATAACCATGAAAGAAGTTTAACGATAAGGTAGAAAAGGAACCCAAAGAGGCCCCTTCAGAGCCAGTCTGAGACCCGATCCCCACTCTTCCCAGGAGCGCCCGGAGGCTTGCAGCCTCTACCACCCCCTGCTGCCCAGCCCCACGCCCTCCCTCAACCCTGCCCTGGCCAGCCGCTCTCTACACTGCAGCCCAAGGACGCCGGTGCACAAACAGGACAGGGGCTCCCGCCACCCTAGGACCCCCACGACAGTGACAGCGGCTCCCACAGGGTGACTCGGTTGGTTAAGCATCAGACTTCTGGTTCTGGCTCAGGTCATGATCTCAGGCTTGTGAGGCTGAGGCCCGTGCTAGGCTCCATACGCAGTGGGGAGCCTGACGTTCTCTGTCTCCTGCTCCCTCTGTGCCTCCCCTCACTCACACAGAGCATTCTCTCTTGCAAATAACTTTATAAAAAAGCAAATTAATTAAAATAAGTTAAAACAAAGTTTAATTTAATTTAAAAAATGCCACTGATATTTTGGAGACTTAAAGCATGTTTCCCAAGAGGCAGGGACAACTGCTCACGTTCAGACACACGGCAGCACGCAGACGTCCTGGACAGCTGAGCGTAAGGGAGGCAAGGAGGCGCCAGCAGCACCCACACACCTTGAGTTTCATCTGGTCCGTGGCCACGGTCCCATCAGTCACCAGGCCGGAGCGCAGGGCCTGCTCCAGGAAGTCATTCAGCTTCTCAGCATCGTGCTCTGCTCTGGAGCCTGAGGTCTCGATGAGAACATAGAATGGACTTTCTAGAAGGCACAAAAAGCAGGATGAGCCGGGCAAGGCGGTCAGACGGAGGGTGGGACGGGTCTGGGTCTGCCTGGCCGAGCATCTCTGACGGCCCCTGTGCGGCTGACGGGGCCCAAGGCCCAGAAAGCAGGAAGACTCTGCTCAGGCTGTATTTCCAATGGCTTGAAACACATCTTTCATGGGTGCCTGGCTGGCTCCTCCTGGTTGGAGGAGTGTGTGACTCGAGCTCAGGGCTGTGAGGCCAACCCCCACACTGGTATGGAGATTACTAAAACAAATAAGCTAAAATAAATAATGATAAATAAAAATAGGTCTTTCACTGGAACAGAAACCATGCTCCCCAGAAACAGGGACAACCCTGAGTGGCACCGTGAGGGCCTCGCCACTGGCACCTGGATGGGGCTGTGGGCAAGGAGCCCCTCTTACCAACTGCAGGTGTCCCCAAGACCACAGGCTAAGGAGAGGCCACCGTGCCTGCAATGGCCCGGGATACCCACGATGCAGAGCGCCACGTGCAAAAACTGCATGCTTTTTACCCAAGGTGCCTCTTTTTTAAAGTTTAAAAATATTTGCATTAGTAACTGTAAGAAAATTTTAAGCTTGTCCTTTTCTTTAAGGCTACAGTGAATTTATTTTAACTTACTGAAATCAATAAATTAAATTCATTCTTTAAGCACTACTGTAAAAGTGGCTGCCAAAAAAGTACTACGAGGCCATCCTCCTGTAAAGACAGCAAGTCTTTTCCAGATGTTGGCATTTTTCCATGCTGAAATGCAAATTCTGCTCTTTACCATACATCATAGAAAACACCGGGAGCATTTTAATTTCTATGGGCTCCTTTTCCAATTACGAAAGTAAAACATGCTCACATAAGAGGATTTGGCAAACAAAGACAAGTAGAAACAAAAAAAAAAACACGTCCCAGCTTGCCAGATTACAGTGCCTGAGCATATTTGACAGCGCTCATTCCTGCCTTCCAACCAGTAGAGGAGCTCTGCAGGCTGAACCCTGCCCAGGGTGGCAGGGGGCCTGGCCTTTGCCCTGAACGTGACCTTAGGAGCAGCTTTCTCACCCGCATGCCCAACGGCCATACAGTGCTCCTCCATCCCCCCCCGGGGACACCCTATCTTTCCAGTGGTTGTATCAGCTTATTTCTTTACTACTGGACATTTAGATGGTTTCCTAAAAGTAGATCCTACTACAAGGAGCATCTCATTAAAAATTTAAAGCATAAAGATCTTTCCATATTCAGGCTTCCTAGGGACAAAGTTGAGATCGCCCCAAATTCCCACAGGGAAGCCACCTCCAACGTGACTGTATTTAGAGACGGGGTCTTCAGGCAGGTGATTATGGTTAGTTTAGCTCATAAGGATGGGGCCCTGATCCCACAGGACTGGTGCCCTCATAGAAAGAGCGAGAGGCACCAGAGATCTCCCCTGCACACAGAGAAGAGGCCACATGAGCAGACGGCCAGAAGGGTGCCGTCGGCGAGCCAGGACGACAGCCTCGGCAGAAACCGGCCCTGCTGGCCCCTCAGTCTGACACTTCCAGCCTCCAGGTTGTGAGAAGCAAGTGTCCTGTTTACACCCGGAGCCAGGGCAGCCTGCGCTAACCCCCCACCGTTGCTGTAGGGTAGGTCTCTGGTGAAAGTACCAAGATCCACAGCGCAACGTTTCTCGTCTCGAGGTGCCAAATCGCTTTCTGAAATGCTGAGTCGATGCTCCTGTTTGCTGATTTGGAAAGAACTCCCTGGGATCCTTCACGGACCGATGGCTTCTCTCCACTGAAGAGAAGTGGGTCTGGCCAGTGCACTGGGGCTTTTCAGAGACCCTGGAGCTCTGGCACAAACGGCGGCATCACCTGACCCAGCTCTGGGGGCACATTTATGACAAGCATCTGGCTCTGGTGACGCCAGAGCTGCAGAGATTCCGGCAACCTCCCTGCCGCTCCCCACTCTGTGCACAGAACAGCCTGCGAGCATCCCTACGGCCCAGGGCACCCAGGCAGGGGCGGGTGCTGCCCGCCAGTGGGGTCACTACCTTGCACTGGGCTGGTGAGGTGCAGGTGGTGCCTGACCAGCCACATGCACTCAGCGTCCATGAACTCGTACGCGGACAGGATCTCACCCAGCAGCCCCTTGCAGGTGCTAAAGGTCTGCAGAACCTCGGCGAAGCCTGGACAACCTGCAGAGGCGACAGGACTCAGGCACAGGCGCCAGAACCCCAGCCAGACGCACCCAAGCCCCCCGTGCCGCTGCTGTGCTGGCGAGCTGGGTAGCAGAGCCCTGCCCCGGGGGGCACCCGGCGCCGGTCAGCAACAAGCACATGATGGCTGTGACCATCAAGGCAGGAAATGCTCGTCTGAGAACCCACGGGGCTCAGGAAGGTGGGGGGACCAGGGGAGCCACGGGGCACGCGCAGGCCAGAAACGGGCTCGCTCCTCCCATCACGGTGAGCACGCAGGCGTTCGGCAGCCTGGCGTAATTCCTTCAGCTTCCCGACGACCAGATGCCGGGGAACTGGCCGTCGAGCAGCCGAGGAGACCAACCCTGCGCTGAGGAGGGTGTCTCGGGGCCAAGAGGGGAGGCATGGAGACGCCCTGCGGGCACCGGGGAGCGTGTCCGCAGAGGGCAAGGCGCCTGCTCTGCTCGCCCAGGAACAGGCGGAGGTCTCATGGCTGGACGCGGGGTTGGTCGCGGTGACCTGGGCCACACGGACCACAGCTGAAGGGAACACGGGTGAACGGAGCCAGAGCGGAAGAAACCTCCCAGAGCGCGACGGGTGGAGAAGGTGGAGAGACCGAGAGCACGGACTGCAGGGCTGTGGGCACAGCAGATGGGCAGCTTCTACAACGGACAGGATACCCAGCCACAGACTCAGGAAGTTCGAAGACCCGAGATAAAAACGTGCACGTTGGCAACATACCCCAAATCAGAGACACCCAGAGAGAAGGAGAAAACCTTTAAAGTAACCAAAGAACAAAATGCCAGAACCCCTGGTGGTAGCAGCAGGCCTCCCGATGACCAGCCGTGTGAGCCGCGGGCCAAGGAAGCCACCTGCAGCCTCCCTTATGAACTAGTGACAGTGTCCTCTGGGGGAGCTGAAGGCGGGCAGACGGGCCCGGGGTGGGACGACCCCAGCGCCAAGCAGTGGAAATGGCACATTTGTCTGATGCTAACTGGTCACAGCCAGAGCTCAGAGACGGAGGACCCTGCATCCTGCTGCAGCTCCGGGCACCGCTGACCAGGGAGGCAGCCGCCGAGATGACCTCGCGAAGACTGGACGCCTCCCCAGCTTCTGCGCCAGCAGAGGACAGGCCCTAACGCTGCCCACCAAGTGGAGGCGAGGCTGGAGGGACTCGGGGGACAATGGAGACACAAGGTCCGTTCAGGGTCTGCTGGCAGCAGGGACCAGGGGGCCAACAGGGAGCCCCGTGGGGTGGAGAGGGCTCCCACGCCGCAGCATCACAGGATGCACGGCACTCACTGGCGGGGGCAGCGGGGGCAGGGCAGAGACGGGCAGCGGACGGGCTGGGGGGTGTGTTCCCACGGGTGTGACTGGTCACCCCACGGGGACGAACGCACCGAAGCGCCTCCACTTCCCTCAGAATCAGCAAACAAGACGGCGCGGCTGCGCTGAGCAGAGCCCCAGTCCTGCGCCAGACTCCAGGGCACCCCGCCCCGAGACGGGAGAGGCTCTGCTCCGGACTCCGAGAGCACCAAGCCCCGGAAACAGCGAGGCCACGACCGACGGCGAGCCTTCCTCGCGCCCACGGCAGCGCAGCTGGTGCACCCCGACAGCCGGCCTACCGAGGAATGCCACGTTGACCGCCCGGGGCTTGGGAGGACACTGGATGGACACGGCCGTGATGACTCCCAGCGTGCCCTCCGACCCAATGAAGAGCTGCTTCAGGTCATAGCCCGTGTTATCCTTGCGCAGGGCGCTCAGGCAGTTCAGGACGGTGCCGTCAGCCAGCACCTAATGGAGGGGGACAGGAGCCGAGTCCCAGGCACCCTCAGAGGGTGAGCCAGGCCTGAGCCCCCACCCACCCCAGTTGGGTTGAGGGGTGCTGGGGCACCCAGTGACGCCAGGCCCAAAGGTGTCCAATCAGCCGGAGAGGAGGACCCTCACGCCCCCACCCCCAGGGAGCTCAGGGACACAGCAGGGCGGCCCCCGGGGCGGCGGGGGAGAGTCACAGTGCGACCCACTCACCCCGTGGACTACGCACCCCCAAGGCATCCTCACGTCACCCTGCACCGCCCCGGCCGTCCCTGAGACCTGGGGACAGTGCCCGAGGACACACGGCGTGTGCCAAGCCAGGACAAGGCCCTTTGGTAGACCTCACAGCTGAGCACGCTGGCCCCTGCGAATAGGCTGGGGGACAGAGAGGAAAGGGGGCCGGAGGCCCCAGCTCACCACTTCCAGGCCCAGGACAGTCCCATGAAGCGAGCCGTAGCGCAGGAACCGTAGGCCGCCTGCGTTGGTCGCCACATTTCCCCCGATGTGGCAGCTGCCCTTCGCCCCCAGGTCCAGGGGCATGATGAAGCCCCTCGCCTCCACGTACTGGCTGAGCTCCTCCAGGATGCAGCCCGCCTGGCACACCAGGGTCCCTGCCGAGCAGAGGAGCTGCCGTGGGTGCTCTTGGCTCAGGACAAGCCAGGAGCCTCACCGCGGGGGCTCTGTGGGGGTTAGCCGCCGGGGGGGGGGCATCCCCCTCGGAAACTGGACCCAGGAAAAGGAGCGTGTCCCCCAGAAGGTACCTTTAGGATTTACCACGAAGAAGAAGAAAAATGCATACAGCAAAGGTAGAAAAGAATCCTCACGTGCACACACTCTTCGCTGGGGGAAACCAGGGAAAGCATGGCTGCACGGCTGGGGCCCCTTGAGCAGGGGTGATGCCACCACCAGGGCACGTGTGACAAGCCTGAAGACGCTTCCCCTGTGGGACGCTGCTGGCCTGGAGCTTCGGGGCCAGGTCCCCCAGCATGAAGAATGACCTGACCCAGGTGCCCGGCTGGGAGGCAGTGCTGCGGGGTCCACCAGGCGGGCAGCGCACCCACACTTCCCTGCACCCCACCCTTTATGTCCCACTTATGAGGGACAAGGGCCGTCCGAGCCGAGTCAGAGGGGCTGCAGCAACGGCCCCGCCCCCACCTCAAGCCCACGGCACAAGTCACCCAGTGACCCTCTCACGACTGCATCCAGGGCAGACGCAGGCAGTGGGCCTGGCACAGAGCAGGGCCTCTCCCTCCCGGGCGTGGTCCCCCAGCTGCGTGGCTGCAGCACTGGCTTACCGGACACGCTGTGGAAGCTGATGACCTGGTTCATCAGGGCGGTGGACAAGATGATCTCATCAAAGACGGGCACGCTGCCCCCCACCATGCCTGTGTTGCCCCCCTGTGGGTTCACGGCCAGGTTCCTCTCGTGACAGTACCTGTGTGAGCACAGGACAGGCATCAGGGCGCTCCTCCCTACACCTGCACGGGCATCCCCGCAGGGTGAGCCCACCCAACCCCGAGTCCTCTTTCCCACGCCCATGGCCTCGATGGGGGGCCCCCCAGGCGGCCATGGCTACCACAAAACTGTGCTCAGCGATGAGGCTGGCACTTCCCCAGACCCTGGATGGGGTGGCACCCAAGGCCCTAACGTCCTAGGAGGCCACTCTCTAGGTGCCAAGACCCCAAAGGAGGGCCCGGGTGGGTAAGGATTTGGAGAAACGCTGTGCCTGCTCCTGGGAAGAAGGCTGTGCGGGCACATCCCATGAACCCCGTGAGCCGGCAAGCCTCCGGCCGTGGCCCCTACAGGAAGTGTGTGTGCCCCGTGTTCCTGGGCTGGGGCTGTTCCACGTTCATGTAAAACTGGACGGCACCTGCGCATGGTCTCTGGTACACTGCAGAGCGCTGGTGGGGTGGACCCTTCCATGCGTTAGACACGGTGTGGAAGAGATGACATGGGTGCACCCAGAGCGTACGGCGGCTCAGTGGGTCAGACAGGCGGGCACCATGTGATCCCTACGTGGAACTCAGGCAAACAAAACAGACCCGGAGCACCGCAGGCCGCTGGCGGGGCGTGGCCCGAGGACGCAGACCTCAGCTGTAAGCAAGTCCCGGCCACAGGGCACGGCACCCGACGGGGACAGGGAAGCCGAGGTCACCAGCGGCACAGGATCAGGGGCTTGTGCGTCGGAGGACAGACCACGACAGCAGCCACCAGGCCCATGGGAACTGTGGCACGAAGGCCGAGGCCCTAGGAGCGGGCGCGATAAGGCCGAGCGGGAAAGAAAGCGCTCCCAGCACAGACGCCACGTGCCACGCTCACCGGCCGCGCACACTAGCGGAGGGGACCCGGCGGGGGCTGCCTTTGGAGGGAACACAGCGCTTGGTCATTTTTCCCTTTACGGTTCTGTTTCCCAACTTTTCTAGAATAGACCTGACGGTGGATTGTTGGCAAGGAGAGGCCGGCCCCCCTCGCTGATGGGTGCCCCCAGCAGCCACCACCTCCCATACCTGAGGATGTGAGCCACCTCCTCCGACGTCCGGGGCCGCAGCAGCACTCTGCTACAACCTGCAACACCGAGGAGCATGTCACACGTGGCGACTGCGTGGGTCTCTGCTCCGGAGAGAGGACTCCCTGGCCTCCGTGAGGCCACCTGCTCGGCCGGGTTACCAGCCAGCCCGCAGACCCCAGTGACCCGGGCAAGACATCCAAAGCGGGCCCGGCCGCGGGCGGCAGGGAGGCCACGGCAGGGACGTTAATGCCCGTGCCCAGAGCAGGGGCACCGCCTGGCTGCCTGCCGGGAGCAGCTGCTGCCCCTGGAGCTGCACGTCTGTCACGGGGAGCCACTTGGGCCTGGGCGAGTATCCTGTCGAGGTTCACGCTGGCACCCAGCACAGCAACCGATGACCAGCTGTGCCCCCAGAGGCCCAGGGTCGTTGCCCAACGGCCACGTCCCAAATCCATGCCTCCACCCACGGTTAGCGGACCTCCCACCACGTCTCATCAGAGCAGTGTGCTTGTGACTGACGGGATGCCGGACGGGGCCAGCGGGGGCCCTGGACGCCCCCCGGGACAGGCGGGCTCCCACTGCCCTGACTTCGTTGCACGTACAGAGGCGGGTGTGGGGCCTCCAGGAAGGTGCGAGCACAGGCCCCCACAGCAGCGGCTTCTGCCTTGGCTCTGAGGTCTGGTGCGGTTCTTACCTCGTGCTTGTTGTAGGAACAGGTAAGTTCCGAGTAGTTATGATCCTTGTTTTAAATACGATTTAATCACCTCTTTAAATAACTTTCAACGACGGCTGTTTCACAACTGGCCTGACACAGGATTCTCACAATTCTCAGGAACGAGCTCCCCTGAGCTGGGGCTGGCCAGCTCCAGCTCACGCCCGCCCCGAGCCTCCAGGAGGCCTCGGGATCGTGTCCACCTCAGGACACGGGCCACAGGGAGGCAGCCGCGGATGTGCTGCTGCCCCACGATGGCGCGGCCGATTGGGAGACGTGTGGCAGGAGGCAGGGAGGGAGCGTCCAGGCAGCTGGCCCCGGGGCTCACTGAAGTCCATGTGCGCCCGGTCTCCCCCTCCTCGTGCTCGTGGAGCCTTGGAGGTTGACGGACAGACTCGGGAACAGAAGGGGAAAGGCCTCGGTGCGGGAGAAGCAGAGCCAGGGCTCGGGAGGGGCAGGGGCTCTGCTTCCCCGGCCTCCGCTCTCCTCCTTCCTCCGGAAGGCAGATGGAGCAGAGTGGGGGAGGCCTTCCAGGGCTGTGGCCAGCACAGCAGGAGGTGGCTGGGCGCTGCTCCCACCTTGCCCCTCCTGGGAGTTGGGGACTCCCCTCCAGGGGAGAGGAGTGTCCTGAGCCGGGGGCAGGGGGCGCAGTCGGGGTAACAAATACAGGAGGGTGATGGAGAACACCCTGGGTCAGCAGGTCGTCCAAACAGGACATCCAGCAGGCCAGGACGGACGGTGTTTCCCCGCACGGGTCCCGGGACAGCTCTGACAGCGCCCCCCCGCGCCAGCAGCACCTCCCGGACGTTGTCCTCAGCCTCCTCCACGCCCCACTCCCAGCGGATGCTTCTATCCCGGATCTTAAATGTTCTCCCCTGCTATCCTCTGTCTCTCTGGCAGTTGGCTGTGAGTCATGTCCTCGCACAAATGAACATTCTTCCCACACCGTCTGTCGCACGTGTGAGTCTCACCCGTGGGGGTCACGACCTCAGGATCTGGAAGATGCGCACCTGCCTCACGCTCTGACACTCAGCCTGTGCATCTGCCAAGGACTTCAGCTTGGAGCTCAGTGAAGACCTCCTTCCCCACCAGACCCGTGGAGCCGCCACCTTGGCTTGCTGTGCACCCACCTGAAGTCCGTGATTCTCCTGAAAGCCATTTCTCACTCGATTTCCATCAGACGAACCAGGTTTGCCCTCGGGCCCCGGTCCTGTAGGACAGCATAGTCCCGCGAGGCTCACTCGGGGTGCCACAGGGCTTGGGCTACGAGGGCACGCTCCCGCGGCATGGTCTGTCACCTGCCACAGCAGGCAAGGCCCCCCTGCCGTCCTCCGGCGACCACAGCACCCACGGCCGGGGCCGGGTTCGTAAGCAGAGCGTGTGGAAACCGTTTGATACCGTTCGTTTGCTGTGGCTGCTTTCAGACAACGGATTGTGGCAGAGACCGAGTGGCTGCAAGCCTCCAACCCTCCCCGTCCGAACCTCTGCAGGACATGCTGACCCCGGCACGTGAGACTCTCACATGCCTCTTCTCTCCCAGCGGCCTGCCCTCACCCCATGCCAGCTGCTCAGGCCCAGGGGCACAACATTGCCACCCAGGGGATCCCACACTGCATCTGGCTCCCCAGGCACGGGGGGTGACTTTCCAGCCCACTAGCCCCAGCCCTGCGCACCCATCTCTCACACGTCTCCCCCGTCCCATGGACCCCAGCTCCCACCTGCCACCCCCCCGTGCACACACCTGGGCAGCGCCCACCTACTTCTGCACATGCCCCTGAGACCGTGGCCCCTCCCTGGGCCCTCCACGCCCACATCCTTTGCCACCATCCCCCATTTCTCACATGCTACCAGTTGTCTCCTCACTGCAGATCATTCCCATCATCCGACAAACCTGCTGCACTGGCAGGCTCGTCCGAAACCAACACCAAAAAGGAAATAACCTCTCCTCTTGACCCTGTCCCCACCTCCCACCTCTCTGTCGCCCCTTGACGGCACCATGCATCCACCAGGTGGGGGGTCACGTCCACCACCCAAGACCCCACGAGCGGCTCCAGTGGCACAGGTGTCCCTTTCATGTTATGGACAGTCTCCTGCTACGGTCTCCCACACAGCAGCTGCACCTGACCTGGTGCCCACTGGCTCCCCCTCCCTTCACACGGCTCCAGCACATACTGCCCCTGGTCCTCCCGGGTCCCGGCCACACCTGCTCGGTCCCCCTGGCTGGTGCCTGCCAGCGCCCACTGACCACAGCAGTCACCAGCCTCCTCAGGACATCTGGTCACTGTGTGGACCCTGCCCTGGACCAGCAGGCTTCACAGCCCAACGGCCCCCGGCCCATGTCCATCTGGACTGCTCCAGACTTTGGTTTCCCCAACAGACCCGCTCTTCCTGCCATTTTGCTCAGCAGACGGAAGGCCAGCTCAGGCCCAGGGTTCCTGCACCCTTGCTCCTCTGACACTCCATTACCCATCAGCAAATCGTGGACTCCACCTTCTGCACACAGAACCCCATACCTTCCCCGAACACCCCTCGAAGACTCAGGCTCTCCTCCTTGCTTCCACAACTGAGTCATGAGTGCCTGTCCCCGACATGGCAGGCACAGTCAGGCCAAGGGCCCGCTGCCCAACAGCTTGGGGGAAACGCCAGGACTCATACGGCCCCGACGCTCTGACCTCCCCCTCATGCATCTACTCCAGCTGCACGTGGGTCTCTGGGCTCCTCGAACACACCAAGCACGGCCTTGCTCAGAGGCTTCACACCCTTCCAGGTGGCTTCCCCAGGCTCCAAGGACACAGCCTGCGCTGGGGACTCTCCTGGGCCCTCGTGCCGCGCTCATGCTGCCGCCCTCGGGTGAGCCTCTTGCGCATCTTCACGTTTGGGACCCCAACTCTGCACTCAGTGCAGACACTAAAGTTTAGGGGGTGCACCCCTGAGCAAATGATCAGTTGGACAAGATTTTTTTTTCTTTTTGGACAAGATATTTAGTAACCGTTTCCATTTAAAATGAAATCCATTTTTAAGAAAACTGTGAAGTCTTTTACTAGCTGTTTTTTCTATAGGACTCCAAAATCAAAATGTTAAATAATAGTAAGCTTAGGCATCTTTCTCCCCAAAAGAAAGCCACATAAAGGGTTATTTTGACAAAAGCTCAACAAACTACTCCAACAGACGCCCCCTGGGATGATGCTCTGCAGTGAGTCCTGTGCATTCAGAGAACAGCAAGCCCCGTGCGGCCCTCCTGAGCTCAGGGTGAGGCAGCCAGGAGGGGCCGTCCACGCAAGCACACACAAGGACAGACCGTCTAGCCTGAGGCTTCCAGGAAGAGCCCCCAGGAGACAGCGACCCCCTGCCCAGCGTCCCCATCCCAGGGATAGCTCCCACCTGCTTCGGAAGCCCCATCCCAGTTTGTGGGACTGGCACTCAGGCGGCAGTGCAGAGCCACGACGGGGCCTGCTGTGGCTGGGCCCAGAGTGGACAGCACACTGTCCTGCCTCCAGGAGTGCCTGCAGGCACTGTGGGTGGTGAGGGCTCACAGTGGGGCAATATCCCCCCACCGTGAGGTCCTGACTTATCGGGCAGGGTGGGGCTGGAAGCCCTTCCACTCTGGGCACTTGGACCATAACAGTCCAAGGACCAGGGGCCTGGGTGGCTCCATCACTTCAGCTCCGGTCACGATCTCAGCGTCCTGGGATCAACCCTGTGTTGGGCTCCCTGCTCAGCGGGGAGTCTGCATCTCCGGCCCCCCAACTCCCCGCCCTGCCCCAAGTAAATAAATAAAACCAAAAAATGAAAAGAAAGAACCTGAGGACCTCTCAGGGCTGCAGCCCCTCACAGGGAAAGAGCCGCCTGTTACCTGAGCCCACAGCCTAACTCCACTAGCTCAAGACTGCGCGGCTCCGGGACGCTGCACCTCCAGGCCACAGGCTGCTCTGGGCACTCCCTCAGGGTTTCTCCCACCGACAGAGCAGCCCCTGCAGCAGCTGAGTTGCTGCCACAGAACACGCCCCTCGGCTGCTCTCAAGGTGCCAAGTGCGCCAGGTCCAGCCCAGCCTGCGGACCTGGCTGCCCGGCGCGTCCTGGCATCGTGTGTTCACTAGGTAACCCGGCTGTAACGTGGTCGCCTTCCCACTCTCTTCAATATTCCAGCAAGAACATGGTGCTGGTTCTCCAGGATTGCCTGAAGAGATACCTTATGTCATCTCTGAGAATGTTTAAGCAGAGAACACACAGTGTCACGAAATCTTTCTCGTCAGGAAGCATGTGCTGGGTCTGGAAGGAGGAGAATCACCAAGCTGGTGCAGACTGATGTGGAGGGGTACAGGGGGGCCAAACCAGCAGCCCTGTGTCTTGTCCATGAGCAGAATGAGGTATGTCCACATCCTGTCACTCAGAACCTGTGCCGGCGACCTTATCTGGATCAAGGGTCTCTGCTCACGTGACAAGGTCGAGAATCCCGAGAGGAGACGGCCCTGGATTTAGGGTGATAGCAGGTGTCCTTAAGCAGAGGGAGATGTGACACTCAGACACACACGGGGAGCGGCCACATGGAGATGGAGCAGAGACCGGAGGGATGCCTGGAGCCCCCCAGGGGCTGGACGAGGCAGGAGGGAGCCCCCCTGCACCTCTGGTGGGAGCACAGCCCTGCCCACAAGGCGATGTCAGACTCCTGGCCTCCAGATGTGGGATGGGGGACCTCTGGCTGCAGGCGGTGTGGTCCCGTGTGACAGCAGCACCAAGCATGACACACAGCCCTCAGAGTGGCCCGGGCTGTGTTATCTGTCAATCTGCAGATCTCCCGCCCTACTACTAAACTTCTCTAAACGTTCTCAGAACACGTTAAAGCCACGATGCAGCTTTTCTTCAGCCTAAGGAGGTGCCTGTGCCAGTGACCTCACGCTCCTGTGCCCAACGCTCCCGCACACCCACCCTCCAAGCACGAGTGTGAACAGACCCTCCCTCACCTCGGACCGTCCTCAGCCAGTCCACATTCGAAGCTGCCAGCACCTCTGTGTCTGTGACGACTCTGCCAGGGATGATGCGTTCAAAGGCGGCCAGGTCGGCCTCAGACGGTGCGGAGAAGGGCAGCCGCTTCACGGGGTAGCGCTCCTGCGTCAGCGCCACCTCAGGGCCGCCGGCGGGTGTGGAGGAGCTGCGTCTGCAGACTGGGGGGCTGTTGCCCACGGCCCCCCAAGGGCCGAGCGGTCTGGGGATCCTGGATGCCCATGTCCTGCGCTGCACAGAGGCTCCCAGAGCGCACGCCGCCTGCCATCGGAAGAGCCGCAGAGGCTGCCGGGGCACCAGACGGGGCAGCATCGCTCTTGCCCTAAAAAGCAAGTAATAGGACTTGTAACTCTGGAGGACTAAGACCTAGGGGGAGCTAAGCACTTGTGCAGAGAGGGAGCCCAGCGCGGCCCAGGGGCAGGTGGGGTCCAGGAACAGGGGTGTCTTCCAGGGTGAGGCTGCAGGCGACAGAGGCGCTGGGCAGGCTGCCCTCGAGCCTGACCCGCAGGGTTGTCCTCCTGGGAACTCCCTGAACTGCCGTCACTGCTTGGGGGCCGGCTGGGGACTGGGCTGGGGGGCCTGGCTGGGGCAGGCTGGGGGGCCTACCTGGGGACCCGGCTGGGGGGCCTGGCTGGGGCCGGCTGGGGGGCCTACCTGGGGACCCGGCTGGGGGCAGGCTGGGGGCCAGGCTGGGGGGCCTCCCAGTTCTAACCTTTGTGGTAACATAGCTCCTTTTTAGCGCCTTCTGCTTTGGGGCAAAACCAGGGTATAAGGCACTGAATGGGCTGGATGCCACTGAGTTATACAACTTAAAGTGGTAGAAATGGTAAATTCTAGGTTTTACGTACGTGTTGTCACACGTTTAAAAAGTACAGAAGTGAAACAGGGTGAGGAGCTCCCCTGGCTGCAGCGGACACCGCCCAGTGCCAGCTGCCCCTACGGCCCACCCTCTGCGGGCACCCGCCCGGCCCGAGCCGGCACCTGGGGCAGCGCGGCCGGCAAGTGAGCGGCCTCTCCGAGGGGGACGCGGCCGTCGGGGCAGCCGGGGCGAGGGCCGGACCCACCCCCGCGCCGGGCAAGGGACGCGGGAAGGGACGCGGGCCCCGGGCTCGCGCTCAAGGACGGACCGCTCGGCCGCCCCCCCCCCGCCGCCGCCGCCCCGGATCTCGCCCTCGCCCCGGATGGCCCCCCCGCCGCCCCCGCCGCCCCCCGCCGCCCCCCGCCGCCCCCGCCGCCCCCCGCCGCCCCCGCCGCCCCCGCCGCCCCCCGCCGCCCCCGCCGCCCCCCGCCGCCCCGATCCCCCCCCGCGGCCCAGAGCACCCGGCGGCCGCGCGCGCACTCACGTCCGCGCCCCCGGCGTCGCAGGCCCGAGCCAGGGCCGACTGAGCCTGCGCCCCCGCCCCGCCCCGCCCCGCCCCGGCCCGGCCCCGCCCCCAGCCCTGCAGCCGCAGGTGCGCCCCCGCAGCCGGCCCCCGCGCCCGCTCTCCCCGCGCCCCCAAGGGCCGGCCGTGCCGTGGCCGCTCTGACTGCCCCTTTCCTCGCCTGCTCCGGGGCTTATCCCCGGAACTCGGCTCCCCAGGGGCCTCTGGCTCCTCCCCGCCCAAGGCCCCCCCCTGCCCTGCCCTGCCCTGCCCTGCCCTGCCCTGCCCTGCCCCTGCCCCTCCACAGGGCAGGCAGCCCCTCAGGGAGCCCACGCAGCACAGGCTTGGCCGCAGACCCGCGAGGTCAGCCGCTGCCTGAGCTAAGGTCCAGGCCCGGGACGCCACTCCCAGGCGGGAAGCAGAGGCGTGCCCTTTGACCTGTGGCCTGTGGGGCCTGCAGGGCCCAGTGCCCTGAGGAAGACAAAGGCAGGACCCGATGGGTGTTCCTGGAGCATCACCCCAGGAATGGCCCCCACCCGGTGGCACCGGTGCCGGCTCCCAGCTTCATCACATGCCCTCGAGGGAGCTGCCGCAGCGACGGCCTGGAGGTCCCAGCGGGGTGGGTCCCAGCTCCACAGGACCCCCCCCTTCCCTGAGCTCTGCAACACCTGCTCCCCACCTTGCGCTGCTTCCTGCGACCATCACCACCTCAGAGCCCCCCGCCTTTCCAGCCAGCGCCCTTCCTTAAGCTGTTACCCTAACTAACCCGGTTTCTGCTTTCCTGGTGCAGCACCCGGCTCATCTTGGCCCCCTGGCTCCCAGCCGTGCTGCTGAGGCATCTCCGGAGCCTGTCGGGCTCGTCCAGTTACGGACGCCAACAGCGAGGCAGCCGGGGAGGCCGCTCTGGGGGTGAGATAGCAAAGACGCCTGGGCCCGGGGCGGAGGCCGACCGCGGAGGCGTGCTGCGGGCTTTGCCAAACAGAACAAATCCTAGCGGTCTTGCAGATTGGCAGAGAGAACCAGCACTTGCCACGTCAGTGACTGTCTGGCACGTGCCAAGGTGTGCGCATTGCTCTTGCAGGTGTGTCACTGGGGTCGTCACGCTACACCCTCACAACCTGCCCCCCTCCTGTTCACGTGTGTTAAGTACTTCACCACTGCATCTTCCCATCAGGGATGCACTTTGCCTTTGGATTGCCATCCGGGCAAGGGAGAGGATGTTCCAGACTCCTACCTGGCCCTCCTACCTTATCAGCCCCTGCCCCACGGGTCAGCGTGGAGTCCATGTGGGCATCCTACCAGTTGTCATGCCCGTTTCAATGGCACATTCAGACGGGGGACCTGTGGCCGCACGTTGACAAGCGTTACCTGGCACCTGATCACGATCGGCCCTCCTGGACGAGTAGTCCAGGGGCACTGCGGACCTCTGGCACTTGGTAAGCACTCAGAACCAGTAGGGATTACACCGGTGGTGTTTCCTGGGCAGTCACCCTAACAAACGGCTGCAGGTACCCCTAGAGTGCCGAGGTTGGGACTCCGTGGATGTGCAGGCCCTCCCTCCAGCGAAGATGCTGGGTCTGTGAATTGGTTTTCAACCGGAATACAGGTGAGAGGCTGGGCCCCTCGATTGTGGTGACCACGTTGGGCTTTTAGGACCCTGACCATTAGCACTCCTCAAGGAAAAATGTCCTAAGGACTGTTTGGCTCCCAAAGGGGTCTTGATGCCTAGTCAGACCCCGGAGGGCACACCTTCTGTTCCAGGGAAGGCACCTAATATCTATAAAACGACCCCAAGTGCTCTCCCCTGACATTTCCTGTGAGCTCCTGACACCACGGTGCAGCTCAGGCCACCGGGGGCCCCAAGCTCGCGGAGGCCAGGGTCCTGCCCAGGCCGCCCTGCTCTCACTCGCTGCACGCCCGCGCAGGCAGTAATTAATGCCTCTGGCCACAGCGCTGACGTTTTATCATGTCCCAGAACATTTCATTCTCAAACGTTTGTTCCAAAAAATACTTTATTTATTAAACAATATATCCATAATCTATAAGGTGATCCAAAAATACAGATATACATCTTTACGTTATTTAATAAAAAGATTTACAATAGTATCTTTCCTTTACAAAGGGAACATAGATAATTCCTTGAAAATAAAATGTAACATTCGTGTTAAAGCTGCATTATCTTTTTGGATGAAATGTGGTAAAAATGAACACCACAAAATACATTTGTAGAAAGAAAGAAGCTTCATAGAACTCTCTCCTAACGAGAACATTTTTCTTAGACTTCCTGTTTTTGAAACTCCTCTCAGCACAGGGAACGAGGACCAGTCACGGCTCACTAACAATTGAGGAAAACTTTCCATGTCCAAGGCGCACGGTAAGGGTCCAAACTGTGGCTGTGGCCACACGAGGAAGCTGCTCTTCGGACAGTGCTCTGGCTCGAAGCCGTCCCCGCCAAGGGCCCCCAGCTCCAGGACAGGAGGCAGAGGGCCACGTGGCCCCTGCGATGGGCCCGGAGTGCACCTGGCCATCGTCCCCACGCGAGCCAGCAAACCCCTCTGTTACTGCGCGCACCACTGTGTCTTGCGCGCCTGCTGCCCTGCGCGGACCAGAAGCCACCAGGTTCCCGTGGTCACGGCCAGTCTCCTCTCACGCCCGCCTGCCCGGGGACCCCAGGCTGCACTGTGGGGACAGTCTCATGGGCCTTGGCTCAGGGTCTCCACCCCACCAGCAGCTCCACCAGCACAGCCAGGGACGTGGGGGCTCAGTTGAACTACTTTTCTAAGTGCAGCATGTGTTCTCCTACAGGAAGCGAGAGGCTCTCCGTCAAACCGCCGACGGCTACCCTAGCACGGAGAACAGGAACACGCCGAGCCCCCTGCGCAAGGCTCTCCTTCCCTACAGGTAAACCTGGCAGCCACTGAGGGCCCACACCCTCGGCTCAGCTATGGCTGCAAGGGGGACCTCTGGGGCCAGCCCGGACCCCCCTCTACCCCAGGAACAGGGCTCTGCAGCCGCCCGGGGCACACCTGGTGCCTGGCAGGCAGACGGGGGCGGGTGGGAATCACCCCGGACGCAGGCGGCCGGGCCTCAGGGCGTGGTGCCAGCCATCCCTGCGGGGCTAGAGCCAGGCCGGGGGCAGGACATCTTTCCCAAGCAAGCATCCGTCCCCACGTGTCGCTCTGACTTGCAGACAGCATCCACAGGCAGGGAGGGCAGCCGGTCGGCGCCACAGCCCAAACGGCCTCGCAGGGAAAGGACCTTCCTACTTGGCCCGCGCCATGCCCTCTCCAAAGCATGACTTTACCGACAAAGTAAACGCTAGAAACAGGTAGGCACAGAAACCTGAAAAGGAAAGGTGGGCCCCTGGGCTGTTACACGGTCACGGGAGAACACAGGCTCCGCGGGGATGCCGCCCGTCCCTCCTGCCAAAGAGCGAGGCCTGGAAGCCAGGTGCCGCCCGAGCCCGCCCATGCCCCGCACCCCCTCAGTCACCGGCTGTGCTGCGACCACGCGCTGGGAGGTGTTGAAGATGCAGGGCAGCATCAAGCGGGCCTCCCAAGAAGTATCGCAAACCGTGTATTGCTGTGCTCTCCACAAAAACTGGTAAGAGAGTGAAGAAAACACTTTTCCTCAATTTATTCCCCACGATCTTTAAACACCTGTGTTAACAAAGAGCTAAGTTACTAAGTACAAACGAGCCTGGTTTTCAGCGGCAGTGAGACCGAGGTGCTGGTGGCGGCCGGCGCTCCTCCGGGCCCCCGCCCCTTGTCTCTGCACGGCAGGAAGGCATCAGGCCCGCGACGGAAAGGGCTGCCCTCTCCAAACCGACCCCCCTGCCACCAACTGGAGGCAAGGCCTGCTCCTGGCGCGCTCGGGAAGGACGGCAGGACGGCACAGCTGGCGCAGGCTGACCCGCCAACAAACAGGCGCAGGCGCCAGCCGGGCCCCCGCCGCCCTCTGCCGCCCCAGGTAATGTCCCAGCTGTCCTTGACCGACAGGAGCTGGTCGGCGAGGGGCGGCCCGTCCAGGACGCAGCCCCCAGGCGCCCCTGTGCCCGGAGAAACATCAGAGAACAGGAGAAGCGCGCGGGGAAGCAGACCACTGGAGGCGCGTTCCGGAGGCCTCCTCAGAAAGGGACCAGGTTCCTCTTCATTGGGGAATTCTGCATCGCCACCCTACCTCCTGGACTTCTCTTCCTGGCTTGGGGACAGAAACAGGTTTCCCTCGTTCCTCAGGACTCCCTGGACTCCTCTACACGTAGGCTGAGGGTCTGAGAGTCCGGAACGCTCCCAGGAGTCCCGCTACGCACCATCACAAATGGATCTCAACACACCAAACGTATGCGATGTCCCCCAACTATTACCTAAAACACGGTTCAAAATTGATTCAGTGAATGCATATTAAACAAAACACACTGTGGTTTCCTAGCTTCATTCCAGAATTGCCGTGGCACGAGAAATTCACAAATCGCATCACATAATTGTCGTCCCCGCGGACACAAGCTGCTGAGCGGTGTGTGACAGGACAGGTTTAAAATCAGCTCTTACTGGACTGGACGCACTTCACGTACACACAGACCCACTATCTTCATGCTATTATGATAATTTCATCTTCACAGTAAAAACGTGGGGAATTCCCAGAGAAACGGAGCATCAGCCGTCTGTCACACGTCTCCTGCGGGCGGGTCACGGCAACGACCGCCCGGGGGGTGCTAATGAAGAGCCGTTTACTCCAGAAGGTAAAACCCTCACGGAGGGAACTGGGAGTCTGGACGGAAAAGGCAGTGCACAGTGGAGCGGAGCCCCCTCCCCCAGGGAGCGCCCGTCCTCCCGGGCAGGCCGCGGGCTCCGGCGGGCGCAGAGCTCGGACGCAGAAGATGCCCTCCAGCAAGGCCTCGCGGGGACAGATGTGCGCGTGGGGGAGCCGGGGGGCAGCCCCAGGACGCCCTCGCCCCAGCTGCGGAGGGGCGGCTCGGCGTGCCCGCCACGCTTGGCGCGGGGCCTGTACAAAGTCTGAAGGGTGAAGTCACTGCGGCAAGTCCCCGGGAGATCGCTCCTCGTGCAAACAGGGCTCAGATGATTCTTGTTTGTCTTAGGAAGCATCCAGAATTACAACTGGCCACTGAGATTTTAAATATTGTTTGAAACAAGGTAGTTTTAAAACGAAGAGAAAATATTGCAACACGAAGACGGAATATGTTAACTCGCTCTTCTGATCTGAGCACCAGACTTATTTCTTCTTCCTCCTCTCCTGAACGCAGCGTGGACAGAACCTGGGGAGAGAGGCACAGTGAGCAGCCGTGTGCGCGCAGACGCCCCAGCCCACCTGCCCGGGCACCCCGGGGGACCCGTGACCGTGCCAGGGGACGGCGCGCACTGCACGCGGCCCTCCAGTCGGGAGCCCCCCGGGGAACCCCCAGCAAGTCCCCCTCACCAGCACATGTTCTGAGCTGACCATCAATGAGCAACACTGTTCCTATGCATGAACGCTCCTCGCGATCAAGTTACTTGGTCCCTTGTGTGCTCATGCGGTCGCCAGCGATGGAAGTGGAGGCCACACCCACAGTGGCGCCGGCAGACCAGAGGTGCTGGCGCCCGAGCCCGGAGGCCGGCCAGCAGGGACCCCGGAGACCGCATGGTCGGCAAGTGCTCCCTGGTGGCCCGGGGCAAGCGGGGGTCAGCGTCTCAGACACGGGGCGGGGCGGCCCTCGGTCACTCCCGGACCCTGGCGGCTGGCAGTGACCCTAGGGGACGTTCCAGCTGCCCTCCAGCTCCGCCCTCCTAGCTCCCGATGCAGGAGGCCCGGAGGCGGCTGATGTGTACGTGACGGCGCCCACCCAGGCCCCGGCCGCCACTCCGTGTCTGGTCCGTGCCATTGAGCGAGCGCTGAGCGCGCCGCCGCTGCCCGGAGGAAGCAAAGCTCCCCCAGTGCACATGCTCACATGCAGGCTCATGCCGCAAGAACATGTCAGAGCTGGAATCTTACTTAACAGGGAAGAAGCCTGACACACTGTGTTTCTGGAAAGACCCCAGAGAAACACGGAGTTAGATAGCAGGGGTGGGGCCCCCCTGGCCTCCCCGGCCCTGGTGGTCCTGCCCCGCTCCTGGCCCACGGTGGGTGGACCCCATCTACACGGCCCTCCCAAGAACAAAATGACTTTCTGTCGCCTACCGACTCTTCCGCCCAGGAGTTCCACAAACAGCCCAAACCCATGTCCAAACTCAAGTCAAATCTCCCCACCTTGTGCCCTACCACGAGCCACACCTGCCCCTGGCTGGGCCAGCAGCCCCCTGCTCAGGTTCCCGGACCCAGCTGCAGGGCACTGTCAGGGGCGCGTCCCATCACTGCCCGGACTCCCAGAGGTGACCCGGTGTCAGGACCGCATGTGGCTGCCGGACCTGTGAGCGCCCCCTCTGCCGTCGCTCACGGACTGTCCTCCAGGGGTTTCTCATCTCCTCCATCCACACGCACACGCAAACACGGAAAACCAGATTCCCGAGATTTCATTTTAGGACGTATGTCCATCTTAACCACAGGAAAATAAAACCTGGTTTTTATTTAAACAAAATCTCAAGAACAACACAAAACCTGCTACTGCCACTGAATCCAAGGCTCAGGAACAGAAGGTGCTCAAGTGCTCTGCACACCAACTATGCAGAAGCCCCGCAGCGGGTTCCCGGCCTGTGCCCAGGTGTGGACTTGTCCTAATGCTCATGCTCTTCACCTTTTCCCAAAAATTCTCCAGGGAAAAGAGCTCCTCATCTCACGCTTCTATTTAAGAGTATCGCTGCCTCAATTGGAGGAGTCAGAACAGCGGTTCTCTAGAAGAATAAGGCTAGCATCGTAAGAGGCTGCGCGCAGGTGAGGTGGGCAGCAGATGCCCCTCCACGGGCTCAGCCCCAGGAACCAGGAGTGCTGCACCCGCAGTGCCCGAGGCCACAACCCAGGCCTGGAGGGACCAGCGTGCAGGACACCCCGCAGGCAGGAAGCGCAGCGCCCCATACTCACCATTTTCCTTTGGGTTTTGTGGTCAGATCCACACAGGCGAAGTGAAACCACTCAATAGGACACTGCAGGGCAGAGGGGAGAGCCGCAGTGAGGACGGACGTGGACGGCAACACTCCCCACCCCGTCCCCGCGGGGGCAGTGCCTCAACCCAGGCCTGTGCCCAGCGCCCACACTCACGTCCGGGTTGTCACAGCCTATCATCTCCCCGTAGGACACCTGGTGGCACAGGCAGTAGGTGGGCTCGTTTGGGTCCACAGGCATGTCCAGCACATCAGAGGGATGTACAGACAGGATGGTGTCAGTGAACTCTGACCTGCAGGGAAACCACAGCTGTGAGCAGCAGGGGGTGGGGGTGGTACACAACAAGATGCGACGCAGAGGCACCCCAGAGGGTGGGGGGAAGCACTCACCACGGGGCACTGGGGTTTGGTCCCACTCTGGGGACAGGAACCCATTCCCATCTCGTCCCTCCCTCTGGACAGGACCTACTCCCGTGGCTCCGCGCCCAACCCCCCAGGCCCGCCCCCCCAGTGTCTCAGGGGCCCTGTCCCCCGGGGCAGCCACAGACCCCTCACCAGCTGCCAGGGGTCGACACTTGAGAACCCTGGACCCCAACCCAAGCTGGTCTGGTCGCATACCCGGTATACGTGCTCACGCACCTGCACCCCAAGACCTGGAAGCCACCAGATACCTGCCCCATTCCTGGAGCTGTACGTCCTGGAAGCCCCCTCCCACCCCCCAGCCGCCCACCTGCCAGCAGGCCACTTCTGACCACATGTCGCCGTCACCCCGCCCTCCCCGTGACGCAGGCCTGTTGCTGCCCCCTCCCCACAGCCCCCTAGGTCACTAACCCGCGGCCCAGCCCATGCCTCCCTCCGCGTGGGCTGCCCCCAGCCCTGCAGCCAAGCAGGTGGGAGGGCGCACGGGTGTTCGCCGTGTCACAGCGGGCAGGGCTGGGGCGTCACTCTTCCATGATTCAGGAGCCGGCTGCAGGGGAACGTCGACACTGTGCTCCAATCAGCCAAGAAAGGAAACCCTCCCTACCTCACCCTCCAGAACCAAGAGCACACGCGTAATTCCAAACACAACTGTGGGGAAACACACCGGGTTCACACCGAGAACTTGGAGGGGAGGCTGAGAAACCCAGCAGGCCGCAACCATCACGCCGGTGACAAGCCTGCTTCTCCCATGCGGCCCGTCTAGAAACGCTGTCTCCCCACCATCAGACGCCCAGGCTCAGCCACACGCCACCAGGCCGCCGGCCCCGTGGGGCACCCCTCCACTCCACGTTGCCCCCCAGGGTACCCCCCAGCTGTCCTCTGTGGGAGCACCCCCTGCCCGGGGTGAGTGTTGCCCACTGGACTAAGCGATGCCCCTGAAGGCCCCAGAGCCTGGGGGAGCCTCTTGCCTCTACAGGCGAGCTGCTCTCGTCTCTGGGAACACACAGGACTTGCTCTCTTTATCTGAAATCTGCCCGCATCACAGACGTACGCTGCTCCATCCGCACGCTCCCAGGCCGCGGGCTCCCCTCCGGCCTACGACGGGGTTTGCTCCGTTTTCTGCCAAACCTACGGAGAGTGCATCTCGCCCCCGCTGGCCCGCGTCCTGCCCATCGGGGGCTCTTCCTCCCCGGGACTCACCTGGACGATCAACCAACCTGCCGCGGGGTCCCCCACAGATGCACGCAGGTGCGCGCCCTCCGGGTGCCGACCACGCTTCAGCCGCTCTGCGGGCTCCGCTCGCGAAGCTTCACACAATGTTCACACCACAGCTGACACCTGACCTGAGCGCCCGTCCCCGGGCTCAAGGCACCAGCCCACCGGGGGGAGGCCTCGGGGTGGCCCTCGGGCACTTCTCCAGTCTCCCCTGGGGCGCTCTGGGGTGGAGCGTGGAGGGGGCCCCAGGAGGTCCCAGGAAGAAGGCCTTCCCCGCTTTCCTGGCAGGCTGCAGCCCCCACGTCCACAGCCCTGGCCACCACGCTCCGGCCCTGCGGGGCGCAGGCCGAGTTCCCCGGACACTGGGCATCCCTCATCCTGAGCAGTGCCAGGGGCCACCCGTGCCTCAAACTCCTGATGTGATTCCCAAGCACAAGCTGGAACCGGACGTCCGGGCAGGCCCCACACCTTCACACTCCCCTCATGTCAGCGAGCCCGTCTGGCTTGTGCCAGCATCCAGTGACAGCACTGCCACTCGGGGGCACCGCGCAGAAGGGCCAGGTCCGGCCCGACCTGCCGAGGAGCTCTGCAAACATCCCCCCCGACGTCCCCCTTCTCAGCCGCGGCCAGCCCGACAGGAAGGCTGGGGAAGCAGCGGCCGAGCCATCCACCTCCTCAGGGCCGTCAGACAGTGGTCAGCGACGCACACCCCGGCCCGTCTGCATCCGGGAGAGCCGCGCGCCCGGCCGCCTCAGCATGGGCACGTAGCCGGCGGCAAGCCGTGCGGGTCACTGGGCGGCCTGAGGAACGGCCTGGGGCACGCGCCTCTGGGAGGCTCCAACCCCACCAAGAGCCGGGCCTCCTTCCCTGCAGGCGAAGCCCTGCTGACGAGGCCAATGAGGCCGCCTGCTGTCTCCAGAAACTACCGGGCCTTTGGGGTCTCATCAGCGAGGGGCGGGCCGACTAGAACCTCCTGCGCCAAGTCAGGAACACAAGCCCCGTCAGCTGCTAAGACCACATTTTAAAGACACTGGAGAGCTGTGGACGACAAGGGCCAGATGTGTGACGGCCGAGGGGGGCCCATAGCCACACCTGGGCTTAGCCAAGGGCCAGCGGCCCTCTGGGCGCCACCCTGAGCCAGCATGGCCACAGACACCAGGGCAGCAGCGACCCCACAGCCCATCCACTGAACCCAGGGGCTGTTCAGAGGCTGCAGAGGCTGAGCACGGGTCCTTGCCGTGTTCTCGGGGAGGCGGCCTGCCTCTGGCCTAGCCAGCCTCCTCCTCCTGACCCGCGCCAACCGAGAAACTGTGCAGGCAGGACACGAGAAAGGAAAGCCAAGCACCACCAGAGCACTGACCAGCCACACAGGCCGCCTTCCGGGAAGAAAAAGAAACCGTGCGTTCTCATCAGGAACTGGGGAGGGCCTCCCCTCATGAGGCCTTTGACGCAGAAGGGACTGGGCCCGGGAACAGGGCTCCCAGCCTCCCTGCTGCGGTTTGCCTGGACCAAAAGCAAAATAAATGCCTCCTGGGCAGGGAGCTCACCCCGTGTGTTCCTCTTACCTCCAAACTGAGATGCTAAAAGCTACAGGACGAGAAAGGAGCAGGAAAACCTGGCTAAAACCCCGAGAGGCTGGCTAGCAGGAGCAGAGGCATCAATGACCTGCAGTGAAAATCCGCAGACGCGAGCTTTAAGTATCTGTTGCAGGAAAAATACGAGTAAGATGAATGCAAATATAGACCCTTTACAGAAAGGAACTAAAATCTACAAAAAAAGGAATCCAGTGGATAATCTAGAACAGAAAACGACAACGTACGAAGCACCACACCATCGGTCTCCTCCCTGTGTAACTGCTCCCAGTGGCCACCATGGCACGGGCCCAGCAGCCCTGTGCACAGCAGGTCCCGCGGCCCCGCGGCCAACAACACCCCGCCAACCAGTTCTAGCAGGTGCACGCACGCGACCAGGTGTCTCCAGTCAGAGATCAAGCAAATCCCCCGAGGAAACGAGGAAGCGCGCCATCCACATGTTTAGTAAAGATGTACACTCGCCAGGTTTCCCATCTCGTCAACAAAATCAAAAGTCTGGGAAACGCTAGGAGACAAAACAGTCCAGGTTCTTCAAAAGGAAAATTGTGGAAAAAGAAAGGGATGGAGAAAAACTCACACATGAAGGATTTACGGAGCTTATCTAAAAGAGAAAAGAAAAAAATACCCACTTCTGACCACACAGCACAACAGGCACGACTGGCCCTCCCGCTGTGAACCAACCAGAAAACGACACAGCACATGGCGCAGCTGTTCCCAGACGTTGGAAGAGGCGGCAGGCAGCAGGACTGCCACCCTCAGAGAAGGTAAACAAACAAAGTGGGCCCTGCCATCACCTCAGCTTCCCACGCCTCAGGTCACCAGCAGGAACACCAGACACAGCACGGGTGTCCAGAAATGAGGGAAAGGCCTCAAGTTCCAGGAGAGGCTTCTGGAATCTGGTGGCAAGGTGCCAGAAAGGAAGAAGGTAAAGCGGATGTGCTCCAAAAATCTGCAAAGGCATCCCTTTGAGGTTTTCACAAAACTAAGCTGTGCACAGGGTGGGATCCCATGAGTCCAGGCAGAGAATGCAGGGGAGCTAGGAGCGAACTGCCACAGCTCACATGCACGTGCCACAACATTTCTGCTCTACCCGGCCAGCATGGCGAGGCCTCAATCAGTTCAAAAGGTGTCCCGAGGAGAACCCAGAAGGGTTACACTGTGGGTTACACCGTAGCAGTACAACTTAGCTAACCTTAGAGAAAGGCTACCCTAACCTAGGGGTTGGCACGATACAGCCTGCAGTTAACTGGATGTTTTTTTGTTTTTGTTTTTTTTTTAAAAAAAAGCTTTTATTCATTTGAGAGAGGGAGAGAGAAGACAAGCAAGGAGGAGGGGCAAAGGAAGAGGGAGAAGCAGACTTCCCACTGAGCCGGGAGCCTGACATGGGGCTGGATCCCAGGACCCTGAGATCATGACCTGAGCCAAAGGCAGACACTTAACCAACTCAGCCACTCAGGGCCCCTAACTGGATGTTTCTGTAAATAAAGTTTTTTTTGAATTTATTTATGATAGTCACAGAGAGAGAGAGAGAGAGAGAGAGAGAGGCAGAGACACAGGCAGAGGGAGAAGCAGGCTCCATGCACCGGGAGCCTGACGTGGAATTCAATCCCGGGTCTCCAGGATCGAGCCCTGGGCCAAAGGCAGGCGCTAAACCGCTGCGCCACCCAGGGATCCCTATAAATAAAGTTTTATTGAAACAGCCACATGATACATCACACAGCTACATATTTTCTGAGGACACCTGAGTGGCTCAGTCAGTTAAGCGACTGCCTTTGGCTCAGGTCACGATCTCAGGGTCTTAGGATCCAGCCCCACATCACATCAAGGTCCCTGCTCAGCAGGGGGTCTGCTTCTCCTTTTCCCTCTGCTCTTCCTCCCTGCTTGTGTTCCCTCTCTCTCAAATAAAAAATCCTAAAAGGTGTGTGGGGGAGTGTCCCTGGGTGGCTCAGCAGTTGGGCTCCTGCCTTTGGCCCAGAACGTGATCCTGGTGTCCCGGGATCGAGTCCCACATCGGGCTCCCTGCATGGAGCCTGCTTCTCCCTCTGCCTGTGTCTCTGCCTCTCTTGCTGTGTCTCTCATGAATAAATAAATAAAAATCTTAAAAAAAAAATCAACATCCATTAAATGAAGACAACAAATCCAGATAGTCAACAATATAACATTCATAATGACTAACGTCCAAAAGAAAAAATTACTAGATATGTGAAGAAGCAAGAAAATATGACTTGGTTTAAATCAGCCAGTAGAAACAGACCTGCCAAACTATTCAAACTGTGTATGTTAAATATGTAAAGCTTTTTCCATGTCAACCATACCTTAATAAATGGGTTTTTTAAGAAAGAAAGACACATACTTGGAAATAAATAGATTCAGAAAAGATGATCTTTCAAAAGCTACTATAAACATTTATGTTCAAAGACGTAAAAAAAATAAAAATGTGGGCTCTGGGTGGCTCAGGGGTTGAGTGTCTGCCTTTGGCTCAGATAGTCATCCTGGGGTCCTGGGATCAAGTCCCATATCAGGCTCCCCTGCTTCTCCCTCTGCCTCTCTGGGTCTCTCATGAATAAATAAAATATTTCAAAATATATATATATATAAATGTAACATAAGTAGAAAGTAAAATTAAATAGATAGATAGATAGAACTTCCTTACAAGAGAATCTCTTATGTGGAATATTCACTAAAGAAAACTACAAAGAAAAAAGACTTGAAAATAAAGTAATAGAAACTATCCAAACAGAAACACAGAAAGAAAACCACTGACCAAAAAAATGAGCACAGCCTCAGTGAACTGTGGGAAAATAGCAAGCTAACATACATGTAATTGGAGTCCCAGGGATGCCTGGGTGGCTCAGCAGTTGAGCACCTGCCTTTAGCTCAGGGCGTGATCCTGGGGTCCTGGGATCAAGTACCACATCGGGCTCTCTGCATGGAGCCTGCTTCTCCTGTCTCTGACTAATAAAAATCTTAAAAAAAAAAAAAAAAAAAAAAACTTGTGGCCGGTTCTTACATTAAACATGAAGTAACATAATATTATTTGAAGTCCAGTGTGTTAAGTTTATGAACAGTCTTTAAAATGGAATACGAAAAAAAAAATCCCAAAAAATACTTGATTAATCTAAAAGAAGACACTAAGAGATGACACGATGACACAGGCAACTCACAGCAAGAGGATAAATTCAAATCCAATCATATTCAGTAATTATGCTTTATCTGAGTACTCTATTGCAGTGAAAAATCAGAGATTGTCAGATTAGATAAAAAAGCAAGACTCAATTTTGCTGACCTCAAGAAACCCACTCTAAATACAAACACATAAATATGTTGAAAGTAGAAGAATGAAACAGGAAAAAGATACACATGCAAAAACTCATCATAAGACAACTGGAGTGACTATCATATATCAGACCAAGTAGACTTCCAAACAAAGACTATTACAAGGAATAAATAAAAGAAAAAATTTCGTTAACAATGAAGGTGTCAAGGTATTTTTAGAAAACCCTAAATGTGTATGTATCAACAAATAACAGAGCTTTTAAATGCGTAAAGCAAAAACTGGCAGAATGGAAAAATAGACAAATCCATAGTTAGAGTTGGAGATTTCAACACTCTTCCCTTAGTAATTTATGAATCAAGTAAACAGAATACAAGTAAGGACCCAGAAGATCAACAAAACTACCAACCAAGCTGTCTGACTGACACCTGCAGAACACTCCACCAAAAACAGCAAAACATGACATTCTTTTCAAGGGTATAGAGAACATACAAAAAGGACCATAAACCATAACACATGTCTAATCAATTTCAGAGAATATTTATTACATGATGTTCTCTGATCATAGCAGAATTTAAAAATTGAAATCCGAAAAGTTATCTGGAAAATCCCAAATCATCCAGAAGCTGAGAACATACATCTATATAAGCTATTAGTCAAAGAAAATCACCAAGGAAATTTTAAAAGATTTTGAATGGAACAAAAATAAAAATACCGCATATCCAAATTTGTGGGATATGCTAAAATAGTAATTACATTCAACAATAATTAGAAGAAAATGTATAGCTTTAATACCTATACCAAAAAAAAAGAGTAAAGTATGAAAATCATCGATCTAAGCTACTTCCTTAAAAAGCCAGAAAAAGAAAAGCAAAATAAATTCAAGCAGTGGGAAGGAAAAAATAAAATGAGCAGTAATAGGGGCACCTGGGTGGTTTAGTCAGTTAAGCATCTGACACTTGATTTCAGCTCACATCACAATCTCAGAGTCACAAGATTGAGCCCGGTGTTGGGCTCTGCACTGGGCGTGGAGCCTGCTTAAGATTCTCTCTCCAGGGATCCCTGGGTGGCTCAGTGGTTGAGCATCGCCTTCAGCTCAGGGGATGATCCTGGAGACCCGGGATCGAGTCCCACATCAGGCTCCCTGCAAGGAGCCTGCTTCTCCCTCTGCCTGTGTCTCTGCCTCTCTCTGTCTCTCTGTTTCTCTCATGAATAAGTAAAATCTGTAAAAAAAAAAAAAAAAGATTCTCTCTCCCTTGCCCTCTGCCCCTCCCCACTAAAAATAAATGAGCAGAAATCAGTGAAAGAGAAAAACATAAGAGAAAAAATATAAAAACCAATAAAACCAAACTCTAATTCTCTGTAAAGATCAAGATGAGAGAAGACAAATTATCAACATCAGGTCTAAAAAGAGGAATCATCAGTACAGATCCTTCAACAGAAAGACAATCATGTAATATCATGAGGAACTTGATATCAATAACTCTGACTTATATAAAACTACCAATTCCTTGAAAGACACAGATTACCAAAACTGACTCAAGAAGAAACAGAAAGGCTGAATAGTCCTATAACTTAAAAAAAAAAAAACAAAACAAAACTGAATACAGCATTAAAGGATAAACTTAAAATAAGATTTTATGGTATGTGAATTATTCCTTAATAAAGTTAAACTTAAAGATAAAAAGAGAAAGAGCAAGATTCAACTATAGTGTCAAGAAATGCACATGTTGGGGACTAAACATCAAAGAATGGAAATAGGACATAGTCTGGGTCATGTTTACTTGGGGCAGAGGAAGGAGGATGTGATTCCAACAGGGCACACGAAGTGCTTCTGGCTGCAGTCAATGACAGACGAGGATGTGCCGCAGAGCAATTCATTAAACTACAAGTCTGTTCTGCATTTGTACACTGCAAGCTGGCATTTGGGGTTTTTCTTAAAAGTTTAAACACCAGGCTTAAGAACCAAAACTCCCCTTTTTTGTCAAGAACTGACTGTGAGACGCCTAGGGGGCTCAGCAGTTGAATGTCTGCCTTTGGCTCAGGGCATGACCCTGGGGTCCTGGGATGGAGCCTGCTTTTCCCTCTGCCTGTGTCTCTGCCCCTCTCGTGCGCGTGCTCTCTCTCTCTCTCTCTCTCTCTGTCTCTCATGAACAAACAAAACTAAAAGTATAAATAAAATAATAAAATTAAAACAAAACAAAATAAAATAAACTGACTCTCAGATCTCCCCCTGTGAAAACCACCTCCACAGAAGCCACCGGGTGCTTACTGTTTTCTCTGTACTCTAAAAATCACTTCTGAAAAAAGTAAAAATTACTTCCATGAAGAGACACAAAGAGTTTGGGGGTGGGGGTAGCAGGTAGGAGAAAGCTTTAAATGAAATATTCTGAAGTTCAAGGTAAATGACACAAATATTTAATAAATGCAGTCATGCAACTTGGTAACAAATATATCCAAAATATATATTTATACATAAAACAATGAATAGCTATCTATTTAGCTACTAAAGCATGGCTTAGCCTGAACTGTCAATAAATACAGTGTCGCTTAAAAGGCAGGACACACAGTGGCTAAGGCGTGGATTGTGGAATCGGACCGCCCAGGGCAAAGCCAGCTCCTCCGCACTCGAGCTGTAAAACCTGGGGCGGATCCCTCTCCCTGGGAGCCCTGGGGAGCTGGAACCGGCACTGGGAAAGCACGCAGAACTACACCCACCGCGGGCATGCAGAAGCCACTTCCTCGCTGTTAGCTGCCACTGGTGTTTCTAGATGCTACGGAAATACTAATGCTAAGTGATCTTTGGGGAGAAAGAGACAAAGAAAAGAGCCTCTCACCCTCCTTTATGCTTCTTTTTCTTTGGAGTATCTTCCTCTGAGGTCCTCCTGCCACGACCCCGGGAGCCCCTTTTTTCTTTCTGAGCTCGACCTTCTGAAAGACAACAAACATCCCAATTCTCTTCACCCCAATTCTCTTCACATTCTAATGCAGGATCAAAGTCACTCAAATATATTTACCGAATGTTCCTAACATATTCATCACCAAAATTCTTCAAAACTCCATAGATGACAGTATCAAAATAAAGAAAAATTAACAGATTTACTTTTTAAGCCTCGTCCTCCAGAGCTTTCAAAGTCACTGCCCTCCATCTTGTCCTTCAGATCCGCTTCGAAGCGTGCCAGGTCTGCATCCAGCCTTCGAATGTGTTTATCCACCTGTGCAAAAGGATGCTCACAAGTCTTACTTAAAAATGAGAGCAAGACACCTCAAGAATCACAAATGGAAATCAACCAGGAAGCCCTTTCTTGCCCTTTAACTGGGTTTTTAATTAAGAAAACTCCTAAAAGGGATGCCTGGGTGGTTCACCAGTTGAGTGTCTGCCTTCAGCTCAGGGCATGATCCTGGGGTCCTGGGATGAAACCTCGGGCTCCCCAGAGGGAGCCCGCCTCTGTGTCTCTCTCATGAATAAATAAATAAAGTTTACAATTATATAGGACACCCCAATGCCTGCTTCCTCCAGAAGCATCCCTCTATCAAAGCCTAACCCCCTCCACTTCAAATACACCATTTCTGAGCAGCTGGTCCCTTCCCGCGTGACAGGGAGGAGCCCGGGCCCTCAGCTGTCCCCCGGCCCCCCAGCCCCCCACCTCCTCACCATCTCATAGGTCTGCATGGCCAGCTGCACCTTATCATCACTGTACTCCTTACACTTGCTGTAGGCACTCTGGATCTTCTGCAGGTGCTCCACGCGCTGGTCTGGAGAAAGCGTCTTCACAGTAGATATATACTCTGCAGCGAGGATGTCGATCTCTGCCTTCTTATCTGATAGAGAAATGAGGGAAAAGCTAATCCCTGTAAGAGATTCCACGATAACAAGTGAAGCTTAACAATGCCAAGTTGCAGCAAAGAAGGGGCTGACTGAACTCTGAAACGCCGCTGGTGGGAGCATGGTGGTACAGCCATCGCACAACCCAGGATGTTGCGGAGTATAACTGCCATCCCAGAGAGTAAGCATTGTGACATCTCCAACTCCCAATGGTCCCTGTTTGAATAACAAATTTCATGCTCACCTTAGCTACAACAACCCGGCTTTTAAGTACACACCCTAGATTTAGGATACATATGGAAACACATTCATAAGTGCAGAGACCATGAAATGAGCCAAATGAGCAATCTACAGTAAAACACACCAAGAAGCTGTGGTCCATTCACACAGCAAAACACTACCCAGCACCAAGCAGCACAACTACTATTATACATAGCAACGTGGATTAATCCCATAAAAGGTGGCACTGAGACAGAAAAGCAAGACACAAAGGACAACATGCTGTGAGATTCCATTGATACTAAGGGCAGACACATACAACTGTGAACTCTCTGGTTTAGGGAGGTGAGAACACGTGTTGCAGGTGGAAACTCAGGGTGGAAGTCCCCGGGGGAGGGTCACAGAGGGCCCCAGGCACCACAGGCTCCATCCTCCGTCTAGGGAGAAGTTTGCAAAGTTGGATTTGTTAGGCAATTTATAAACATACATGCTTACTCCTGAACAGAAACACTGTATTTCATAACAAAAGAATTCTCTGTGTTTGCTACTCAGAAGCCACAGCTATTCTGATCTTACAAAACATGTGCAAGGCACAATGACTGGAAAATCACTCATAACCAAGCACATCACCATGATACATGAAGCCACAGGGACAAAGGGCAGCCCAGAAGCTGCTAAACAGGAGAGGAAGATCTCCCATATATAAAGGATGAGGAATCCAAACAGCATCTGATTTCTCCCGGGCATCACAGAATCTGGGAGACAATGTGGCAGTGCCTTCCACATGCGGAGGGAAGATGATGGTCAATCTGGAATTCTATACCCAGCTAAACTGTTCATCCAGGAGGAGACCAGGACAAGCATGTTTTCACACGTACAGGATCTTAAGAAAGCTACCTTCCCACATACCCTTTTTTCAGGAAACTACTGGAAAAAAGTATCCAATAAGACAAAGGAGCACATCAAGAGAAAGGATGTTTACAACACAGGAATCGGGGTCCTGCACCAAAGATGAGCAGAGGCAGGGCCTGTGCCACAGCCTGAGAAACAACCAGCCCAGACAAGACCGACAAGACTGGAGTCTCCAGGAGAAAGGTCTGAGTGTAGAGAGCAAACCTGGAACGGGCAGATAACCTGTGCAGCAGACACAATGAAAATGTGGAATGTGTACGGAATGTGGAAAACAAAGCGATTATGAACTCCGAGAAAAATACAGGTATTCAAGAGAGGTCACATCAGCATAGCCCGTGATGCATCCCAGCTGCAAACCAGATCCACGGAGTCCTGAAGGAAACTCCATCCCTGGGATGCCTGGGTGGCTCAGCAGTGAGCCTCTGCCTTTGGCCCAGGGCGTGACCCCCGGGTCCTGGGATCGAGTCCCACATTGGGCTCCCCATAGGGAGCCTGTTTCTCCCTCTGCCTATTGCCTCTGCCTCTCTCTCTCTATCATGAATAAATAAAATTTAAAAAAAAATAACAAAGGAAACACCATCCCTGATCTACCGCAGATTCAGATTCTAAGCCACAATGCCAGGAGGGGCGGGAGGAGGCGGGAAGCAAACCTTCATGTTCCACGATAACAAAAAAAAGCCCAAAGCAAAAGGGAAACAAAGTAAGAAACAGCAGCAAAAATAGGATGTTTAGAAACCGAGAGCTAAATACCAGGAGGTCGCAAAGTACTATCTGTTTAAACTATCTGTACGTAGTTCGAAACCAGAAAACCTTTTAAAAGGAAGGGAAAGGGGGATCCCTAGGTGGCTCAGCAGTTTAGCGCCTGCCTTTGGCCCAGGGCGCGATCCTGGAGTCCCGGGATCGAGTCCTGCGTCGGGCTCCTTGCATGGAGCCTGCTTCTCCCTCCTCCTGTGTCTTTGCCTCTCTCTCTCTCTATGTCTGTCATAAATAAATAAATAACTCTTTAAAAATAAATAAATAAAAATAAAAGGAAGAGAAAGTAACGAGGAACGGATGATGGTCGTAAAGATGCTACAGGGAGGTGTGCTAAAACCCAAGAAATGAAGTCTAATTTTAAAGTGTCAGCACTCTCCATTAGACGCTACCCAATGCCCAACGCCGAAGGCCAGGCTCCAGCCCCACTGCCCTGGGAGACCAGGGCCACCCCCAGTATCCTGGTGCCAACTCTCCCCAGCTGTCAGAGCCCACCAGGGGCTGCGCTACAAGGCCCGGACCTACCTTCTGTCCTCTGGTCCAGCTCTCGCATAAGCTGGAAGTTCCTCTGAAGTTCACACGGAAGGTTCTCAATGCCTAAAACAAAGAGACATGTACTTGTCAGTAGCGGGACAAAAGCCGCCTTGCAGACTTTACATCTAAAGTCAACAAATAATAATCTGACTTCATTTTCTGTTTCTGCTAGGATTCGGGGAACAGAAGGATTAGGGTATATTTTGTGGAGAATGAGTACGATACTGGTGAGACTGACAGGCTTGAGGGACTGTCAGAGCTGGAAACGTGAGAGGACTTACCCGAGAGCTGCAAGCAGAAGCAGGGAAGGTGACCCATGTGACTTTTCCACCCCACACTCCCAGCCAGTCCTCCCCTCTCGATACCCCAGCAAAATCCTGAGGTCTGTTGGGTCCTTGCCCCGCTTTAGTCTGACACCCGCAGCATGAGGTGGCACAGGCAGTGCCATGTGGCAGACTCCATGCCTGGTCGGACACAGTCTCTCTAAGCTACGCAATACAGCGGGCGGTGGCCACGCAGCAGCTGGGCACTGCAGTGGGGCTGCTCTGCTCCAGGCACTGAACTTCTGATTTGCTCAAGGTTAATTAATTTCCAGTGAAACAGACCAGGCTGGACCGCACCCTGGAGGACCTCTCCCTGCCCTGTTTTGCCCACTGCACTGCCCTTCTCCTGCTCCAGGCCAACCTCCCAGCCTGCCTGCATAGCCTCGATGGGCACGACCTGGGCTCCTGTGCCCGGGGCCAACCCCCCTCTACTGTCCCCAGCTTCCATCAATCATTATAGAGCAAAATCTAGTTTTCCAAGGCTACTGCTTAAAGGTGCCCAGCTCACCGGGAGAACGGCACAAAGTCCCTCCACGAGGCGCCTCCAGGCTGGGCGCAGACCTCCCTGTTCTGTCCTACCCTGGGCTCTGTGGGACAGTGCCACCTCGGCTCTCTCACAACCTGCTGGGCTCCTTCATGGAGCTTAATCTGCTGTGATTAAAAAAATCAGCTTGCCTCCTTTGAAAGTTAAGTTCCAGGAAAATGAGGCTCGAGGCGAGGCTACTTTCACGGCACACAGCAGGTGCTCAAAAATCAAGCCGCACGTCCAGTCTGAGCCTCGGCACAGGTGCCCCGTGCAGGATGCAATCACCTGCGGGGCAGGTACCGACAGGCCCGGGCAAGCCCCAGTGCTCCGTGCTCCCCGCAGACAGCTCAGCACGGGGCGCGTGGCCTCCCGGGCTCGGGTTGGGCTGGGCGACCACGCTGGGGGCAGGGGCTCCCTCCCGAGTGTCCTGTCCGCGGCTGCAGGAGCGGGTCCCGAGCGGCCGGTCCCGATGACCGATGGCCGTGTATGTACCCCACGCACTCCCCGAGCAGTACAGCGCTGCAGCGCACCCGGCCCGGCCCGCCCCACCCCGGGGCCGTCCCCAGCCAGCGCCGGGCCGGCGGGGACCAGGGCGTGACCCCGACGGGCTCCTTGGCCGCTGCGGCCTGCACTGTCCTCTGTGAGGCCAGGGAGGAAACCATCCGCGCAGGAGCTGTCCGGAGGCTCCAGGCCGAGCTGCACGAGCTGCGGCGGGCGCAGGACCCCCCAGGTCTGCCCGCGCTGAGCCTCCCCGCCCGGTGACACCCGGACCAGCCCCGCCGCAAGCGCCCTCCCAACGCCGCGCGGCACAGGCGCACCCCGGGGGCCTCCGCGCGCCACGGCCGCCCCCCAAGTCCCCGGGCCGGAGCCCCCAGGCCCGGCGCCGCGTCCGAGGGGGGCGGGGCTCGACCACCTGCCCCGGACCGCGCTGCGGGGGCGGGGCCGGGCCAGCGGAGGAGGCCGAGAGGGACGGGGTTGGGGCCGGGAGCCGGGCCGGGCCCGGGACGGCGGAGGGCGGGGCGGGCGGGGCGGGCGGGGCGGGCGCTGCGGCCGGGGCGGGGGCGGGGCCGGGGGCGGGGGCGGGGCCTGGTCACGCGAGCCCCGCCCCGCGCCCGCCGGCCCCGCCCCTCCGTGACGCACCTGGAATTGGCGCGGCCGTGACGGTGGGACCCCGCGCCGCGCCCCCCGCGCGCATCTCCTCGCGGCCCCGCCCCGCCCGCGCGCGCCCCCGCCGCCCTCGCCGCCGCCGGCCCGCCCCTGCCCCCCCGCGAGCCCTCGGGGTCCGCGCGCGGCGCCTGGTGCCCGCGGGGCGCGGCTGGCGGGGGGGCTCGGGGCGCGGGCGCCGGGCCCGAGGGCCGCGAGGGGCGCTTACTGTCCAGGTAGTGCTCCAAGTACATGGCGGTCGCCATCTTCGTCCGCGGCCGCGCTCCGGGTCTGCGCGGGCGGGCGGCGCCGCGAGGGGCGGAGGCGGGGCCGGCGCGCTCACTATTAATGAAGCTCGGGCGCTGATTGGCCCTCTGGAGGGGCGGGCCGCCGTCGGGACACGCCCCCGGACTTCCGGCCGCCGGGCTGCGCGCGCGGCTTCGCGCGGGCGCGGGGAGCGGGGCCTGCGGGTCGGCGGGGCGCCCTCCGCCCCTCGCAGCGCGGCCGCCGGCCCTGCCCGCGGGCCCCGGAGCCCCGCCCGCCCCGCTCCCCCGGCAGCTGCTCCGGCGGCGAGCGGGGTCCCGGGCGGCCGGCGGGCGGCGCACGTGCAGGCGCAGGGCAGGCGCAGGTGCAGGCGCAGGTGCAGGTGCAGGCGCAGGTGCAGGTGCAGGCGGCGCGGGGCCGGGGCCTCCCGGGTGCCTCCCCCGCCTGGCGCGCCCCGGCCGTGCCGTCGCCGCGTCCTGGGTGCAGACGCGTGTGGAGACGGGGAGCCCGTTCGTGAGCTCCGCCAAGCCCGCCAAATACCAACACATGGAGCCCCCGCTTTGCCGACATTGCGGCCCCTGAAAATCCCAATCTCCTTGGGAGCCGGCGATGCCCGACCCCGGACCCAGGCCCGTCGGCTGGGCGTCCGCCCGGGGCCCGGGGCTCGGGCAGGTGCACACGTGCCCACGGCGCACCCCGCCCTCGGCCCAAGCCTGCTGTTTTCCTTGGCTCCGTAGACTTTAGAAATAGAGCAGTTCCAGGTTCACAGGGAAATCGAGAAACGGGGTTCCTCATACCCCAGACACACGCGCACGGGCCCATGACAAGCACGTGCACTGTGGCACGTTTATTATGACTGATCGGTAACACGGATACGTTATTATCACATAAGCCCCATAGTTTGGGTCGGGGCCCGCTGTGCGCCCCCTGGGCCCCACCGGCGTCTGACGACCCGGATCCGCCCTACAGCCAACGGGACGGACGGTCGCCGCGCCCCGCCTTCCCGGCAGCCCCGCAAGCGCTCCCCTCTCTCTGCGCTTTTCCCCTTTCCTGAGTCTCGTGGAGTTGGGGTCGCACAGACTTCAGGTCGCTTCCACGGAGTGAAAGGCATTTAGGTCTCCTCCACGCTCTTCTGTGGCTTCACGGCTCATCTCTTCTTAATGCTGCGTAACACTTGATGGGCTGGATGGGCCACGGTTTACCCGTTCACCTACGGAGGGACACCTTGGTTGTCTCCAAGTTTGGGCAATTACGAGTAAAGCTACTATAATCACTGTTGTGCAGGTTTTTGTGTGCAAATTCCTTTGGTTGAATACGAAGAAGTGTAAGACTGTCTAGGTTTGTGGGAAACCACCAAACTGTCTTCCAAAATGGCCCCATCCCCTTTCATCACCACCAGCGAAGAAGAGTTCCCATTGCTCACGTCCTCACTAACATTCGCTGTCAGTGTCCCTGATTTTGACCGTTCTGATAGGTGTGGAGAGATGGGTCATCATTCTATTTGCCGTTCCCTGATGAGCATCTTCTCACACGTGTACTTGTCATCTATTATCTTCTTTGGTGAGCTGTCCATAACGTTTGCCCATGTCTTATATATTTTTTTTAAAAAAAGATGTATTTACTTTAGAGGAGTTGGGGGGGGGGTGGGCAGAGGGGATGCAGACTCCCCACTGAGCATGGAGCCCAATGCAGGGCCAGATACTGCGACCCTGAGATCACAACCTGAGTTGAAACCAAGAGTCAGATGCTAAACCAACGGAGCCACCCAGGCACCCCATAACTTTTGCTCATTTTTTAAATTGGGCTTTTGGTTATCTCACTGATGAATCATCATATTATCCATTTTTCTACTATGTGCTTTTTTTTTCTTAGATTTTATTCATTTATTCATGAAAGACACAGAGAGAGGCAGAGGGAGAAGAAGGCTCCCTGTAGGGAGCCCGATGTGGGACCCGATCCTGGAACCCCGGATCATGACCTGAGCCAAAGGCAACCACCCAACCGCTAGGCCACCCAGGCGCCCCCTACTATTTACCTTTTTTTTTTTTTTTTAAGATTTTATTTACCCATTCATAGAGACACACACAGAGAGAGGCAGAGACACAGGCAGAGGGAGAAGCAGGCTCCCTGCAGGGAGCCTGATGTGGGACTCAATCCCGGGTCTCCAGGATCAAGCCCCGGGGTGAAGGTGGCGCTAAACCGTTGAGCCACCTGGGCTGCCCACTATTTACCTTTTTAATTTAATACTCTTCACAAACATCTGGCCATGTTTTATTCAATTCTACTTTATTCTATTCACTATATTTCATTGCATTGGTGTGCCATATTTTAACAATAGATGTACAATAATTTTTGTTTCCAGTTTTCATTAGCATAAAAACGCCCTGGTGAACATTTATGCATATGGCTGTGTGTTCCAATTATTTATTGCTGCAAACTAAGCTACCTGAAAACAATGGCTTAAAAGAACGATTATCACAATTTTTGAGTCACATTTCTGCAAGGCTCAGCCAGGTGATTCTTTTGTTCTAACATTGTAGACCTCACTGGGGTGGCTAGAAGGGGTCACTCGGTTGGCATTATGGCCCAGCGTGCCTACACAGGACCTCTCCGGCGCCACAGTCCCAGGTAGCGGTACTCGGTTTATTGCCGTGCAGGGCTTCCGGAGTTCCAGGACGCCTCAGAAGCTGCAATACTTGTGAACTCTGCTCAGTAGTCCTGACATCTCACATTTTATTGGTAAAGTTTGGGTTTGCTTCCCTTCTAACCCAGATCTGAAGGGAAGGGAACGAGACACGCCTCTCAATGGGAGGAGTAGCAAGGGTTGAGTCCATCTATAATTTACACCTTGTCCTATTCTTTGGGATAAGTTCTTAGGAACAGAATTGCTAGGGGTGTCTGGGTGGTTCAAGTCAGTTAAGCTTCGGACTCTTGATTTCAGCTCAGGTCATGATCTCAGGGTCCTGAGATCGAGCCCCACATGGGGCTCAGGCTGCCTGTGAAGGCTGCTTACGATTCTCCCTGTCCCTCCTCTCAGAAAAAGAAAGGAAGAGAAAAGAAATGCAATTGCCAGCTCAAAAAGTATTGCATGTTCTTCTTCTTTTTTTTTAGTATTGCATGTTCTAAGTGCTGACACTTGTAAATGAATTGCACAAGGGAAAAGTTATACCAACACTCCATTATGAAGGATGTTTTACACTTTTGTCAACCCTAGATTTTGTCAGGCTTTTTTAGTAACTGGATGGGAAAAAAATAACCAAAAAGCCAACACGTGTTTTAATTTGTATTTCGTTGATTTTACGTGAGGCTAAACATACTTTTCCATATCCACTGGCTATTTGCACTTCTATCATTTTATGTCCTCTAGGATCTACGAGGAAACTGATTTTCATGCCTTCATCTAGGAAAATAGGGCTAATGGCCTTTCATGTATCAGATATTGAGAATAATTTCTTCCAGATAGCAGTTCGTCTTCTTTCATCCACTTAAGACAACTGATGAATCCTCTTGCAAAGAGGTCTAGAAGCAACCAGAGAGAGGACTCCTTTTATTGTGATGTACTTAAAAGCAGGGTTTCTCAACCTCAGCAGTGTTGATACTGTGGGCCCGTAACTGTGCTGAGGTGAGGGTCGGGGGTGCTTATTGGGTGCTTTAGAGCATCCGTGGCTTCTACTCACTAGATACAGGTAGCACCCCACCACGTTGTGACAATCAACATGTCACCCATCAAGAAACAGTGCTTTAGAGGAAGGCTAGGCCAGTCTAACAGAGTAACCCAATCAAAATCCAGTGGCTTAGAAAAGACAGAATTTTATTTATTGTGCCGAAGCCCCAATGTGAAGAGCCCAGGGGGCAGCAGCCATGTCCCTGGGGCCACTCAGGGGTCCAGATTCCTTCCAGCATGCTGTCTGCCCCCAGGGAGCTTTGTCGTTGTCAGAGGCCGAGGCTGGATTGCAAGGAGGGGGGAGCAGTGGGCAGAGGGAGAGCAGTTTTCTGTCTAAAGCAGCACACCCCACATCTACTCACACTTACTTGGTGCTCAGCCACACGGCCACACAAGTGGGACTGGGAGACGTAGTAGGGCGCCCTTGCCCAGCAGACCCTTCTGGAGGTGGGTGAGGGCTGTGGACTGAATACCCCCCCCCAAATTCATAGGTTGAACCTGAACCCCCAACGTGACTGCATTTGCGGAAGTTAACGAAGAGGAAGAGACACCAGACCTGTCCCCACCCCGCAGGGTGGGAAGACTGCAGCTGCTGGGAGCCCCTGGGCCGTACTGTCTTGGTAGGGCGGCCGGCTAACCCAGTGAGGACTTTGCTGACAGTCCTGTGAGGCGGAAGGGATGACACACAAGGGACAGGGAACAAAGGGCTCTAGTGTCTTTTTTTTTTTTAATGGACGATCTCAAACGTGTACGAGTAGGGGGCCCGTAATGGGCCCTGGGTGCCCAGCAGCCAGCTTCAACTATTAGCACTTTACAACCCTTTCTGGGTCCCCTATCTCCAAGCACAGACACCAGAACACTGCAATTTCCTCCACCAACAGGACATCCTTGTGCCCACCTAGGAGGCCTCTGTGGGGCTGTGCAGAGCCTACCTGCACGGCTCCAGGTGGACTGTGCTGAACACGGGGCCTGACCTGCAACCGCCCATGCAGCAGAGCAGAAAGGGGACTGCCGGCCAGATGCAAGGGTGCTCCTGGGCCAGTGGCAGGGCCGCGAAACCCGCACTGGACAGGTGTGGATGCTGGAGTCACCGGTGACCGGGAGGGACAAGCTGGAGCAGCTCAAGGGTCTACGTGAGCTTGGACATCAGCAACCAGCGGAAGTGGTTTGTGGCTGCCTGACTCTGGCCTTGGAGCCACGGGTGGAGAGGGAAGTCGGTCAGGCCGGTGCTGTGCCACTGGGGTTGGCACTGATGTAGGAGGCATGATCTGCCGGCTGGGGCTGCACCACCTGGATACCCGGGCTCTCTGGGGGCATCTGCCGTCGGGCCGCACCTGCAGCACCACCTGTAGCACCGCCTGCAGCACCTGGATACCCGGGGTCGCTGGGGGCTTCTGCAGTCGGGTCGCAGCTGCAGCACCACCTGCACCACCTAGATACCCGGGGTCGCTGGGGGCTTCTGCAGTCGGGGCGCAGCTGCAGCACCACCTGCACCACCTAGATACCCGGGGTCGCTGGGGGCTTCTGCAGTCGGGGCGCACCTGCAGCACCACCTGCAGCACCTGGATACCCGGGGTCGCTGGGGGCTTCTGCAGTCGGGGCGCACCTGCAGCACCTCCTGCGGCACCGCCTGCACCCCCCGTCCACGAGGCTCCTGCACGCGCAGGGGCGGCCAGGCCAGCTCGAGCCCCCCTGCGGCCATGGTACGAGGCTCCGCGCGCGCGCACGCCGGCCCCGGAAGGCCGGGGGACGGGCATCCTGGCCGGGCGCTGCTCCCGGGGCGGCGGGCTGCATCCGGGGGGGGGCTGTCTGGGGCTCCCGCGGCCCAGACGGCGGGGGCGGCAGGTGCAGCGCAGCGCGGGCGGCGGCCGCCTCGGGACCCGGGGGGGCTCCAGCCGAAGCTGCGTCCTCGGGTCCCGCCCCCGCCCGACGGCCCGCCGCGGAGGTGCGCAGGCGCCCGGGCCGCCCCACGACGACCCGCGCCCCAGGGGCCGGCCCCGGCGCCCGAAGCCCCGCCCTCCACGCCCCGGGCCTCCGCCGGGCGGGCTCGCGGCGCTCGCGGCTCCCACGGCCCCGCAGCCCCGGGTTCCGGCCGCCAGCCCGCCTGGCCCGCCGCGCCCGGAAGGCCGGGTCCCTGCCGGAAGGGGCGGTGCGGCCGCGCCATCTCCGCCCCGCCTTCGGGCCGATGCCAGCCAATCCGGGCAAGGCTGGGGACGGGCAGCCAATCCCGGCGTGCGAGGCCTGGGGGGTCACCCCGGAGCGCGCCACAGCCGTTTCCGGCCCTCGCCGCGCGCGCCGTGCCGCCACCCGCTTCAGCCAATCGGAGCGCGCGCCGCGGACGCCCGCCAATCGGAGCTCCGGGCGGCGCGGGGTCGCGGGGTCACGGCGGGCGCGGGCGCGGGCGCGGGCGCGGGCGGGCGCGGGGATGGCGGGCGGGCGCGGGGCCCTCATCGTGCTGGAGGGCGTGGACCGCGCGGGGAAGAGCACGCAGAGCCGCCGGCTGGTGGCCGCCCTGTGCGCCGCGGGCCACCGCGCAGAGCTGCTCCGCTTCCCGGGTGGGCGCGCGCGGCGGCGGGCGGGCGGGCGGGGTCCCGGGGCGTGTGCGGCCGCTTCGCAGCCCTCGGCGCTCACCCGCGTGCCTGTTCCCTCTTTGCAGAGAGATCAACGGAAATCGGGCAACTCCTGAGCTCCTACTTGGAGAAGAAGAGCGACGTGGAGGACCACTCGGTGCACCTGCTCTTCTCCGCCAACCGCTGGGAGCAAGTGTAAACGCCGCCCCCGCGCCCCGCCCCCCGCGCCCCGCGCTGCCCCCGCGCCCCGCCCCCCGCGCCCCGCGCCGCCGCCGCCCCCCGCTCCCCTCCCCCCCCGCCCGGCGCACGCTCCTCGCAGGCCTCACCTCGCAGGGTAGCGTCAGGTTCCAGGGGCGCCCGCGGCCCAGGGCGTGACCCGGGGTCCCCGCAGGGAGCTGCTGCTCCCTCTGCCTGGGTCGCTGCCTCTCTCTCTGCCTCTCTCATGGATACGTAAAATCTTAAAAAAAAAAAAAAAGAATCTGGTGAGGAGCGTAGAGGTCCCCCCCTCCCCGCCCCCAAATCTGATTTTGTCTTAGATTAGGGAGTTATATTTGTTTCCGTGGATAAACTGATGTGGGCACCTTTTTTTTTTAAGATTTTATTTGTTTATTTGAGAGGAAAGAGGAGAGGTGCGAGCGGGGGGCGGGACAGGGATGAGCAGACAGTGCTGAGCACCAGGGAGCCCGAGGGCTCAATCCCGTGACCTGAGCCACCAGGCGCCGCGTGCTGACAGCCTGTTAGCCGAAGCTCAGTGCACGGTAACACGCCCCTTCTGTTCTACATCTTCCTACTCCAGCTGCTTCCCTTGACATTTAACTTGATCAAGTGCCTGTGCTGTTTGCCTTTAGATGCTTTTGTTTCCGTTTATATACACACGTCAGTGGAGTTTTTTTTTTTTTTTTTAGCATAAATAAATGGGGTCGTACATACAAAGCATGTAGGAACTGGCTGTTTCTGCCTTATGGAGCCCTGAGTCCTGGCTTGGGGTGCTTTCCAGAAAGGCTGTTGCGCAGATGCCCCCTCGTGGTTCTGCACAGTTGCAAGCAAGCCTGCGCCGCTTTCCTCCAGGCCTGCACCACTTTCTTCCGGCTAAGTGTGTCTTGTTTGGAAAGGCCTTCCCACTCCCAAGTATTAGAAGCACATGAGATCATCTGTCTTTACGCTCTTTTTTATTTACTTATGATAGTCACAGAGAGAAAGAGAGGCAGAGACACAGGCAGAGGGAGAAGCAGGCTCCATGCACCAGGAGCCCAATGTGGGATTCGATCCCGGGTCTCCAGGATCGCGCCCTGGGCCAAAGGCAGGCGCCAAACCGCTGCGCCACCCAGGGATCCCCTATTTTTATTGTTTATTAATAATCCCGCCCAAAGTCTGTTGTGATTCCAGATGGTGATCTTCCTAATTCATCACTTCTACATTGTTATTAGTTGGCTTCCTATGTAAGGAAGAGCTTTCGTGCCCCCCCCCCCCCCGCCCCCAGTAGTCATCCATGCGTCCGCCATCAGTAGGGACACGTACTCACAAGTCGTTTTTTACTAGGTGGGTCATACTGTCAGTTGTTTTGATGTTTATTTTTTTTAAAAGATTTTATTTAAGAGAAAGAGCAGGGGGCAGATGCAGAGGGAGGATCAGACTCCCCACTGAATGTGGACCCCGATGCAGGACTTGATCCCAGGGCCCTGGGGTCGTCACCTGAGCTGAATTCAGGCAGACGCTTAACAGACTCAGGACCCAGGCGCCCCACGTTTTGGCGTTTAGATTATTGCAGGTTTGGCCTCTGGAAATCTCTTCATGTTGGCTCCTGTGTCCATTTGCTGTGTTTCCAGGCCTCATTTTTTGAGAACTTTTTGGTAGAATAAGATGTTAGGTTTCTCTTGTGTTTTCTCCTGCTCCCGCCCAAGAACCAGCTGCACATTTCTGTTTAGTGGAGTATGGGGTTTAGAAACCAAAGTCTGGGTACTGGGTGCTCACTGCTAGTCCGCGTCCCTCCTCCTGGGCTCCTGCATATACGTCTTTGTGCCTGTTTGTATTTGTGCTAAAACTCAAGCGTTCCCCCTGGTACCTGCTGATCCAAGCTGGCCCCATGCTCTTCCTGATGCTCGGTGCCGTCAGCTCACGCACTTCTGTAGAAGCCTGCACAGAGGTCAGTGCTGGTTGGCAGCTCTATCCTCAGGCCAAGGAAGGGCACAGTGGGTGCTGTGTTCAAGGTCTCCTGGAGCAGGATTTTCCCCTGCTCGCTGTGTGTTCATTTGGGATACTGGTTCATTTGTGTATGGTTTTAGGGTTTTTTCCCCGTCTGGATTTAATTTTAGTTTTCTAACACATAAAACATTAAGTGCTTCTATGAGTCAAAGTCCTACAAAAAGGTAACTGCATTACCCCCCCATCTCTGCCCTTCGTCTGTGGGTAACATATTCCTAGTTTTCCTCCCCGGAATTTTTTTTTTTTTTTTTTTTTTTTTTTTACATAGAAGCAGAGACACATGTGATGTCCCCATTCGCCAGTTTGCCGCCTTCTGCAGAGCACAGCCTGCTGCATGTACTGGTTTGTGCTCTGCTCTCCGGACACGAGGAGATGGTCGGCCGGCGGCTAGATGCCCCTCAGGCCGCACAGGGCTGTGCATGTGCTCTGTGTACCTGTGCCACCGATTCTCTCTCTGTGAGCTTAGGTAGTCTTCATAGCGTGGGCTGCGGGTAGTGCCGTGATGGAAGCTGCGTGTGGCCGCCGGAGCTGTGCCTCCTCCCTCCCTGCCGGTCTGGGAGTCTCTTAAGGGCATGCGTAACCAACATCTTTGTCCACAGAGCAGAAGTGCCACTTCCTGCTGATGTCCAGCCCTTTGTGCACATGTTCCTAAGATCTTGGGGTGGTGGCGGTTGAGCTGCTGTCACCTGGTCGAGGACATCCTTGGCAGCCTGCCCATCCTTGTCCTTGCACTTTGGGGTCTAGGCCGTGAGCCTCCTGCTGTCCGGCTGCACCTGCTCCTGGGCGCTCCTTCCCAGGGTAGCCTGGCCCCTCTGCACCCCTGCCCAGATGCCAGCAGGCCCTCCTGTGTTTGTCCATCTTCACGTGATCGTGTGTGTTATGCTTCCATGGATGCGTCATCTTCACATCGGATTTGCTGGGAGAACCCCGGTGGCATCTGCTAAAGAGAAGCTCCAGAGCTTTTCTGAACAAAAACAAGGTCATGGACTGCTGTGCTGCAATCCCTCGGCTGCGCTGCTGTGTCGTGAGTTGTGCTCCGGGCCTGCGAGGCCAGGACCGCGGCTCAGAAGTGCTCTCTGTTTTCTAGGCCGTTAATTAAGAAGAAGTTGAGCCAGGGCATCACCCTCATTGTTGACAGATACGCGTTTTCTGGTGTCGCCTTCACCAGTGCCAAGGAGGTGAGTGTGCCTGGTCCCTGGTGGGATGGCGCCCGGTGGACTCGGTGTATTCACATGCTGCCCCTGGGAGGGTGGGGAGCCCTCTCTGCTTGCACGTTGGCTCTTCGTCGCTACGAGGAGCGGGCGTTCCTGGAGCCACGGGGTCAGAACGGTTCCCTGGCCGCTGTTGGTCACCACCCCCCGTGGGCGGGAGGGTCGCTCAGCAGGCCTCCTCCGCTCGGGTCTGGTGCTGTCTTCCTGACCGTGCTGTCTTCCTGGCCTCGCTGTTCTGCGGGTGTAATGGCGGTGGCCACGCCGCCACTTGGTTCCGCTGCTTAGACCTTGTCACGTGTAAGCCAGCAGGGAGAAGGATTGGCCCCGAGCGCGTCCCCTGCCTCCGAGCCTTCTGGTGTCCCCGCCGAGCCTCCGGACACAGCAGCAGCACCTTCGTGAACATTTCAGTTCACGTCCCCGAAACAACTTCTTACAAACGTGGTCTCGCCTCAAACCACAGGCATTTGGCACTGCTGTCCCTTGGTCCGCGTGCAGAGTGGCCACTGCTGTCGCCAACGGTCTGATTCGTCTTGTGTTTTTACAGTTAGACGGAATCAGGATCCTTTAGGGGCCTATTTGACGTGTCTCTTTAATCTCTTAAAATACAAGCTTCCACGTCTCCTTTTCTCTTGTATTAAAATTTTTAAGAATCTTACTCTGGGCGGCTACTTGAGGCAGCGTTGGGCTCCCATCCCGAGACACAGGGTGTCAGGCTGCCTCGTTTGGGGCAATAGCCCTTGGTGGTTCCTGCACGAGGGGTCGCAAACTGATGACCGTTCAAGTCTGCCTGTCCTCCCCCCTCTGCTGGCTGGAAGTCCTTTTTTCATTTCATTTTATTTTATTATTTTAATTTTTATTTATTTATTAATGAGAGACCCACAGAGAGGGAGAGACACAGGCAGAGGGAGAAGCAGCTCCCTGCAGGGAGCCCCACATGGGACTTGATCCTGGTATCCCGGGGTCACCCCCTGAGCTGAAGGCAGGTGCTCAACCACCGAACCCCCGGGCATCCCCCCCCTTTTTTAAAAAGATTTTATGGGACACTTGGTGGCTCAGGGCATGACCCCGGGGTCCCGGGAGCGAGTCCCATGTCGGGCTCCCCACAGGGAGCTGCTTCTCCCTTTGCCTGCGTCTCTGCCTCCCTCTCTGGGCTTCATGAATAAGTAAATAAATCGTGAGAG